TCTAAAAATAGATGCATGACTTGAGGGGCTTGGAAGATATATTTCAAGCCGTGTTTTCGTGAACAAAAGATCTTTCGTGTTGTTGTCCAAAATCATTCAAAAGCTGAATGAAGTGACAAAAGACGATGAAATGACCAAAGATAGCTTTCAAACAAGGCGTTCATACTTTTCCCTTGCCCGCTCACTTAACGATAAGAAGCTTTGCTTAAGTGCATCTCAGCTGTCGACTGGTACCGTTAGTGGAGTGAGAGGAATGTTAATAAGGGAAATAATGAATGACAGGGGAATGGTTTCGCATTCATTTCGTGACTGATCATCCGTGTTTGTTCAGTTTCCCTAAAAAACAGGAAATGCTAAAGTCATTTCATCATGGTTCTTGGGACATTCACGCGAGACTTCCTCGTGAAAGTCATAACGACTAATTATATTTTTGACAGTCTTTGAGGTGGTAAGTTTGCCTCTGGAAAACGAATAATCCCATCATTGCATATTCAATTACTCCTTCAGGGTATTTTAAGTGAATCTAAGCCACCACAAAGCTAATGACAAAATTGGATGCTAATCTAGGTCAAAAATAACTCCGTCACATAGGTTTTACCAGAGATTTCTGGTCTCTGGTTATCGAGTTCGTCATGACTATTACTGCTGTGTATATGCAATCTCTTGGTATATCCTATCCAAAGAAATTCACGAATGATATTTGCATAATGTCCGCAGCCCTCTAAGTTTCTTTACAACGAAAGCTATAAAAAGAATGGCGAGTAAAAAGTGAAGGAGTTTAAAATCTCATCAAACTGTCATTTTGGTTAAGCAGATTTGTGATTTTTAAAGACTGACTTTTTGATCATCTCCTGAAAATGCTTAAGACATCGTACCACATTTTGCCCGAGGGTACCCGAAGGTGTGGCAGTTCACATGTCTTTCTTAGCAGTCGAAGAAGTCTGCGCTATCTTCAAGCGCTGGAAAAAAAAGACACCAGCTATAATTTTTCAGGCAAAGGATGAACTCGATTTTACGAAAAGCTGCGTTTGATAATCTCTTGAGACTCAATAGTATTTTCCGACGCTCCTCCTACGTATATTTATTTCATCACCGCGGTGCGTTTGGCCTTGAAATAGGCCGCGCACCAACACAGTCAGCATAGCACACAAAATAATCAACTTGGCAAAAAATTACTTGTTGGAGGAACTCCAATCAATGTTGACGTGCACAACTGCACCACACGTTTTGTGACTGCATAGTTGAATTTCACTCAAACAAATTTGAGTTCTATGGGTGCACCACAAGTGCATACTCACAGCCACTGAACCATATCCGTGTCGCGTGTGAAGTGCATAGACGCCGCCGCTGACAGATGTCTGTAGATTAGTTAATGGACATACCATCAATAAATTGATGGCTAGGGACTCGGAACTAAGTGCTCTAACGCTGACAGAAACTATGGCCAAGGTTGACTGAGTTGTAAAGCTTACACACACCAAAAGAGAACTCTTTCCCTTTAAGACCGTTTATTGCAGGAACACAATCAAGGGCTCATAATTATCATGACCTAAAAGTCGTGCCGCCAGGAGTATGCCGGTATTTGAAAACAAATTGTGTTCAGCCGGGAAGCAGTTACATAATTTTTTTTCCTGAATCAGAGATGAATTATTTTCACTAGATAAGAAAGTGGTAAGACTAAAGAGCACTTAGCAAATACCTTAAACAAGAGAAACCATGTTTTTCAAAACAAAATTGACGGTCATACTGAATCAAATGCATCAATCGGCACTGTTTGTCAACGGCCAGCCGATCGAAGTAATCGGTTAAACTCTTGGAGGTCCTTCACAATAATGTAATTTATCTTTTAAAAGTTGAAAAGGCACGTCATACCTGCTGGCTTAACTCTTTCAGAACGACCTTTCTGTTGAATACTACACTGGTTCAAAATGATTGCTGAACAGATTTCTCGAGAAGCCACGTGCGCGAAGTGATTGTTTGAGAAAGAGTAAACATCAGAGCTGATTTTGTTCTTTCAAAAAATAACACTGTGCTAGTCTTACCTTATGATAGTCTTTCGATAAAATTGTTGTTCGTGACAGTTAAATACCAGTTGGTGAATTAGCTTGTTGTAACAGCGCAGTGTCAAGGTGTGTAACTCTGTGCGGTAAGAGCGATAATAGTTTAAATATTCACAGCTGATATATTTGGCCACTTGCCTGCCCGAGCTTGTAACAACTCACTGATGCAAATTCATGAGATAACATGGTTGCTCTATTGAATGTTTTGTTCCACTTGTGAAATTATTTTCAAGATGTGCCAAGAATCAAGAACAAATACGTTAATTAAGTACAAGTTATCAACAAATATTCCGCACAATGTCAACAATTAAACATGCAAGCACAACATTGCACGTGGATGAAAGAAAACATATTGTGACAAATTAGTTTATCTGTGTGGTTTACATACAAAAGCGTAGAAATCCTTTTCTTCGTATACTGAATTCTAGTGGTATTTCCTACCAGCAGTTCAAGCTAACCACCAGCTTTTTTGTCTGTAATTATGGAATTTCCGCTGTTTTTCTATTCATCTGTGATTGATTTAATTGATCAGGTCATCAATAGAAATATCAATACAAATGTTAATATGGCGCCGTTTGTCTCCTGAATTTTCGCTAAGCCGGTGTAATTTATCTCATTACAAACGCGCCAATGAAACCTGTGGTTTCCGTGGTGGAAAAGCTCATTATTCAGTTCTTCAAACACTGTTGAGTCTGTCCTCCGCAAGTTTTTCAGAAAGGAAGCTAGTTTGACAAGCAAAGAAACTTTTAGTCTTCACAAAGGTTTTCGTCACGCAACACTTCGGTAAGACAAGATCACACCTCTGTGCGAGTTGAAACAACATTACAACTTAGATACAGATAAGTAATTGGTAAGCTAAGACATATGATTCTCATGTGAAATGTGCCTTGCATTCTGAAAAGCTTTTTATTTCTATTACACTGCATAATTTCTTCCTTCCTACTTTCTGTTCGAGGACGTCTGCTTGTAACTTCTTTTGTGTCTGATCAACTAATCCTTGTGCGTTAGCAGCCATTACCGAGCATGCCAACTATTACTCTAGATTCGCGATGTTACACCGAGCTTTGATTCTATATAAGGACAAACAGTTTGCCAAGAAGGTCCCTCAATTTCAAGCATTGACCAAGAAAGTTCTGTATTGTTGGAATTCATGTTTGACACTGACTGTTCTATCCCCCCCCTCCGGAATGTGTACGTCGCTACTCGGATAAAACTGTTATAACTGTTACACTTTCAAGCTTCAAGTTCAATTTCCTCCCTTCGTTTTAGAGAAATTGTATTGCTATAGTGGAGGAAGGCCCGAAAGGCAAGCGTTATTTACTGCGATTTTTCAGGTACTGAGTGGATGTAAAGGAACGGTGAGATACGCTGGAAGGTGAAATGGGAAAGACTTTAATCCTTCTATACCCTGACATCAGTGCGCATATTCTCTATATTATCCTTCCTTCATTTACCGGGACAAGCACTAGCATTGCTGTAGCTGTTCGTACTTTGTCGTAATGCTTCCAGCTGCATGATTTCCGCTGTCCACTTGGTTGAGTCTTCACTAATCATTTCACGCTCATTTCGACAGGACTTTTCTTCATGGTGATCGAGAAAGTAAGGTACGGCAGTCAAAGCGCTCAACATCTCATGCGAATTACACTGCTTGCACCCTCTTACAATGGACACGTCTAGCTGAAGAGAGGTGTAAGTGCAGTATGGGTTGATTTGTTCCAAAATTGAATTTATTCCACGAACCGCCCATCTGGATGACTTGACAGTTTTCATTGTGCCGTTATCTAACTGGACGGTGTGAACTATCAGTTAAAGTGAAAGTAGAACTCCAAACAAGAGATTGTTTAATAAAAGGAAATATGAACCACAAAAGTGAACTATTACTAATGCGGGTATCAGCGGCCATCCCGAGGGGTCGACCCCCGGGCACCCAGGGGCATTTGTCACAGCTGCCGTGACAAATACATGCTAAAGCCCCTCGGGTAGGGCAAAAAATTGGGAAAAATACCCCCACCCCTGGAGCAACCTGGGCAACATATAGTCGGTGTTGCCTGTTCCTCGATGCAAAAGTACGAGTGATCATGGTTTACTGAAGCCACATCAGCACTAAAATCCACACAAGTCTCTATGGAGTCCTCAAATTCGAGCTTTCTGGGGCAAACTTTCTTGGCTTGCGGTTGTTCATCACACTGTCTCTTCCTATCGGCAAGACGCTTCGAATGCGAACTAACCGTATGAAATTGAAATCTCGATGTCGCTTTCCTTAAAATGCAATGAACAGATTCTTTGAAGAACATCGAGCGAGCGAGCTTGCTTGTCCTGTGGCGAAAACCGCTGAACGTTGAGACAGCAGATTACGTGCAAATCCCGTGGGTATGGCCCCGGGGTATTTTGCCAAAAACGCAAAAGCGCTCTAATGCCCCGCGTGCGGGGCATGCCTTTGCTACAAATCCCGTGCGTCTGATGTTTTGCAAAGCCCGTGGGTTGCATTGGGTTGCCCGGGGGTCGACCCCTCGGGATGGCCGCTGATACCCGCATAAACGGAGATTAGTGGTAATGTTTTGATCTCTTATGATGTTCAGAAGAATGTTATATGGAGATATATTTAGCAATGTTTCGTGACGATTGCTACAGAGAATGTGCTAATAAAGGCAAATTTACACATCATCGGGCAAAGAGGAAAATTTAAATATTGATTGTTCGTCTCGCGTAAGTGTAAGTTGTAAACAGACAGTGGAAGCCTATTTGTAATCTCCGAGGCTTGGCCTAATTGAAAAGGGTATCGGCAAAGTTTTCAATTCTCCTCAGAATAGCAAATGACAAACAGTAAGGAAATACATGACGAAATGATAAAAATGAAAATGAAAGTCCATCGGTCAAGACGCTACGTAAGTCCCTTGCGTGCTGATGTCACTCTTTAATTACATCATTCATTCGAGCGAAGTCCAGTACATGATTAATACAGATTCATTTCGCTGGCGTTACTCTAGTTATCCAGGCCGTTTTAAACCGACAGAAGTGGTCAAAAAACGAGAATGGTAACTTTTTAAATGGATCTTGAAAATCCCAATCGTCCCCTGACCGCTCTGAAGCTAGATGAAAAACAGAAGCAAACCGTACGAGCTCTCAGGCGACAAATTTCTTCTCATTCCACAAGAAGCACGGAAATAGATGGCGACCACTTCGCGAAGTTAAGCGAGGAGGAAATTATTCTCCTTCGCAAGATTGTTGAAACATTCACAAGTAATCAAAGGGATGCTGAACTTACCGGGGATGAAGTCGACGGCAAAGGTAGAAAAGTAGATAGAAACTGGTCGATAGAAAGTTATCTTTCTGGATCTTCTAATCGGGGAAGCGGAACTTTCGTGAATCCTGGTCGATTTTATGTTCGAGTTACACAAGAAAATGTCAAAGCTGTGGAGCAAGTATGTATCGAAATAGACAACGAGGAATCCAAAAATAAGCCTACCACAAATGGTTATGGGAATTTAAGCGGCAGACATTCATTTGACAACCAAATCGAAAGTAAATACAAATGTTATTATGGATACTCTGTCGCTGTGACGAAGCAAAGTCACGAGGCGATTGTAGTCAGAAATTCTTACGTGACAGGCGCGTTACCGGAAGGCGTCACGAATGGAACGAAATTTAGTTTCACCGATAGACCCTCTTGGAATAAAGCTAGCGGACTTAAACATTTACCACCAAGAGAACGCTTTAAACGAGCGGTACATTTAGTGATGGATAATTTGAAGATGCGGCCTCGAAAAATGGACAAAGACTTCTCAGAGTTATGGCGGAAGCGTGGTAACGCAACATGGCTCGACATTTTCTTCACAGTGGTGGCGATTGGCGCGTTCTTCGCTGATATTGCCACGGACCTGAAAGTTGCAGCAGACCATTTCAGAGCTGGTAGCAACTGGTGGGGAAGTTTCACGGTTATGTTCGTGCTGCTTCCATCTATTATCATAAACCTGGTATCTTTCTTTTGGTACAAAGAAGATGAAAAGATTGGAAGACGACCAAAAAGTGGCTGGAAAGTGGTCAGATTAACGCATTTCTTTTTAGTAGGGCCCATAGAGAGGTAACAATTGATAATTGTCTGTGAATATTTACAATGTTTTCCGAGATGTACTATTACAGCTTAGTTTTAGACTGAGGGGATGAATCCGTAGTCAAACGTTTCCAAGACGTAAATTCACGAGGAAGTCTGATTGAAGTGATGTTTTGGATTTTATGATAACTAAATTCTTTAGAGGACAAACAACTCTTGTACAACAGATACCTTTGAGATCTGCATTATTTCCTGTTAACAGCTAAGATAGTATAAATTTTCTGCATGTTTAAACACGATACACTCTTTTTCTATAAGAACGTCTAATTTTGGGGCCAAGGCTGTACGTTCTTAACGCTTTCCTATTTTTTTCCCTTTTTTTAGGTACTGGAGAATTCTTGTTAAATCGTATCGAATAAAACGGAAGAAAGAAGAACGAGTTGTTGATCACAAGATATTGATAGCAATGAATCTCGACAGTGGCATGCTGCAAATGATTTTAGCCTTTACAGAAGATGCACCTCAGCTTGTTTTGCAACTGTATGTCCTTGTCTCGCGTAAAATCCTTAACGCTTTTGAGGCAACAAGTGTCCGAGACTTGTGGACCATCCTATCCATTTGTTTTTCTTTCGTTTCCTACTCCAGAGCAGTTGTTAACTACATCAGCTGCCTCCGTGACTCAAAACGCCATAAAGGCCAGTTACGCTGGTACGGTTACCTATCCATGTGGTTATGGAGAGCTTTCATGATTATTTCTCGAATACTTACGCTCGTTTTCTTTGCAACAGAGTTTAAGCAATGGTTTTTCATTGCTCTTTCTATTCACTTCGTCATTGTCCTGGGGTTTCTTATTCGTCAAGAGCTTTATTTTTTTCCAGGGTCCAAATGGAAGCAGCATTTTTTCCGTGCACTCATAGCTTACATTCATTTGTTTTGTTTCTTTTCCCTGGAAGGCGTGCGTACCATACCTTGGACAAAAAAGTACTACGTCATGACTTTTGTCGAAAATCTGATATTTTCACTTCTTTGGTACACAAACGGAACCAGATATTTACCATTTCAAGTAGAATTGGCAGGGTTTGTTTGCATTTACGTGTTTTTCTTTGCGGGACTTTTCGTGATGACAGTATACTATAAGTTTTTGCATCCTCGATTCAATCAGCCTCGATTCTCCTTAGCTGCTCCTTTGGAGTCAGAGCTTGCAGATAAAGATCCCAAACATGGGCCGATCAAAAACCAAGAACAACGCTTTGAACTTTGGATTTAAATAACTAAACGAAGTTAATATTTAAAGAAATTTTGAAGGTTATTCCGCAATCAGTGTAGAGTGGAGAGAAGTGGTGGCCGAACTGTTAGGGTATGTGGCTCCTGCTAGGAAAAGTCAGACTTCGAACTCGGCTGGGGTAATTAGTCCTGTGCTCCTGGGCAAAGCACCTAAATCTCCCTCCACCCAAGAAGTGTACACGAAAACTGGTAAACATTCGGCAAAAGCTCATCGAATTCTGAGGGTTAACCCTGCGAAGGAGTACCATCTTATTAGAGGGGAACTAGCGAAGGTAATTCATGCTTTGAAGTCCGGAAGAAAATTCGGCGTTGTAGACTGTTGGGCTTGTGTGAAACCAAGCATATAGGACACCACATGTCCTCAACATGTCTAAGAATAATCAGAGCAGTAAGCATAACACGTCAAAACTTACTTTATTTTGAAGAAATTTCATTTACTTACTTATTTATTTTCAAGTTCATTTGCACTTGTTTCTGTCATAATTTTTATACTCTTTAAGAGAGTCAACTTTAACGCCTTCAATACAATTTATCAAATTTGTTTCACAATCTTTGATTTTATTGAAAGAGCAATAAGGCTCGTCTCCATTTCTAGAGCTTTCTTTCTTAAGGCAAAGGTTATGTTGTTTGCAACACCTGAAATCACAGAAAATAACCAGTTACCATTTGTTAGTATGTTTTAGAATATCACAATTCAATCCCTGACTCAAACAGCACGATATTGTCTTCCTACTGTTTTGTGTTGTGGTCGAATCCTGTCAGAGTTAATCCGGCGTCTGCAAAATGAAGGGACTAAGAGTACTTACACTTCTCCCAGACAGGATGCCAACCCCTTCCACCCACTAACTAAAGAGTCGCTTCATGTTCCTTCGCACTCCCCTCCCCCCTCCCTCCCTTTCCAATAAGCCCAGTTCCGGATGTCCTGGCCCCGATTGTCTAAAGGTTGGATAACGCTATCCACTGGATAAATGGCTATCCAGTAGATAGCACAGTACATTTTGTAAACTCTTATCTACTGGATAGCGATTGGATAGCGTAATCCGCCCCCGGGGGCGGATAAAATTATCCAACCGCTCTACAATAGCCTAGACTTCAAATAGAAAAAACTGATATTTTAAATTCTAGTTACCCATCTAAGGAATCCTTTTCTTTAACAGCGCTGGGGTCTTTGTAACTCCTCATCTCCTTTGTGACGCCACAGAAACAGCCATAGTGATGCAAATCATGAAAAGCGTCCCCTAGTTTACAACGCAGTTGTGCCTCAAACGAGTGCACGGGATTCCAAACACGCCTCTGCAAATATTGCTGAAAAATAAATCAACCGTTACGAGATACTGAGTAATTATTGTTTGCATGTTGCTAGTGATAAATTCAACAACTTCAATCATATTTGAAAGTTTATTGACGAATTTGATCAACAGGTGAACTAACATTGAAAAGCGACGGGAAATTATTCGTGTTGGAGGTTGAATAAGTATACCTGATAACCCCTCCATTCCCCCTGAAAACCATTTGTTCCCGCCAAAACTCCTCCCCCAGCGATAAATATGGACAGGTCCGTGATGACCGATGAAACATTTACAAGAGAATATAGGCAGTTCATTTTCTCTTGACATTCATCAATTATCATAACCACCTTGAACAAACACATCATTTACCACAGTTTTAGAACAATTAATCGTTCCTTGATACGCTTCTTATATTGAAATTCTTCATAGCATGCGTAAACTTCCTTTTTTCCAATCTCATTGATTTTCGTTGCAACTTTTTATGCATTCATGTTTTAGTTCAATAATGTTCAAAATAGGCCGCTCCTGAAGCACTGAATTAAAAAGAAACCTCGGTACAATATTTTTCATCATTTTAAATTGAAATGAGTTTCATAACCCAGTTATGTGTCGATGCCAAAATTGTGTTTTAGCAATCAATCAGCTTGCGTAAACTAAAACTTTTTTTTGATGTCTTTTTGTTTGAACTCATTTGAACTTTTTAAAAAGCTGGGAGTGTAAATAAAGTCAAGGAGCAATACAAAATTCATGAAAACTCAAAACTGCACACAGGGGAAAAGAAAAGTTGAAGAGTCGACAGCGGATACAAACCCCCACCTAAATTTTTTTTTCCATAAAAATAAAAACAAATGTTCATGTGTATATAGGTTAGCCTGCTTGGATACTCACCATTATGGGTTTATCTTGCTCTCGAGTCAAACAGAACACATGAGGAAGTTGAAAAACTAAGACAATCGAAAGTATAAGCTTCGCTGGGCTTCGCATGTTGAAGCTAATGATAATAACTGCTTACAGACGTGTATTTATAATAAAGCCACCCTATAATTAGCCTGCGTTCTGATTGGTTTACTACAAAACCTTAGGCGTGCTTCGCTATTCAAGCCTACGATCATTGAAGAAATACAAAGGAAGTTGAACTAAAAAGATTCGCCTATGACTCGTGCTTTTCTCTTTTTTCCTTCTTGTCTCTTTCCCAGGAGGGTTGACCAGTTTATTCTACCGTTTTTCCTTCTCCGCATTGTGTACATATCAAGCATATGTGCCTGATCACTCCAGCTGGGAAAAGATGGTTCGGTTTTTTATTCATCTAACAATAGCTAACAAAGAACTCGCAAATGTCTCGCCATTAGTGCAATTCAAAATTTTATCGACTAATCTTTAGGAAAAATATAGCAAATGTGTTGTTGTTAACTGAAAAAATTGTGTTCATTTAAGTAGTATCTCATTGGTAATAAAGACAATTTTGCCCGTTTTTATGTTCCTATGTTTCTGTATCGCACCATTAAACAAGAGCAAAATACCATACTGTCAAAAGCTACAGAACAAAGCATGGCAACGACGTTACTAGCTGTAAAGAACTTATCCGAATGTATTGCCTCGAAAAATATAGCATTTACGGAAAAAGAGCCAAATTTCTCCAGTTATTTCAGTTTTAACGTCAAATATATGTCTTGTTGATACGTCTCGCTCTGTCTAAAATTAATGAGACTTTGACATGGAAATTAAAATTGACGATGCGGAACTCAACAGTTCTAATTTAGAGTTTGTTTTGTGTGTAATTTTACACATAACCCGCCGACGGTCACGTTTGTACATTTCACATCTAAAATTAACAGATAATGATCATCGTTAAGACCAGCTGTTCATCACAATGAAAAACGCTTTGTTTAATAATTTTAACATGCATTTTAATGAAACTTAACGTGGCTACCAGCCAGTTAGACGCCCTAATCAGAAACTCGTCTGAAACTTTCTAGAATTTCTTTAATTTTTTTTACCAGAATTGAAATTAATCTTCTACAAAGGAGGTAGATAACCTTTTTAATTGTTGAAGTCGATGGCAACCACCCCAAACTAAAAAATATGATATTAAAAATGTTAATAATAGCGCAAAGTTCTAAAGTAAATTTGCATTTTCTCACATGTGAGATTACAAAGCTGGTTGAGTGCCAATATGGCATACAGGTTTTAAAAGTTGTTAGGGGATAACTCGCGTCCAATAAAACGCCTGCAGCGGTAACAACTTCAAACAACAGGGAGTAAAAACTGATTCGATGCCGCCTCTGGAAATATCTGAAAACGTTTGGAAATACCTGAAAACTAAACTAAATGCAGTAGAATGTATTCCTGGTGAATTTTAATCAGTTAAAAATTATAGTTTTCTTAGCTTGAATTATGAATGAAAACACTTTCTCTCCAAACACCGACGTCACTCATTGAATAGCTTTTGTGTAAGAACTACCCGCAGATGGCCATATGGGGAATTCTCTCGACATAGAACTTGAATTGTTAGCAAACTTTATTCGCAGAGTTTAACGCTACTCCTTACAAGAGCTTCCTTCAAATCTACAAGAGATAACGACAAACTTTTGAAAAAAATTCTCGTTGTTGAGTTTCAAACAGCCCTAATTGTAATCGCCTCCGACAAAAGTCGTCAATTAAACACATTTTAGACATTAATGAATTATACAACTCCAACTTAAATGTCTGAATGACACTTTTAAAACTAACAAACTGTCACTCAAGAGATCATGCACAATAGATAGTGTTTTGTTACGTTAGTTATAATTTCTCTTAAATGCTCCAAAGTGTGCAGGTGTGTGATATTCATGCTGTAAAAGAATCTCTTAAGCTTCACGTACCTACATCAGCGTACAACATATGCTAAAAAGCTGCCAAGGAACAACGAAAAGTGACGAAATTATTACTGAAAGGGGTTAAAATCATTCTAGAATTTTAATCATTCTTAAGCTTCGATGTAAGTTAACAGAACCTCAGAAAACAAAACTAATTTTGTAACTCATTTCCAACATAATTGAAATTCACTGTACAAATATAACAAATATACGAGTCGTTTTTCGTCAGTTCGTCTCTCTCCCTCTCTGCTTATTTAAAACAGAGCGAAAAGACCTTAAATAATTCTTGTGTTTTTTTGTCTCTTACAAGAATATACTTCTCAGAGTCTTTATCATTATCATTTTATATGTGGCTATTTTAGATAAAACTGTCAAAGAATACAATGGCGGTTGTTATCCTTCGAATGTAAAACAAAAATGGCGGCTGGAATACTAGAATACAGTACTGTGATAACAAAACGATGATTTTTTTTGTGTTAAAGTCCCAGAATCTGGGCAAGGAACAAATACTTCCATCGGAAATTTTCTTTTTGTTTACATGGGTTGTCACTGTCGCCTTTCCCCGCCACTTGACCAGAGACGGATTGAACGTTGGCGAAAGAGTGGCCTGGGAACAAGGTTAGCTCAAAACTCGGGCGCTCTACTGAAAATTCAGTGTAGATTGTTATTAAGGTGAATTCATATTGATCAGGAAATATGGGTTGTACAGTTTCCACACGTGAAAACCCGTATCTTCAAGTGCCGGTAAGTTTCCAAAATTTTACTGCGTTTTTCGTACGAACCGACAGCTGTAGAATCTTGACAAGTTTCTCACTAACCAAAACAAGTACCTCCTGCGGAAACGCTAAGCTTTGATAAGTCCATCAGATTTTCAATCAAAAGGTACATTTTTGTCACGCCAATTGTTTTTTGTTATTATCTTAACCTTTTCGAGATAGTAACCTCTACTAAAGAGCGGATATCCCTCTTGCCTCAATTACACCTGAGAGTCCCTGGGATGTTTTCCTTGGTTACAATCATTAGAACCGAATTGATTTCGTTCCTTCTCTCGAATACTGGCGCTGTTACTAGTAACAGAGGAATGATTAATTTATAATCGAGGAAAGAAGAGTAATTAACAACCAAAGGGTCTAGTCTAACACCTTCTACGACAGGTTTGAGAAAAATTTTATCACTGTTTCCAAGATTAAAAATATTGATATGTTTTTGGAAACAATACAGTTGTAAGAAATAAATAATTAATTTTTGCATGTGATATTAAGACTGGACCTGTCGAAACTCATCTGACAGATGCTCGTCACACCTTATGCACATTAAACAATTTAGCTTGATTTCTCTTTTTCGGACGAGATATGTTTAGTTTGGAATTCGTTCCGTCATCATCATTGGTAACAACAATCACATTGTCGCAAACTTAGCATCAATTAGTTATTTTATTAGTCCTTGATGGTTGTTTAATTCTTTACATGCAACTAATCTGCGGCAATAGGTTAAAAATACACACGTGTTTCAGATATCTTTTAATTTGCATGGCGTTGTGGCATCGATGTTTTTTTTCCTCTTTTCAAAGCCAGAGCATGCTTAATGCGAGGTAAGCTGTGATAGAAATAAACACCTTTTCACTGACGCAGATTGCGAGCGGAAGAATGAATTTTTCCACCTATATAGAGTAGTTTCACAAGACGTTCTTAATTTTAGATCATTTCGTAATTCGATGATATCGACCGTAAAGGGAAAATCATGAAGCATCAACTGCCCCTCCCAGTCATAGTTTCAACAATTAATTTTTACAACCTTTTTTTCCTCGATCAGGGAACTTATTTTAATTAAACTGTAGGTTTCGCTTAAGTTATTCACTCAGTTTTCTAAACGTCCGGGAATCTGAACCAATAAAGTTCGAGAGATAAGAGTGAGATACAAGATTCCCAGCTGAATCAGTTGAATACCTCTGTACGGACAAATTGAAGACGAACTTGAAGTGAGTAAAATGAAACAGGAAACATGTTTACAAACCGAACCCTGCCCCCTGACAATCAGCTGAATAGAAGAACGTGTTAACTGACCCTCAGTGACGCAAGTAAAGTGCTTTGCATGCATCATTTACATTCTTTGCAAACGAGAAGTTCCGGCATCGTGAACATTATGAACAGTACCTGTTAGTTGCTGCATCGTTCAGATCAAGATCAGCTTCATCTGCCTCCGTGTCGTCATGGGCTGTACAGTATCTAAAGACAACAAATACCACCATTATGTAAGTTTGGCTTGTTTGATACACTATCAGTAATCACACCCCTATACTGCGTCAAGCCTTGAGCCCCATGAGATATTTAAATGCTGGATTCTTAAATATGTATCAACATTGCAGTACTTTAAAACTTTAAGAGCTGAGCACAGGTTTCTTCGGGAAAAACCAAATCTGCAAAATTTCAACTTTCATCATTTTCCATGCTGCAGCTTGCTGAAGCAAAGCGAACTATTACAGGTTAAAATTTGTTCTGTATTATCATTGTTTACGCTAATTTGTTGACGTTCCGTTGAGTTGAATCGTCTGCCTGTCAACAACTACCGCCTATTCACAGCTGCAAATTAATTTGGCTTCAAAGACTTTTTAAGGAGTGAATGCTCTCAGGCCTTATTTTAAGCTGGTAATTTTTCAACGATCCTATCTGTAAAAGAAATTCCGATTCTTGATAAGCGATGGCGCAACATGGATTTTAGAAAAGAAGATATAGCCGAGTAACATTATTCTATAGATAAAGCTCGTCAGAACGATTCCGAAACAATCATAGTTCCTTCAAATGCCCTTTCCTGCTAATAATTTCTCCATAACGCTTATGCTTCTTCACTGGTCCGTTTCTTCTCTCTGATTTCTTCTCTCTGAAATCCTACAGCGGCGAGTAAGTTTGCTCCAAGATTACCAAGTTTCAACCAGCTAACACATTTCTTGTATGTTTGCCATGTTGCGCCGCATTGATAAAACAAAGTCTGATAAAACTAATATACTGTCAGTAACTAAACTTCACTGCACTACAACGTCGACTTGACTTTCGGAAACTAATTTGTTTTAGTGATATTTTTAGTTATACTTTCAAAATTGTAAAAAAAACAAAAAACAAACAAAAGGAAAAGAAAAAAAAACCGTGAACCCACTTATGTTAATAATATTGCTTCCTCTTTTTCTCTCTCTCTCATTTCTCGACGAAAGTAAGGCATTGCAAAGTGAAAGAGGAAAGAAAGATGCAACTCACACCGGGATTGAAAATAACTGAACAGTTTACTTGGTTTTCTACGAAATTTTCTGCGCGATATGTAACTGTCTGTGTCGGCAATTTTTTCCTCTGACAAGGTCAAAAAAGAAAATCCGCAAGGATAAAAAAATCACCAGATGAATGTGCTGGAAGAAAATTAAAAGCTTCACGTGGTCTTGTTCCCAAGACAGTTTTATTTTTAGAACAGTTCGTAATGTTAGAAACTTGATTGTGACGGAAAAACTAGCGAGCAGAACGAGCTGTTCCTATTAATCACTCGGTGAGTTATTGTCTGTCTTAAGGTGCGACAGGAATTAGATATACACAATTTGTTTGAGTTAAAAGAGATGCTTTTCACTCTTTAACCTGTGACGTCAATCATCGTGTTTGCTCCTTTACCAACCAACTACTGTGAATTAATTTACAACGAATCATAAAATAATGAATTCGTGCCTAACTGAAAACACTTAGTGCGCTAGATAGCCCCAAAGGAAGTAATTTCATTTCCGCTGGTTCAAGGATCTTTTGTGATGTCAAAACAAAAGGAAATAATTTGCGCTAACTCCGCTAAATGTTAGTCGTTTATAAATAGACATCAGTTTTAAAATTACACTTTAGAGACGCGCGTCAAGTTTGTTCACATTTCTACCCAACCTATTCAGAACGTTTGAGGTCACGAGACGAGAAATCAGTCAGACGGAACGATTGCTCGTCAGTCTCACTGCATTCGCTCGCTAAGTTTACAGCGAAGTGGAAGAAATGGGTTGCGCCGCGTCTAAAGGTGACAAATCTGAATCACACGTAAGTCGCTCTTTCGTTGTATTCCAATCGTAAGAAGCCCTGAACCAAATATTATCGCTTGTCCACTGAGCAGCAAGTTAGAACCGTTTTGGAGTTGCATCGAAACGTCTAAAAACTATCTCTAACAGCTCTTTCGTTCATCGCATAGCACTACAGAAGACTCCAAACACTTCATTCTCGTGTTGAGCTATTGTTAGAAACTGTTCACGTTATTTTGCACATTGGCTTAAGTGTGTCCTTAAACCATCTTCACGTTAGAGTGCCGAGAATCATACATCGTTACTGTACCGTAGCTGTACTTTCGCGATCTTTCGATCTTCAGATCTTTAGAATTGTTCTTATAGTTAAAAAAACACACACAAAGCAAAATACGACTCTATGGCTAAGACAAACACTGCTGATCGCTTAGCTCCTGTAAAAAGAGAGAGGAGAACGGACAGACGACGGTAAACAGAAAATGTCACCGATTCGACAATTTGAAATTTTGCTCGTGCTGAGGAAGTGAAGCTGGCGTCTGTCAACAGAGAAGCAGTCGTCTCTAAATAACAGTAGGAAGTTTATTTGGTTGCTATGAAGTTCTTAGAAACTCTCGTGCTTACATTGAAATTACCAAGACAAATAGCCGATCTACCTTACACGTATTATATAAAATTATTTTCAACAGAGTTGATTGCGAGTTCTTCAGCTTTTCCTTGAGACTCAAGATATGCTAAATAAACAGCCACGTGGAAATATTCAACTAAGTGATTATAAATAAAGATTATGTGTAAGTTTATTTCAATAGTAAAGGGCAAATAACTTTCTTATTTTCTTGTTTTCTGTATATACAACCTACAAAAGAAATATCTTGTTTTTACCTGGAAGAAATCACTATGGACTAGTCATGTTTTGCACTGATTCGTAAAGGCTGGATTTATCTAATTGAGCCAAATTATGCAATCTTTTAATGGATTTGTATGAATACGGAGACAATAAAATCAATTAATTTTTACACAACCTGCCAACCCATAAGTTAATTAATATGAATTATTGCATCTCTTATTTTGAACATTGCAGAGCCTTACTCAAATGCACGATGCTGGCCTTTCTCGGTTCAGTACGTTAGGATAGCGTTCTCTGCACCCAAGACATGATTAACGGTTTAAATCCCTTCGCAGCATAAAACAGCAATTTCTTTCCCTGGGGGAATTTTGTTTCTTGTTTTACGATAGAAAAAAGTAGTACTGGTAACAGCAAATGAATAATATCCGTTTTTCTCGCATAACAAGCACTTACTGAATTCCTCCTTACAGAAGAACTTAAAAGATATAAGTAAGGTATTGTCTAGAATATCTCCTGGGACACGTAGGAATATCATGTTTAAGCTCATACCTTCGTTACGTAACTAAGCATATTTTGTATTGAACAAATTATGCAGTGCCGGTAAAAGAAAAGTACCGCTGGATAGTCCAATAAAGCTCAAAGATAGTCATTTCAATTCGACATCAACAAATTTGAGTGTTTTTGGAAACATATAAATCACGCACAAGTTTATTCTGCAAAATCTTAAATAGAGGTGAAAAGCGTTTCCACTAAGGGTCACCACACATACAACTATTGAAACAAACAGCCGTTTCCAATGCGGAAAGCAGAAAATTAACTATCTTTAAGAGCTAGAGGGAACTCAAAGTAAAAACTAGTGAACTGCGTCTGACGCGCGGGAAAACGCACTCAAAGGCCTCTCATTGACTCTTGGGGCATCGACCAGAAGTACATGAGCTAAGAACCGCGGGGTATTTGCGTCGTAATTGCACTTTCTCGCTCAACTACCGAAAGAAAAGTGATGAAAGAAATTAGTGAACAAATAAATGAATAAAACAAAAAAAAGGCTTTGAATGTTGGAGGGTGCAATTCAGATTGGCCCCCGATTGCTGTGAATGAGGCGCGGGTTCGGCCAAACCCAAATAATCGCGGGCCACTTTCGACCAACTGAAAATTGCTCTAGAACAATAACTTAAAGCCTAACTAAGGTGGCAGTTGGAACTTAAGTTGTGATCACATGGTTCTTTTCTGTTCGGTCGACTTACAGGGGAGGAATGAGGTCAGTAGTTCGGAACCACCCAACTGGGATAAGGAAGCTGATCGACTGCGTGACGCTATCCAAGGATTGGGCACCGATGAAATTTCCATAGTTAGAGTCTTGGCCAGATTGACCAACAGACAGAGAAGGAAATTGCTGAGAGTGTACAAGGAACGATTTAATGAGGTAAAGAGAAATCAAGGTTTTAATATTTATGCTGAAAATGTTAAACAATTCTGGAGTACAGGAAAAAATGAGGAACGGGGGTCCAGTCAGGGTGTTGGCGTTGAATATGTTGATATCCCTTCCGTCCGCCTTAATGCATTATTAAGCTGATTTGCGGTTTTAGCATATTCAGAAAATTCTGTAGAGAAAGAAAAAAACAAACATGAAGACACTCAAACAAACAAAAGTTTGTAGGCTGCCTACCCTCCGTAAGATAATGCGTTTGAACCACTCACTGATGAAGAGGTTGTTGGAGTATTTTAGTGAAGTTTGCGCTCGGCCAAGCGACTTATCTGTAAATTTTATTTGAAAAGAAATTTTATGTTTTCACTGTCAACAGGATTTAGAAACTGTGCTTCAAACAGAGCTGAGGGGGGCGGCTAAGACAGTGGTAGATGCGTTACTGTACACACCTGAGATGTACAATGTCACTTCATTAAAAGAAGCCTTTGAAAGCGAGGATTACGATACCGTTGTGTCCATTATAATATCAAGTAGAAATGACAGTTTAATGGACATGAAGGAAAAGTATTTTGCTGGTGAGTACAACTGTTTTTTTTAATTGAATCCGAAGGTCGTTGACTATGTTCGGTTCAGATCATTTTTATATGATTTGACCTCATGTTCATCAAGTACTTGAACAATGATTGCATTTCACGTCCCTTTTGTAAAAAGATTAATTATTTTTCTGACAAATCCTCTCAGCTACTTACCTTTATTGGTCTGCATTATTACTATTACATTCATTATTTTTATCATCGTCGTCATCGTCAACATCGTCTTCTCAAGAGAAACTAATTATCTTTAATAAGAAGATAGAATTTTCATACAAATTGAGTAAAATCGTCAAATCTGTTTAACCTCCTTGTACAGAGTTTAACAAGACATTAGAAGATGATTTGTCCAAGATACCAGACAAAGATGTCAGGCATATTGTGATGTCTTTACTTAGTGTCGATCGATCTACTGCTGAAAAAAGAGCGAATAAGGAAGCGGCAAGAATAAGAGCCACCTTGTTGTTCAATGATGGCGACATTCTGTCTCTGTTGTGCGAAAAAGTTGGCAGAAATCAACTGAGGGAGACACTGGCTGCTTTTCTGGAGTTGCATAGAATCAATATTGGACAATTTATTGAAGAGAAATGTTCAACTCTATCGAAACAAGCGCAGAACACCTTAAAAGATTGTGGTAAGTACGGAAATAATAATTCGAATAAGAGAAATGGCGTACGACGACGGCACCCGAACTGTTCCGAGTCCACTCACGAGCCGATCGGAAAAGAGCCCGAATATTCAAAAGTTTCTGGCTGTTGCTAACGAAAACACCTGATCATCATACTTGGCTTTCATGCGCATGTTTGTGGGTCATGTTTGTACTTGGAGATTGTTGCCTTGTTATCTAGAGTTATGCCCACATCTGAATATCAAATGACAAAAAATAGCAAAAATTTAAAACGTTAAAAACTGTGGAAAGTCGGTGCGGGTTGTGGCCTCAAATAACGCCTTTCTCTAGATTACTGTGCGTCGGTCCTCTTGGTTCGGGGAGGAGCGCTGGCTCATTTCCTGAACAGTGAAGTCTTAGATTCCCAAAGTTTCTTCCATGCTTGTAACTTTAACCTGAAACTCACGGAATAGAGTTTACATTGATTGTGCATCATTTGCACTCTCCTGTTACCCTCACAGCTTGATGTCACCGCGACAACAGTATTATCATTAACTTATTTATCTATTTATTGAGGAATCTCATTGTTTGCAGTTTTATTGATTGAAAACCCTCCACAATATTTCGCAAAGGAAATGGCAAAGGCTGACGAGCTCAAGATATTGAGAATGATGGTCTCTAGGTCTGAGGTGAGAGTCTTAATTTGTGTTCAAGGAGAGAATATTTTGAGCTCTAATAGAAGTTTGTTAGATGATAAAAAAGCAAATAATGGTTTAAAAAATGGCATATGCACATCCTTGATATATCTACGAAAGGACGTCCCCGAATCACAAAGAAAATAGCCTGCACATATGAAGCTGAATGTTTCAATTTCTTACAGATAGACCTTTATTACATCAAGAAAGAGTTCCTCAGCATCTACTCGAGACAACTCCATGACAGAATTGACAAGCAGTGTCGCTTTGATTACGCCAGACTGTTAATAGTGATACTGGAATTGCGTGGACAATACACTGCGTCAGCTAAGAAGAGATGATTTATGGCAACGTTTCACATGTTGTATCCCAGATCCCCGAGGTTTCGCTTGTGTAGCCTCACTCTCAGAATGAAACAAAGGATCTGCATGGTAATAACGCCCTGTAGGATAGAAATCGTCTCTATCCATGGGTAAAAACATATATACCACAGAGAGGCTCGTCTTTTTAAGACATTTTGGATGGCGACATTATAAGTACTAAGAGAAGTTTGGTTGAGGCAGTTAATTGTATTGATATATCATGAAATCTCTCTGCTGAAAATCTCGCATTATGAAGAAAGGAACAAGTGAAAACAAAAGGAACACTGTTGAAAAGAGAATTTCAAAAGACAAGCACAAAATCTAACAATATTATGAGACAAAAAAGATAAATATATTAATAAAAAAGCAATTTTTTACCGAGCAGTTTGATCTGTGTCGATTCCTCATACGCGAAATTAAAAGGGGCTATTTAGTTCGGTGAAAGATCCAATATGAAGGAAAGTGGACGAAAAATAACTGAAACAAGTTGACCTCAAACACATATAAGGCGGTTTACAAATTCCACCGCATGGCCTCCACTCACGCGCGCGTGCCAAAAAAGAGTTCTCTGGCTACAGATCTAGATAAGAAAAAAAATTGGGAGGAAAAAGATTGTTATTCAATAGCCCCGTTTTTGTGACAAGTTTCTATTATTTAATTCAACAATTTCACAAATGCTATGTACAAAGCTTTGGAGACTGACATCCAACAACATTCTTGAAGGGCTATGTTTTAAAAATGTACAACAGTTAACACGACTACAAGGAAATAAATAGCTGGATAAATATTAAGTACGTGTAATAAATAAATAAATAGACTGAAATCCAACAACATTCTTGAAGGGCTATGTTTTAAAAATGTACAACAGTAAACACGACTGCAAAATACATGTAATAAATAAATAAATTGGAAGTTATCAAATTTTTATCTACATAAGATGTGAAAATCTTCTAAAGCTGTTTTCACACGCTATTCCAAAGTTATAACAGGTTTTGCTAAAGAGTACCACAGGATTAAATTTACGACCTTAGACACTATCGCCATCACAAAAGTATCATTTTTTCCCTATTGGGCAATTTGACGTTTAGCACTCGTTGTAAGCACACTTAAATTAGTCTACCTGTTTGTCTATTAACGAATTTTAAACACTCTGACCACTCTGTAAGCTTATAGAAAGAGCTATACTCCTTAGTTTGACTCCATTCCATAAAATGTTCCCCAAAGATTATTCCCACAGCTGCTTAATCAAACACGGATACAGAAAAAGGTTTAATACTCGAGAAGTCCCTCTCTGCTGAGCACAAAGTGGTCGTGAACAACCAATACAATCATCAGGGTTTGGATTTCGCTGTTTACGAAAGATTCCAACTGACCATAAAGAATAAAAAAGTAAACAAAGCTCTCTTCTTCACCAAATTTTCGCGAATCTGAGTCACTGTCATGGTTTCCTTAAGAACAGAAATTACACTTAAGCGTGTATGTGAGTAAGGAAACTATGGCTGTCTGCAAATACATTGCGTGATGACTTGAAGGAGCGCTTCCCTTGAATTGGACTGCAACAGAAAATTTAGAAACTACCTTAACTGACGGATAAAAGTAAACTAAATATGATTTTAAAGTTACCGGTACCTCAGATTTTTCTTCCTGTCTCCTAAATTAGTATTTGTATGGACTGATAATAAATATGGTCAGCATCTTTGATACAAAACCTTTGCAAGTAAACCAGACAGAGAGATTTATTACGAATTCATTACGATTACAAATCTAAAAGTTACTATTCAATGTGGATGTCTCTGATCATGTCACTTTAAAGACAGTCTAAGAACACTCCTGATCTAAAACATGAAATCGAATTTTTTGGCAATTACACACATACCAACACTGCAAGTTATTGCCATACAATTCCATCTGCGAGCACGGCAAACACTGTAGATTTAGAAACAACAATTGGCAATTAATAACTTCCAGTGTGAATGAGGCCTCTCCTGTCATATTTTCTTTCATACAAAGAGCTTCAAAATAAATAATGTAATGGGAAAACTGACCAAAGTCAGACAAAAACAAGGCCATAGGAGCCAAATGTTATTACTGTTTAAATAATTCAACATGAACATATTTCCAGTTACTCCAAGAACTTAATAATAGTTTACATCCGAAAAAAAAAAAAAAATAAAACAAGGTGAGAGGACCAGACAGGATGAGAAAAATATGTAAATTAATTCAAGAAATACACCACTTGTGCAAAATTACAATGGATTATCTTTTTTATTTTACAGCTGTATAGCTCACCATTCTTTGCAGCCTCTATTTAGGATTAATAACTCTCCTTCCTCATACAATTTCCCTCTGTAATTGCATTTCCCTGGTTAGACAAAATATGAGATTAGCATCCTGATACCCAAAAAAATATGGTAATTACCCATAAATGATCACAAGATGCTAGCAACAGTGTCAGTAAGTGTCAATTGAAATTACTCTGCAATTGCATTGATTTTGCTTTTATTTTGCTATAAGATTGGTTGCTACTCCCACAATCAGGGCAAAAATTAATATATCACCCATGACTTACTCACAATAATTTCCCACCCTTAACAAAGTTTGCTTGTTCATACTTTGAGTTCTCATCCAACTCCTTGTATTATTTCCCTTTGCTCTGATTGGCAGATTGCAGCCCCTTTGAAATATCCCCTTTTTTCTGATTGCTCTTCTCCTTTGCAAATCAACCCTTCACACCCTAACATCAATATGCATATTCTCCATACTATTCTCTAAACATTTCCTAAGGTGCTGACAAGGAGAATTTGTGTAACAATCAAGAGCTTCTTCAGTTGGTGATCACTTCCTTTATCTTCATGACCTTAATGAGCGATTTAAGGGTAATATTGTAGGGAGACATCAAATGCTGGTCACTCTTAGGGGTTACACTTAGGGTTAACTTGATTGTAAAACTTGCATGTTAATTAGAATGCAATTATACAATCCTTTTTGCTCACCTTGTAGACAGTTCACATCAGATGAGCAAATGATTGAGCCATTCTGACACGAACTGTAAAAAATTGAAATCTGTGATTATGCCATTCGTAACTCAATTCAATGGTTGTTTTTATCATTCACCAATTATTTGCAGACTGCAGCTATCAATTTTGACAGTTTGCTTCTGAAATTGCTTTGCTTGAACAGATGCAATGTTTTTGTCTCATCCGTATCTTGAGAGAAGTTGGCTTTGATTAACATCATGAATTTAAGCTTCTCAACTTGTCAGAAAAAAGAAGTGGAATTTTGACAAAGGTCTAAAAATAATTGGGTAAGCATAACATTATCACTTTATTTCTTACCAGTTTTGACAGGGTTGAGAAGGAATTGATTCTCCATGCTTGAAATATTTTAAGTCCCTCTTACAGCCTGGAATTTATATATTGAAAAAAAAATAATTAATTCTTACGATCTTACCTCTAAGTATAATTGTAGTCCTAAAAGTTTCTTTATATCATATGATTATCAATATTCAAGGTTGCAGAAGCCTGAATTTTTTCCTATCATTTTCAATCAGTAATTTACTGACCAAGCTGACTTTGACCATTTCAGTGAACAACAGAAGAAAAAAAAAGTTAGAATATCATTGTGAGCTTCATGAAATGGCTGGGGATTGAGAATAAAACTTTACACCAAAAAAGAGTTGAAATACAGGGCCAAGTTGTATAAAGGTCAGATAACGCTATCCAACAGATAAATCGCTGTCCTGCAGATAAGTGAGAACAAAACATAGCATTATCCACTGGATAGAGATTTATCAAGTGGATAGCATTATCCGACCTTCAAACAAATGGGGCCAGGTCTTTTGGACTGATTTCAGGGAAACAAATATCAATAAGTTCTATTTACAAGATGATTTGAAGAACAATCCACAGATATGGAGTTACAGGGCCATGCAGTCTTTTCACACTGCATCATACCTTAACTTTGCAGGTGAGTCAATTCCTTTCTGTATTGGGCTGAATTCCTTCCAAAATATGTATCAGATTGGGGGAAAGATCAAATTTGAAGAGTAGGTCAAGAGAAAATGGTTTGTGTACAGTCAGAGTTTTCTTACCTAAATGACAAATATTGCTACTTGAAGTACTGCACTTTATTCTCCCAGCTTCACATGTACAGCACTTGTGATCTAGTATAAATGTTTCACCAGAAGTAAAACGTTTGTGGGTACGGACATCTACACACACTGGAGAGAGTGAAGAAAATATAAAATACATGATAAGCTACTTCTGTCTGCGACTACAATCAGATCAAGTGCTTATCAAAGTTTTAAAGGATAATGTTCTGAACCAAGGTCTAACTCATTAGGCCAAGTGAGTGCTCTCATGGCTTATTATTGACTGCAACTGAAGATCACAATTCATCCCTTAGCATAAAGTGGGTGTTTCCTAGGAATTCCCGGTTAGTGCTTTTTCCCACTTTGCAGTACCCAAAGCATACATCAAGAGAGAAAACTTTTTTAATTTGATATTTCTCAGTATAATATGAACATTTTGTTGGTACAAATGCAGTTAAACATTGGCATCACTTGTATAGAGACATTCAGTTTCTCTGGCCCCTGCAAACAGTTTCTCTCCTGCAAACATACAGTGCATATTTGCTGACCAATTCTACTAATACACACATCTTAGAGTGTTCCTAAAGGGGTATGTTTTTGAACTTTGTGGGTCCTTCACCTCAGATGGCTATAATAAAACTGCCTGTTCCTACAACCCTTTAACTCCCTTGAGTGATCAAGACAGAATATCTCCCTACAATATAAATACAATATCAAGCATAGAAGTGATGAGAATAAAGTAGAACATTAATTAGGGGATTATCAGTTGATTCAATAACAAATTCTCCTAATCTACATCATAGGAATTTTATAACAGACAGTAAGGAGAATTAGTAATGAGATCTTGAGAGTTAAAGGGTTAAGAAAAGGTTGTTAGGACACACTTACTCTTGGTGCTGCTGTCAGTTTTGATATCTGCCAACAAACACTCTCCTACACAACTACTCCCAGGCAGCGTTGGACAACAAATGTGCCTTCCATAATTGATACAATCATCATCCTTTTTGCAGGGTATTTTACAAGGTGACCACCTATTTCGTGAATTCATGTCACTGCTGTCAAGCTGACAGGTTTGATCTGGAAATATAAAGATAGGTAAAAAGAATTCCAGTTGCAACACATAAGTGCTTTGAATGTTAGACTAAAAGCTTAAACAAATTTTGAGCTGCCACATGTAAAGCTTAGGAAAAGACTACAGAGTTCTTTATTCTGTGAAAAACACCCTCAGATGCGAAGATGTTAATGTATTTGCTCCATATAAGCTTTACTAGAATTCTAGCAATCTTTTTAAATATTTTCCCAACCCTTCAAGTAAACCAAAGTGAGCGCGACAATATTGAAAGCTTCTGCGCTTAATTTATGCAGCAATTCTCTGGCGCTTTTATTTGGAGTGATTTATTCCGACGAACTTCATCCCGTTGACACAAAGTTTTCTTTAGAAATTTCTTTGTGTAATTTTCAGTTATCTGAGTTTCGGCTTGAATAGTTTCCACTGGCCACGGAAAGATCAGTCGTTTTACAAATTAAACATACATGACAAGCTTGTGACATTTTCATCTATGTGTTAATTACTCCAAGAGCGCAAAACAATGGTAACGGAACAAATACGTTTAGCACATGTGCCGCATGCAGCGAAAATATTTCGCGAGATGGCGTCCAAAAATTACACCTTGAAATTACAATCCTATAAAAATACGTTTAAATTCCTTAGAGAAAGTGTAATATGTAAAAATCTCTATACCTCCATGCGCATTTTCGGTGCTTGTGTTTCGCGGGTGAATGGAATTTTGACTCCGCGAATTTACAGCGAGGGTTGAGATCAGAGCGAATAGAACCGCATAAACCGCACGTGTTAAAATCCAGTCAACCATTTCACGACTATCCAAAATCAACTCGTGGTGAGAAGAAAAACAAGACGCATCGGCTCAACAAGTGGACAATAGTTATTAACATAATCTCTCGCCTCCGCAACGTTACGCACTCATACAAAACATTGACCGTGACAAGTTGCGAGGAACTGGGCCGCCCAAAACATTTAGATGAATGGGTGGCAATTAGATTTATTTTTTAATTTATTTTATCTATTTATTACAATCTGTGGTCAAAAAGGCCAAAGGATAATCTGCAAAGGAGTTCGAACCCCATATAAAAACAGATCACCTAAGAACTAATATAAATAAACTAAAGATAATAAATTCAAGAAATGAATTTATGAAAAGGAAAATACTTAAGTATCACTAAGTAAATTTCTTAACTCTAGACTTAAAAATATTTACATTATCAGAATCACGAATATCAAAAGGTAATTGATTCCACATGTCAATTATTTGATGGAAAAAAATGTACTTCGAGACATTAGTTCTGGCATATTTCTTCTTTTAAGTTAAAAAATCCTTAGACCTAGGTGAAAAGTGGTCTGCTTCAGAGTGGAAATCTAAAATTTTACTGACATCAATATTTATGATGCCATTATTTACTTTATATAAGAACGTCACATCAGTCAGTAATCCTCTCTTCTCCAGCGACATGAAGTTTAACTTCTTCAAACAAATGTCATAGGGATCATCGCTCTTTAAGATAAATTTAGTTGCTCTTTTCTGTACCCTTTCCAGCTTATCAATATTTCTTTTTGTTTAGGGAGACCACACCACGAAACTGTTTTCCAGGTTTGAGTGAACCAATGAGCAATAAAGAGTACGCAAGGTCATAGGGTCACCTAGACCTTTACAAGTTCTTTTAATCAAGCCAAGCATTGTGTTTTTAATTTAAGATGCATTTCAAACTACAACTGTTTTTCCTCAACATAGTCTCAAATGTATCCACCCCAGGATCCTCCAAAATATAATAGATCAGTAAGCCTTACAAATTCACATATACTAAGAAAATTATGAATTGCCAGAATGAAAGGACATTTCAAATCAAAAACTTAACAGTAAGATAAAGATTTGGAATGGTTTTAATACAATGGTGCTATACCATATAAAAACAAGAGTACTTTCTTACTCACAATACATTAACTTTCCCCACTTGGACTCTGCTAGATAAACTTTATTAGGGAAAATTCCATCAGCAACCCAAATAACCTCACTATGTGCTTGGAGTTCAAAAACAAGCAATTGAAGAAACAAACACAAAAACAAAAGACGTTTTTTTCCAGCCAACAGTGAGTCTCTATCTCCCAGTAGTCCATTTAACAACTGAGTGCTTGGTTGCCAAGCCTTTGAACAGGAGTGAGGCTAAGTTGACCCTGTTATGATACAAACCTTGCTGCCTTTCAAATGTAGCAGGTTTGATATCAAATACTTTGTTATCATGTGAACTAGATATTGGTCTCTATCACAATATGGTCAGCTTCAGCCTCACTCCAAATCAAAGGCTTGGCGACTAAGTACACAACTGCAAATTGGCCTATTGTCATAATGTGTTAATGATCAACAATTTGCTCATTACTTGAGTGAAGTCAGAAATTCAAAAGCTGAGAAGTCTAACACGCAAGATACATTCAATTAAAAGTTTAGCTTCTGCATGCACACATGAAACAACAAAATTGGGGATGATAAATCACATGTTAATTTTTTCTTGGTAAGTGTAATGTATATTAGATATTTCTGGTTAATACCTCACAAACTTCCCTTTTAAATCAAGGTGATGAGATGTTTGTAGAAAAAGAAAGCATTTTCTTAAGTTACACTGTAAAACCAGCATTGGTGTGTAGGTGCAATTCTACTTGAATATTATTTCCAAATAATCTGAGAGTTACATTAATTCCAGGCAAAACATGCCAGAAAAATTCACGAAACACAAGTATTCTTGCCCAATCCATCACAAGAACTACATACTTATTTCTACATATGAAAACCAAACTCACACATTATAATATCAACTCTCAAACCATACACACCAGAAATTTAAATACATTTAAAATTTCTTCTTTAAGATTTTGTAAAACTAAAAGCCTAATAATTATCATAATCACAAGGGTTTCAATGACTTCTTTCCATAAATGGCTGCTTATGGTGGAAAAGAGAGCTTAATGACTGGAAAGGGGGCTGTAAGGCAAAACCCAAACATGAGTCTGCTTGCAGGCTAACATACAGCAGTTAGAGGTCTCATAAACAGTGGTAAACCATTAGAAACTGGCTTTTTTGGAAACCCCTGTAATCAGTTGAATGTTACTACTACTTAATAAGAGCTTAAGTTAGATTTCATTCTCATAATCTTTATAACCTTCTTATATGCTACACATTTAAATTAGAAATAAATTTAAATAATTCCTAGCATATCTAGGTAATGACTTTTAATGATATATCCTTTCTTAATACCATGAATGAAGGAAAAGTTAATGTCTCTTGACTTCACCTTTACTTTGTTAACCTGACTTGAGGCAAGAAAAAACCACATTGGTAAAATAGCCGATAGAAGAGGACGCAAGTGTTGACTTAGGACATTGTGGGGAAGGGAAAATGGGCAAGTTCTCATTTTGGCAGATTTTGAAATCTGTTTATGATCAGAAAAAATTTAGTTCTGTATCATCTCAATAATTGAAATTGTATAGATACTGTATGAAATTCCCCTTAGAACTTTCACATAAGTGAAGGAGATAAAAATAGATCATCTCCCCAGCATGACACATTGGAACATATTTGCTCTTTTCCACACTACCAACACTGACAAAATGACCAAGATCAAATCTAGTAGAAAATTAGCACCACCTAATACATCATGACATTGCCATGGGAATTATCTTCACATCTGCATGGAATGTTTGTTGATAAAACATCATCCAATTGATTTCTTTCCAATTTTTTTTTTTATCAAATTTAGCAAAATATCATGGAAATAGCTGAGAGATTCAAAGTTACATATTTACTATCTAATCACTACACACCTGCTGGAGGACAACCAAAGAAGATTAATCACTATTTATGGTAACAGTTAACAAAAAACCTCTGTTTTATCTACAGATTATCACAAGATATGGTGCTAACTAACAAATTGAACCCTTTAGAATACTGATAAAACTTTCTGATGTTGAAGGATACATACACAATACATGAGTCTCTTCACAATTTTACGTTTATCTAAGGCGATGATTCTGGACTTAAATGTTCAATCCTCTTCTATTTCTGAACTGTTTTTCTAAAAAGGAAATGTTCCCCAGTGACATTATGTCTGTATTAGTATCCTTTTCTCACTTTATGCTTGTCATGAGCCAAACATTTCTTGAGAAGCGTAAACCATGTACAGGAATCCATCTTCATCCTTCTCTTCCTTGTAAACTTCTGCCATTGTCATAGACATGCTTGCTAAACTTTTGTTGTTTACAATGAGGTAGAAAGCTTGTGTTGATGATAATGACATGCGATTCCTAAAGAAAGAAAAAAAAGAAAACAACAATAAGTTACAATTAAAAATAGTTGAATGGAAAAGAAACTATGCAATTACTCTTTAAGACACATGAGTTATAGTTATTAATTTAAACTTTGATCTCTAGAGACTAGAATCTAACTTCTCCCTACAAGATCACCCCTGAATCAAACATGAAGGTCACAAGAATAAAGGAAATGATCACCAATTAAATAAGCTCTTGATTGTTACACAAATCCACCTTGATAGCACCCTTGGGAACGTAAGGAGAACAGAGCAAAGAATTTGCATACTGTAGTGTAAATGATTCCAGCAATCTTGTATATCAAGCTGGCAATAAGTTCAGTGATTGCTTTTTCCTCTTTTGGCTCAGCCATGTAGATAACTTGTTTATCTATAGTTCTTATTTCATACAGCTTTCAATATCTCTAATGGACTTCACATTGACAACTACTCAAACAGAGACTGACTCAAAATCAGGACATGTTTTTGCAGCTTGTTCTAAACCAAATTAGTAAGAAAATCATGAAGATGGTTTGTTTCAAATCCATTCACAATGAAAAGCAAAAGATGTATCAAATTCCCCTTTAGTTTTGGGAAGAGTCACTAACCACAGATAAGAAACAAAACTAAAATACTGACATGATATGACATACTGGAGAGCTTAAGTACTATTTACAAAAAATTTTTGAATATTTGTCAGGATCAAAGTTAGTATTGCATACATGCAATACCCAACAATTTTTTTCATCATTTCATTCATGTTAAGACTTGAAAGAAAACACAATTATTTACACTTGCTAACGATGCAATTCTTAATAAACGAAAACAAAATAATACGTGTTTGACGACCAAGACAATCCTTGGCAGATAACATACTTAATGACGTTTTGAGAACAAAAGCCTTTCATTTGTAATTTACCAGATTAAACAAGTCTACTGTAATACCTCTATTTAGATTAGAAATTGAAGCATTTCTTCAAAACCTGTAGGTCAACTGACAGAGGTTAGAGGATCATTCCCCAAGTCATTTTCTAAAAAATATCCATTTTAGGAGCAACACTTCATATAAATTTCACATAAGCACCGATACATGCATGAAGTCATAGCATGCTTTTGCTTGGCGTAAGAAGATCCGTATGAATATGTCTCACGTGGAAAGTCGAGTTATCTTCACCGATACTATTTTTATGACCTTACGTGACCTTGTAACTTAATTTCCCAATTCGACCACCGCGCATTTGTGATGCTCTGAGACGTGTCTTGAACTGCTTGGAATCCAATCAATACTAGAATGTTGACTAAAAAGTGCACTTTTCGAGCGCTCTACCAAACGTATAAGCGTTCTTATCTGTCAGCGAAGAGTTATTCGATAGCTTTCTAACTTAACATAAACGACCCTTGTTTAAGAGCTGCGACGTGATGATTATTCAAAACGGACCAGATGAAACAAAGCAAGTTACGTTCGAGCTGAAACAAGCGAGTTGCAAAATAACAAACATGCAGACTATCATACCACAACTTACCTAATGATTGTCACGAATTGGCTCATAGTTAGCTCTTGAGGAACGAGAAATTTTGTCTTATCGAGTAGCGGCAAATCCTTTTCTTTGTGATATCTCTCGACTATAACCTACAACAAAAGGTTACAAATGTGAATCTGCAGTTTTGTTTACCAAGAAACGCGATGGCCAGTTTTACCTAAATCAAAACTCAAATTACTTGCAAAACATTACTCACAGGAATTTTTGACGGGAACTTGGCTCGGATTCCAGCAACTTCATCTCTCCGACTGACTAAAATTAAAAAAGATAGCAGCGTCTCTTAAGGTTTGCATCGCAAGGACTGCAACAAAACATCAACAAAGCTGCGTGTAGGCAAAAAACAAGACAAATCGGTTTACCAAAACTTTTCCGCTGTTTGAATGGCCTTGTGGATTTTACGTCGCTGTCGCTCATTTTACAGCGAAAATAAAAGCCTCTGTGAAACTCCGCGTTCCTGATCAGACCTAACGGAAGATGACCTTTACAGTAGTGACGAAATTTCAACGATCAAGGTACTCGTTTCGCAACAGGACTATCGTCTGTTCTGGGTCGATTGATTAATTGACCAATGAAATGGCTTGATAGATCAGCATACAAAAGAAAATGATGCAAGTCCTAACTGGTTCACCATTGGTTGTTTCAGATTCCCGAATGGGCCAGGGAGGAAGGGTTGGGGATGAAATGGGAACAGGAATCGGCCAAATTTAGAGCGTAGTTTTAAAGGGGAGGGGAAAGGCGATCCGAAAAGTAAAAAAAAGTGGACACAATATTATCCTTTCTATTTCGAAACAAGGCCAAAGTAATCTGTTTTCTAACAGGGAAGCTCGAAAAAGCGTAGACATTATGCAACAGATTTGACAAATATTTGTGTACGTGCATGCAGGGGTGCCCACCCCCGCAGCTTCTCCTTTTTTTTTTTAAAATTAATTTCCGGGTTTCGTGGGATCAGATTTCTCCGAACAGTGTATCTCAATTCAACCCAACGCAATCGTCGGTCTAAGAGACTTACCGCAAAAATACAAACTTTGGTGAGCTCGGTTAAAAATGGATGTAAACGAAATGAAAGGAGAAAGAGCGCTTTTCATATGCATCAGATACAACGGTGTGGCATAGAAAGACCACGTTCACTGTCTATGAAAAGCAACTCACACATATGAAACACGCACATTCTATAAAGTAAGGGACATTCCTTATTTCCAGCCTTTTTGAGCAAGAAGCGAGGAATCTCCCAGAAGCTCGAAGCCTATAGAAACATCAGCTACGAAGCCTGCATCGTTAAGGAAGGGCTAACATACGGCTGACAGTCTGAGGAACTCTAAGGGGTGACAAATGACTTGAAGAAACTTTACGTGATAAGCCCTTCCTCTCGTGAGCCCTTGACTTCCAAATATTTTAACCCTTTGACCCATAAGAGTGACTAGCATCTAATTTCTCCTTACAATATCACCCCTGAATCACACATTAATGTCATGAGAATAAAGGAAGAGATCACCAACTAAGGAGGCTCTTGACTGTAAGACAAGTTCTCCTTGTTAGCACCTGCGGAAATGTACAGAAAACGGTATGGAAAATATGCTTAGTAATGCTAGGGTGAAAAGGGTCAAGGAAAAACGTGTAAAATGTGTAGACGGGTTACGTGACACAATGTCAGTTTAACAAATCGACCACAGCTTTCTATTGTCTACAACCTTAAGACATGACGTCAACAGTATTCAAAACTCAGTGAAACCACATGGCGCAGCCAAGTGATTTTACTAAAATGGCTCTTGACCAAAGAGCACACGCTTTCGTTCACTAGCTCTTGTTGACATTCACGCGAATTTGCGTGTGGGAAACATTTCTCAGGATGGCTGTTATTTGCTTTTCTAAAAATCATTCTTTCTTCCTAGGACATTATTTCAAATGGCTCACTGGAAAAAAGAGAAAAGAGAAAAGACACAAACGAAACCGATTGAGCTCACTTCGGACAGAAAAATTACATCCATAAATGCTACGGTAGGGTCCCGGGTTCCCTTTGTAACCGAGCTGTTGACCCTTTCAGTTCCGAGCCGTTCATTCTTTGTTTATTCCCATATCTTTAAGCCGGGTTTATTTCAATGTGATACAGGAGAAAACCGAAAGAAGCTTCCGGCTTCAAATTAAAACCCCACATTGTTATCATGACCTTTTATCTTCCCATGTTTATATTTTGTGGTTTCCTAAGCACGTTCGAAACGGTTTGGCCTTGAGTCAAGGGAACTGGGTTGGGTACACAGGGTCGAGGCTCACACGGAACCTCTCGTGTTCATTCCCAACAAGCTGCGCTTGTAAAATGAACAATGTAGAACAAGTTAGAATTATTTCATATGCATCGGTTCACATTTCTCATAAATATTCCTTAAAATAGTATTGTGCAAATCTCTACAAAAAAACACCTGAACAAATACCCACATCTCCCATGCTGTCTATAGTTTCTACAGTAAATTGCTAATTATCATAATGACAAAATAAATATTCTGCTCAAAAATCGCCTCCAGAAATTGATGACATATCACCAATCGTGTCTTGATCAATGGAAACATGCGCATCACTGGGTATTGAGCTTTCCTCGTGAGTAACATCATCAATGGAAGGCAATGTCACTTGGATTTTAGTCGGCTTTTGTGGTTCTGTTTCCTTAGCCTCTACATCAGAATTTCTTCCGCTTCCCATTTCTAAACCGTAAACATCAGCTTGCTCGTCACTCTCGTTTTCACGAAGAAGAGCAGATCCATCTTCCCTTCGCTCCTCAACCGAGTAAGTCCGCTGCGAATTTGAAGGCTCACTCTCATGTTCTTCAACCTGAATCACTCTCGGATGAGAACGCTGAAGTTGTGTAAATGGCAAAGCATCAGCAGCACCGAGCGTCCCTGGTAACAAGTCTGACGCGTGAAGAGAGCGATCATCGACGCTCAGCTCTCCGTCGGCAATAGTTCGCACTTCCTCGGTCGTCCGAACGACTTCGTTTACGGGTAATGTTGGGTATTGCCTCTTGTTCGCATTATCTAGCTCGCGGTGAAGGTCTCTCGATACATCGGGGGGTTCCCCTACTACTTCACCAGGAGAGAGGTCCCCAGAAGCTAGTAATAAATAAAAACGACCACGTTAGTGCAATTTTCAGTTTATTTTTTAAAGTAGTACGAGATTGCCAAGCTACTAGTTTACTCTCCAATCTTACCCACTACTCCAACATGCGTTGTTCCACTTTTCTTCTGGTTTGAACGGGGCATGCGCGAACGGTCTCCTAACAGCTCCCCTTCACTGGCCATACTACTCTCCGCTGACCTCATGTGATGTTTAATGCGACTCAACAAAACTATCATTGGATCGTGGGGAGTTCTCCTTCACTTCGCGAAACGTCAGTAACGGAATCCTATTGTAGGAAATAAGGATTTCTTAAATGTTATACCTGACTTTCGCGAATAAGGGAAACAGAAAACAGGTACAGGAAAAAGCTAACACTTTGAAAAATCTACCCGATTCGAACTTTTTTGGGTGTAAATTCAAATTATTTGGTAGCATCTGCCTACCATCATTAGAGCTTCAATGTTCGTTACTACTTGCTACAGGCTTCTGCGCTGTAGTTTTTCCTAACAATAAACTTAACATAGTGAGCACAAAAAAGTGGTTCAGTCCTCTAATCAACGGCCTTGCGATCGAAATGGATTACCACGACTTCAAGAGAAGCCTCCCGTTAAGGTTCGTCACACTAACTACGGGCTGATTCAGTTGTTGTTGCCCGCGCGGCTTGGATCTTGCTCGGCTCCGCGTGGGTGAGCTGACTGGTGATACAATCCTAGAAGGTTCGCGCAACTGGCTCTCTCTATCGCATATAATTTACGCAGTTTTTTACTTGCATCAAACCTTGCTTAGAAACTATGAGAGTTGTGCGACAAAGTGTCGAGCTTTCAGCTTTCAGCTTCCAGCCAATCCCCTTCCCCCCCCCCCACTAATCGACTCGTCACAGTCCTTCCTTCTTTACCTCTTGCCGTGAACAATATGACCTGCGATAATTCAAGTTGGTATTGCTCCTTAATATTTATAAAAATAATATTATCTATCACGTAACCATTACCTCTCTAATGTCCCCTGTATCTCTCAGAGTGCTGACACCGCTGATCTGTTCTTCAGACTCACTGTTGCTCCTACTGCTGTTATCACTGGATCCTTGTCGATGTCGTTTGTCCGCTGGGCCACCTTTTAAGATGCCATTGAGAGCGACCCTAACGAGTTCGTTATGGCTGTCTGCGAGAGGAAAATATCACAGCTTTAACTATAAAAACAGAATGACACACTGACATTTAATTTCAACTCAGCTTTCGAAGAAATGGTGGAGACATGGACAAAAATGAGATGAAATAGTAAAAAGAATCAGCAATATTGCCAATTTCGTCTATGTATGTAACCCTGATGAAAAACTGATCCTTTCGACGCTTTGGCAAATTAAGGATGTAAGCAATATCATCCGAGTGTAAGTTAAACACGACTCGAGCCAGCAATTGATTAGTAACTTACTAGCTGTGTAATTAAATCTAGTTCAAGTTCTTACCATCATCGTGTCCCAACCTTGTTGAATCCCAGTCCTCGCCCATGGGCAATTTTTTTTCAGCGGCCAGTTGTACAATGGTTGGCGACAGAGCAAACTCTCCCTCGCTGTACATTCCAACATGTGCATATGGCTGAATTATCAAACCAGAAAAGACAACATTAAAACAAACACTTCTTCCAAAAATTTAACAGTGAAAATTTCTCCTTACAAAAAATCGAGAAAATTATTAAAGATACATTATGAGCTTTGAGCGCTTTTGAATTCAGAATCCGGAAGGCGGAAAATCGAACCCAACAACCAATCAGGGAAAAGGAAAATATCACAAGAAGCCAATGACAACTCAAAGGAAAAACAGGCAAACCGCTTGAAGCGCGGGAAAAACGCGAGTTACTAAGTCGCGATTGGTTTTAGGTTTGAATCCGATTTGTTGACAGGATGGCGCAAGTTTTCTGGACCAATCACAATGCGAAGTAAAGCAAACCCAAGTAACTCCAGATTATCTTCGACATTCAATTGAAAATTCCTCTGGGAAGTACTTCTCCCTGATTGACTGCTCTCAGGAAGACTCAGAAGAGAAGGGAGGGTGATACACTGACCTGTATTAATTCTCCCTCAGACATCTCCTCCTCGGTGGTTATTGTTGTTGCACCGAGGGTGGTAGATGACATGCTCGAAGGACTGCTGACTGAATGTTTCGCGGGCTGAGGAGGTGTCAGTTCCTTTTGACTAACCGCCGGTTCCTTTGGTTCACTGGGTTCTTCAACCCTGCGTTGAGAGACAGCAAAAAAAAAGCAACTTGATAGTTTTATCTTGTGTAAGTATACACTAAATAGAAGTGAGCTACCTTTATCTTTTTTGAAAGGACACGATTAAGACCAAATACCAAACTGACTAAGAGCTTTTCCTGGTCTTTGAAGCTTGAAGTGATGACGAGTATCTCCTCTCCTCCTAGACGGGACCCTGATCTATCTCAAATAGCCTCTCTTGTCCTTTAAGTTCACCCATTTCATCTCCTTTGCGGAGAGAAGCACCGTGAGAGTGAATTATCTTGCCCCACAACTCAACACAGTGGCCCGGAGAGGTCTCGAACCCGGGCTCTTAGATCCGGAGTCGAGCGCGCTAACCATTAAGCAACAGCGTCTCAGAATTTACTACAGGTGTAGACTTACATGCTTGGTCCCGGCTCGGGTTCAGGCTCCGGTGTTGGTGTTTTGACAACAACAGACGGCGGGGGCGTGGGAACTATGGTATCTTGCAATTCTCCTAGCTCTTGAACCGAAGCCTCAGGTGTAGATATACTGACCGGAGGGGACTGTACAGCAGGTGGAGTTGGGACTGGGGTAGTCACTGGAGTTTTGATCTCAGAGATCTAAGATTTAAAAGGAAAACGAATAAATCTTCACTCGACTAGTGTCTGGCTGAAAAATACCAACAGTAATCATCTTAACTAACTAACCTGTTCACTAGACTGTTCCTTCTTCTCCATTTCTTCCTTAATTGATTCCACATCTTTTTCTTCCTCCTCCGCACTCTCCGATGGAATCGGCTCTTCGCTCGTTACTGAGGGTGTAGGGGAGCGTTCTGGAGTTACAACAACTGCCGACTCATGCACACTCTCCTCTGACTCTGGAGGTGTGTACTCGGGGGTGGGGGCGGGAGTTGGCAATGGTGTTCCTCTGGGGGAGGGTGTACGTGACGGGTGACCTTCCTCCGCAATTGGTTGCTAAAAAAATGACGAGAAAGTTGGCATTGAAAACTGCTCAATGAGTTCGTCAAACGACAAACAGCAAGAGAAGTAGATAAAGTATGGAATAAAAAGTATGGGAATAGAATTAGAATGAAAGGGAACGCAAAGCCACCTTGTTAAACATACAATCCTCACGAGGTATGATGAGGCTGAAACAACCATACATGCCTACTAACTTGGTATATTACGTGGGCGAATGTACACATTCAGTTGCTGCAACGTAGTTATTTTACTGAAAAATGACCAATGAAATAGTTCACTCACTCTCGAAGGTCGAGGACTAGCCCTTGGTTTTGGATGACCGAGAATCGTGGAAACATTCTCAGCGATTACTTCCCGAATCAAATTGGTGACAAGTTCCCTATCTACGGGAATTCCTGCGTCAATAAATAGCTGAATACCATCCTGACCTATCGCGGCAGCTGAAACAGCAAGCAGCAAAAAAAATTATATCATAGTAATGTTTACTGCGATTACTACAACCTTGTAAATAGAGAGAAACCCAACCCGTATCCCTGTGATCTAGTCAAATTCTTTCTGAAATACTCGGAGGTGGTTCTAACTACCAGTCTGATCTTCTCTCGGTAACGGACGAGAGAGAGCTTTAGACGAGAAGAAATTGGAACGAGAAATCAGCTAGAAAAGGTGAGTCGTAGTCCCAATCCAGCCCTTGTTCCTTCAATCATGAAAATGTCTTTTCCCTCCTAACTGGCTGGGGCAAATCACTTTTCTCTCACAGTGCCTCTAAATCAAACTGTCCAGGGGCCAACGAAATTCCTTGGGGAAAGGGGGGGAGGCGGGGAGTCCATGTTTGATACCATCTGGGATAGAGAAGCAACAGTCAGCTTTCATGCTATAGAGAGAGGGATAAACTCACGGGTGTAGGCCATGCTTCTGTAGTTCGTAGGGTGGATAACGCTATCCACTTGATACGTTTTGTTAGCTCTTATCCGCTGGATAGCGATTCATCCAGTGGAGAGCACTATACGCCCTTTAAACAACTGGGGCCAAATATTGCGTGCGAAGACATCACCTAACGTCTAACACTTCAGGAGCATTTATAGGTCGCCCCACAACTTGTAGACTGAGTATTTTTGAAGGCTCTTTTTCTTTGTTGTTGAGATTACTTCAGCTTAACGAAGCATAAATGGTACTCACCAAGCATATCATCATCTTCATCTTCTGTCTCCGAAACAATGCTACTTTCAGGGGTGGCCTGTGGCCTTATCAGGGTGGTAGGGTCGGGTACTGGTTGATTCATTTCACTTACAATACGCGCCAAGAGTTCCTGCTCAATCCTAACAAAAGAAGAAGTTTAATTGGTTAACAAGCCAAGTTCATCAACATTTCTGTAATACAACATGACGCGTTGTTTTGACACAAAACCTGGCGTAATCGAAATGGCCAATCAGATCAAAGAATAGCATTACAAGGAGTCAATGGGAACTTAAGCTGAATAATGAGAAACTTCTTGAAACGCAGGAATTCACGACTGCATAAGTTTGAATCTGATTGGTTCGAAAAGGGCCTAAAGAGTCCTCTGCGGTTGTAGAGTAAGAATGGTTTTGTTCACGAGTTCAGGACGAAAAGTCCTTTTTATCTCTAAAACGATCACACAGTCGCCTCAAGTTTGGTCAGGATCGGCAACTTTACCATTCCATAGCTCTCTCTTCCAGAGCTGCCTGTTGCCGAGTATCAGCTTCAAGAACCCCCCCTGTCTGCTGCACAGAAACAGGAGGATGTACTGGTGGAAACGGGGGGCCATTGTAAGGTCCATCTTGTGCTTCTGTGAATCCTTCTAGTGTCAAGTGGTGCTGAGGTGTTGGAATTCGGTGGAAGTCATCATCTGCCTCATCAAGAGCCTGCGAATAGAAAGAGAAAAGGTTAACAGAGACGGAACTGTCCGAAATCGAACGGAATTAAACTCAAACCTGTTCATCATCCTTTTCCTGGTTCCCAGTTTCCGTGACGGCCAAAAAATTCCTGAACTCCTGGTACTCAGAATCATCTGGACGGGAAAAAGGCTCTGGGATGTTCTAAGGGAGGACATCAGTGATCAGAAAATTTGTATCAATTCCGATGATATCATAGTTGAGTATGATTCGAAATAAAACATGGCAAGTTCTTTGATAAAGATTTGAGCAATTAATCATCCATAAACGAAAATTGGATATGTTAGTGTACCTCAGTTTTAAAAATGTAATTAAAATACTTCCGAAAAACAAAATAAAAAATGGACTGATCGGTTGCTTACATGATACTGACATTGAAAGTAAATCTTACATGTCAACCACTTAATCCCAGGCATGAAAACTTACCGTGGCATACGGCAAACTCGACGAAGATGACGAAACCTCTGAAAAACTGTCGATATCCACTTTAGGTAACACCTACGGTTAAGAAAATAACTCTGAAAGAATTTGCACATATTTTTTGTCAGAACGCGAAACAAAATTCAGCGGAAATGTTCTTAACCGCTTGCTGAGATTTCCCTCGCCTGTGGTTTTCTTAGCTCCGACTTTCCTCCGCGGCTTAAACATAATCTTTTTGGTGTTAGTCTACGGTGTCGGAGACTTTGATTCGTGCGTGACACACGTCAGATGATGAGTGTGAACATTATGGACATTGATCGGTTAACATAATCAACACAACCTTGAATGACCTTTTAAATCAGTATTCGGCAACAACCAATCACAATGTAGAGAATATCGTATAAGAGAGGCCTGATGTAAATAAGCGAATACGAGAGCGGAATAAGACGGTTTGATTGAGTCTCGTTCGTTAGAATTCTATCCCTAGTAAACAGGACAAAGTTTACAAAACGGAACGGCTTTTTGGTCCAACAAGACGGGCCTGTGTAAGGCTCTCCAATGGTGGAAGCGAACCTAATGGCGAGTACCTGAAAAACGCCAGGGTCAATCGTTTGCGAGACAACCGCAGCTCTTCGCTTCCCCGCTCTTTCGCGTGCCTTTGCTAATCAAGAGTCCGTGCCAAATAAAATAATCCCCATAGAGAGAAACAGGATTTGAGCAAGGATATGAAAGATACTCCTTAGAATCCATATCAGTTCACCAACCTGGACAGACAGAGGGTTTCGCTTCTTCTTTGCTGACGTCTTTTTATGTTGTTTGTATTGATGGTCCATGTTCTCGTCCAGTTCCTTATCATACACAGTAATCACTGCCACATTTGGCTGAGCAGGTTTACTGGGTCTCACAGGAGTGGGGACAGGGGAATGGGCCTCAGATGTGTCAGTAGATAAGGTGCTATCTGGTATGGGGCTTTCTGCCTTTGCTGCAAATTTCAAATAAATAATTTGCTTTAGACCTTTAAATTGTCAAACTTTGTGACTCTATGCGTCATTTCAGAAAGAAAAAGCTAATAACGTTGCAATAGTCGTCCATGCTGTAGGAAGTGCTTTAAGAAAAAAGGAGAGGTGGCAAAAACAAGGTACCGACACTTAACACATTTAAAGGGTTTTTTTTTCAAAATCCGGTAATGGTTCGATCACGTCCAATAACAACTGTGCAAGCTTTGCTGCTATTGCTGCTAAATAAGAATATCGACCTGCAAGCAGACTCTTATGGGTGCGGCAGCAAAGCCATACCCCTTACCAATTCATCTCTTGTAAGTGACACCCGCGAAAGGTTTATTGCAAGCTGGGGGACAATTTTTGCCAGTTAAAAGAAATGGGACATTACCTTCTTCATATGTTTTGTCTTGTGGCTGTTGGGTGACAATGGGAGGTCGTAATGCTGGATCAGTCTTGGGTTTCCCCAGGGGTATAGCCATAGGTACTAATTGTCCCTCCAATGGCACGCCAACCCTTGACACCCCCTCTCCAACCTGTGACAAGTCCACCCTCGGGTGAAAATAATACTGCATATCTTCTTTTTGTTTGTTTGGTTTCCCTTGAGAACCGAGCTCAGGTTTCCTGGCATCAGCTTTTTGCCCACTAGGTTCTGAAAATTCTCTCTGTGGAAAGAAACTCATATCCTGCAAAGCAGGTTTTCCAGGTAGCTTGCTGTCACCGGCCATGATCCCAGCCATTATTGCAGCTGTCTTAGGGTTGACAGGAGACTGGTAGTGCAGGTATGGTGCCTTAGACGTCGTCCTCTGTGGGTGGTGAGGTTGGCGGCCATATACACTTGAAAGGTACACTTCCTTCTGGGCTGGTGTCACTCTAGCAGACTGCTTGGAAGGAGCTTGGCTTTTAGTGGACTGCAAGGAAACATTTGAAGGGCTGCTAAGTTATAATTGTTAAAGCAGAGTTTTCCTATTTTGCACTTAATAGACCCACCGTAGCTTCTGGAGCTTATTCCAGTCTCCCTCACATGAAGCCACCCCTGGATGGGATACTAGGCCACTGAAGGTTACCACCCCTAGCTTAGTCAAATTAGGTTTTCCTGTTAATTCTCTGCCCCAACCCCTTTTGTTTATTCTCCTGGACAGAAAGGGTCACTATGAGATTTACGTGTCTTGCCCAAGAACACAACACAATAACCGGGCCAAGTCTCATATAAGGACCTCTCAACCCATAGTCCAGTCCCCTACCCATAAGGCAAGCCCATCTCAGTTAATTCCCCCCCACCCCCCTCTCCCTAGCCCATCCCCATTCAAGATTTTGTGTGAATAGAGTTTACTCCGCTTATTGCAAACTTTAATGAAAGAAAATGAATATCAAGCACTTAAATATATTGCAACCAACACAGGAAAAACCAGTTTGGTAAGAACAGGGTACAAGAATCTGTGTTCAATGGCTACTTGCCTTGCCTCTCCTGGTAGAGGTCTTCTGTGGCAGATTTTCCTTCCCAGTACTTTTTCCACTTGGTTTATTCCCTGTCACAGTTGATCTTGTAGTTACTTTTGGTTCCACCCTTCTAGTCCCTGACGATGTTGTCTTTAGTGGTTGAGAGGTTTGCTTCTTCAAAGGAACTGAATTTTGTTTTTGCCCCAGAGTACCTCTATCCTCTAGATCAATTTCCCTCTAAAGAAAAAATGCTTACCTTTACCAAAAAATTGCCACTCAAGCACCTTCCCTTTCCCAGTTAAATCTCAATTTCACAATAGCAACTTAACCAAGACATATTTTTGACACACTTTCTTACAAATAATAAGGGTTTCCAAAATAGCAGGGAATGTGTCATGAGGAATGCTGAGTAAAATGTTTTGAGGTCAGGTTATAATCTTTGCTGGGCTACTAAATGCTCTGCGCAACAGAATTATAACACTAGATCAGGTAAAGATTCACATATTTAATGGTTGTTAACAGCATCAATGCAAAGTAAAAAATGGAAAGGTGAGCACAAGTAGATGAGTTGCATTGACAGGTCTCTACAACCAAACAATTCAGATTTTTGAATGAATGTCCATTATACAAGAATGCAGCACACTTGATTTCCTATAAAAAAATAAATCAAGCCACTAATATAATGTTTTGTGGTTCCTTTGAAATAACAAGGTCCTTCTGTAACATGCAAAAATAAGAAATAATGATGGAAATCCTTCATTAACTCTTTAACTCCCAGAAGTGATTAACATATTACTTCTCCCTATAATATTCATACATTATCCAGCAAAAAGGTAATAAGAATACTCAAATTTATTAGGTAAAAGCTGCTATCTTGATCTAACACCAAATTCTCCCAGCTACTTTACAAGGAAATGTGTAGCAGCTGGAGGGGAGAGTTAACAATCAGATCATAGGAGTTAAAGGGTCAACCCTGGAACTACCAGTAAAATTTACCTGCACCGCAGAGTTCATCTCTTTTATCTTTTTATCCACTTCTCTTCTTATTCTCAGCATTTCATCAAACTCTCTGCAAAAAAATTGATCATCCCACAATTGGCTTTGATCCTTTCACCCCTTAGTTTAACAAGCATCTAAATTCTCCTTACAATATCACCCCTGAATCAAACATTAAGGTTGTGGGAATAAAGGAAATGATCAACAACTACAGAATTAATTTCTCCTTGTCAGCACCTTGATAAATGTGCACATAACAGTAAGGAGAATATACATACTGATGTTAGGGTGTAAAGGGATCAATCTCCAGTGACTAAATTGATATGTAAGTTCTCAACTGATGATAGAGCAAATACAGTTTGACAACACAAAGAGTCACATTGCTATTACAGAACTAAAATGCTAAGCATTTACTTGACATTGCATTACTTCAAAGCTGTTTTGCTCTTACCCATCAGATGAAGGAATGTTATCCACAAAATTATACAAATCATGTTCTTCTCTTTGTCTTATCAGAGTCTGTAAATTGTTGTCCAGATTTCGCCGTCGATATTGAACATCTTGGAGGAGGCGTTCTGCATCAGCTAAGTAGTGTGCTGACTTTGATGGCAGAAAGCCTGTGATGGAAATAAATGACCAATAGTCATAGATATAAGCTAAATGTATATGGAAGAATTCCTTATAAAATGTTAGAAGAGGCAGTTTGGTAAATTGCTACATTGGAAAGGAGGAGGAGTTCTATTGAGGTCTTTCATCTTTACAAACACTTCATAATGACTAATTTTTATGCAAATTGTAAAACAAATAGGACTCTAAAAGGCAGGGCAAGGCTGAGGGTCTTCAGTTACGACAACATTCCCACTAAAAAATTAGCTTTCCTCAGCCATTAAAGGTGAGAATTTTCTGAGGAAACAGGTCACTTGATTTTCATTATATCTTTCTCTCACTCAGTTTCCTCCAACCATTAAGCCTCAGACACTTCAAATAAGCAGTCAGAAATCAAGCAAAGTGTAATGTAAGACACTCAAGAATTACCTGATGGTCTTGATGTCACAGGTTTTCTTAGTGAGTGTGATTTATGAGTGGTTTCCTATCAAATGATACAATGGGATATTCAGTCTTAAAGCTGTACATTCATAGCCCCTCAATTTTTTCTGAGGCAGGGGAGAACCATGAGATAACAGCTGGTATGGTTTACATAACAGTCTCCATGAGATTTATGGTGAAATGTGACAAAATATTTTTGAGGCCTGAGCACTAGTTAGGCTTCAGTTAGTAGAAATCATGGAATATATAAAAAAGAAACATGTCGACTGATTGTTACTAATGATGAACAGAAGCTGTTACTCATAGAGAGTTTGCTTTGTCCAAGCACATAAAACTAAGATTTTCTGCACACCATGTAATGTTCACTTTATTGCTTGGATATGATTGCTACAAAGTACAACAACAGCCACTCACGTGAAATTACATAAAGCCATCCAAACATAGCCCCAGATTTACATAAAGTTATCCACATGTAATGTGTTAATCCCTCAAACATATGTGTCAGCAACCATTATGCAGCAAATGACCAGCGAATTAATCTATGTGATTTCACATATTCCTCATCAAATCAATGTTATTTGACTTCTTAATTTTTTTAAAACTATCATATAATAATAAATTCTTACCAAATATTCATCTAGAGGTGAAGGACCATCACCAAGAGGTCCAACGTGCAGCACATCAGAGTCTGTGTTGCCCTATATGTATATGTTTTGAAATATAATTGGAGTTATTTCAACATGACTAAGAGTGGAACACACAAACAGTCACTAACTGCTCATTCTTTTCAGATAGACTACATGTTACTTTCAATTTGTAGCCATACTTTTACTTTAAGACAACAGTAAGAAAGAAAACAATTCTCATGATATGCATACAACTAGTAAATGTATACCTCTAACCCCTAAGAATGATAAGCATCTAATTTCTCCTAACAGTATTACCCCTGAAACATTAATGTCATAAGAATGCAGTAAATGATCCTCAACTCAAGAAGCTCTTGATTGTTAGACAAATTCTCCTTGTTAGCATCTTAGAAAATGTATAGAGAACAGAATGGAGAACTTGCAGTCAGAGGAGTCAACTCGACTATTGCTATTTACCTTGACTAGCTGTTGTTTAGTCAGCTCTTGTTTAAGTCTCTCTGTCTCCTGCATCAATCAATCAATATTTGACCAATATCATATTAGAAGATTGAATGACTAGTTATAATACCAATATAAAGACTGACTCAGAGCGGAAGTACAAACTGGAAACTGAAAAGAAGTTATGAGCTGTAGTTTGTAAATCAAAAGCAGTACTCAATGCTTTGAGGAGAAAGGAGTGAATTTGTTGATGTTTGACAACTTCTCCTTAGTGAATCATGGCCCAGATCACTGTGAGCAAGGAGGCTGAAATCCTCATTTGCTGTTTGTAACCAAAATAAAAATACAACAAGCACAGTCATCATGTTTTGGAGTGTCACAGTGATAAGAGCAATCTGCCCTTTTTTCAGTATGATGTCAAGATTGCTGTAGTGGGAACACACAATTGACTGAGGTCCAAGTCTACATAAGTTAAATGAGAGAGCAAGTTCTTCCTTAACTTACAACAAGAATGTCCTTTAAATCAGTTTTAATTTTTCCAACATCACTTGACAACATGGCTGTCTCTGGTCTAGGTGGAAGAGAGTCACCACTGAATGAAAATAAAAGGAAAAAAGAAAAAAGGGAGAGAAGTCAACCACAAAAAAGACTAAAGCTCTTCAATCCAAATTTCAAAATCTATTTTAGAGATTCAATTCCTTAAAAATGAATTAAGATAAGTTCTCGCTGTGGTAAGGCTCTAACCACAAGTACTAGACATGCAAACCTTGTGGGGAATCCTTTGGTGCCCCTCCCTCCAAACAAATCATTTCCCTTGGCAGAATAATTACCAAAAAAAGAGGGGGGAAGGCTATTGGGTGGAAGCAGAAGGCCAGAAGTGGTTGCTGAAGAGAAGCATGCCTTTCAAACATCTGATGGCTAACATGTATACATATACAAATATTTCATATCCCAAAGATCTACGTTGTGAGATTAATTCTCTCTTATATTGAGTTGCCACAATATACACCAAAAATTGGGCAACCTAAATTAAAAAAGTTGACAGCTATCAAGCAACATCTGGCTATTTCCAGAGGGTGACCACTGAAAAGGGTTTTGAACAGCTGTGTTGTACATAATCAACCAAATTCAGTCACATCCTTTCACCTATGGTTAAAACTACTCAGGCATCAAACTTTCAAACACAAACTTTAATGACCACAACTTTGTATTTTAAAATCAATGCGATACTTTTTGCACACAAACTTACATTCACAGGCAGTCCATCACTACATTTTTAAAATTGTTTTCAGGATTGCAATCCACTCTTGAAACTATGGATTTTGCAAGATGTCAAACAGTTTTTAAAAATGTACCTAAACTTTCCTGTGTACTGAAAGATCACAGAACAGCTAAGAGAATAGGGAAAAGAGTAGATGCGTCTATTTACAGGTTTTCTTTTTTGTCTGAAAAATCCCACCTTTGAAGAGAATTCTATTCACAAAGTCTCAAGTTTTAAGTTCCAATGATCATATTCTTAAATATTAACATTACAGAAATGACCAGCTACCCTTGAATAAACAAAAGCAACTTGCTACTAAGAAGCTACACATCTATACAAGAATTCTGGAAAATAATATCTATATGTTGCCTAGAGTATTCTTTTGACAGCAATAACTATTCTACGTGATAAGTGTCTCACACCTTTGGACTTTACCATGCACATTTTAAGGTAGCAAAATATTAGAAGGAATGCCAGTGCAATGTTGATGTTGCACAATTCTTAAATTAAAATACAGTAGCGCATCAGTCAAAACAAACAATTCTCTGCCACATTTCATGATAGAAAAATTAACCTCATCTTGCCTTATGCAAATATTTTGCAAAATCAGAGAATTTTCCAAACTCCTACACATTACATTCACAACTTTGAATTCTACACAGAAAGGTTCCTTTGACTAATGCAAAACCCCCAACTTCCACAAAAACACAGTGGCCTTGGCCTTAACTATATAGAACTCTAACATACAGCTGTTATTCTTGAACCTTCTGCTATTTAGATGCGATTTGCAAATCTCCCTACGAATAATACATTTTCCTGTAAGCTTTAGACAAAAGAATCTGACATTTTGCTTAATAACACCCTCCAGATCACAAGTTTGTCTATTCCCATGGTCTGCTTGCTGGAATATGCATTGGAAACATAGGGAGAAGAGCAAGCTGGTTACTTCCAGACATTAGATGTGCTATGAAAAACTTCCTAAATTATCAGTTTACTATAAAAACACCATTTCACAAAATGTTTTATAAATTGTCAGGAAATCTTCTTGGAAGCAAATTAATAAAACTTCTTACATGAAAAATTTTGTGCAGGTAATTGAGGCAACTTTTACCATACATAATACACAGAAACAAGTTCATAAGAGCCACACAAAAGTAATGTTTCAGATTAGCCACTAAATTTGTTACTGCTATGGCAGAAAAGAAATTCCACCCTTTCTCTATGTATCTTTTTCCTTTTTTACAGTGTATTCAGTTCCAAGAATGGTCGCAATTTCTCCTTGCATGAATGCCCAAGGCAAATCACTGCCTTGTAATGGGCATCTCTCTCCACTTGGACAGAAAACTTCTGAGCCAGCTCCTTGCTTCTTGATACTGTCACGTGAACAAGGGAAACAGAATTTATGGTGAGCAACAGATGGGCACTGCACAAAGTGGGTGTCTTCAAGCTTGTCACGACAAAGACTGCAAGTCAGAATATTCACTGTGGAGCTCCTTCCCTTCATGTCACCTTCTGCTGCATCTGGGCCTTTAGCTCCACCAGAGCTAGGTAAGGGTCTGGGTGATTGATGTGGGCGTGGTGACAACCGCTCGCTGCCAGGTGAACCAGCCACAAGGGTATTTGGACCATTCCTTGAATCTTCACGTAGCACTGAGGTGGGTGGTAATTCGAATCGATTCATCATGGTGCCCATGGGAGATTTCACTTGTGTACGGGCATGTTCAGACACTGCCAGGCTTGGTGCACCCTTTGAGACTGCCAGTGACACCATCGGTGGAACTGAGGCAGATGGTATGGAACTGACTGGGGTCCCTGGGGGCAGTGGTGTCCCTGGTAAATGAACTGGTAGTTTGACACCATCAGCTGTTTGGTTTTGCACCCAAACACTATGTAAGGCATCATCCCGAGTCATGCGCCCATGCATGGCTCCAGCACGTTTTCCAGCTGCTACTTCAAATTCTTCTAAATCAATTGCACCTTTTCGCTTTCGCCCATACTGGGGGCCGGACCGGTTGAAGCTGAGATTCACATTGGGTAGAACTGGAAATTCTGCATCGAGCTGAGGTTTGGCGAGAAATTCGGGATTGACAGCTTCCTTGAACAATCGCACCGGTTCAGGAAGAAATTCTCCCAGTAAACGCCATTCTCCTTTGGAGCGATCTTTCTCGTACTCTAAATACTTGAACCCAGAGGAAAGTGGCTTTGCAATTTCCTTCAAAGATTCTGTGTACATCTGCTTGGCGACTCCAGATGCGCTTTGAAAAACGCAACCAGAGCCTCGAGGGTACTCGATGAAGATTTTGAGTTCGTAGTCAACCCCAGGCTTACAGCTAAGGTCGAAAGCAAACACGCGACCAACATAACCATGATCCTTCTTGAATCTGATATCAAATGGACAAGACCTGTTCAGAGTGGTTAGTGTTTCCCGTATAAGTTCCAACCGTGGCCCATCGACGACAAAATTCTGCTGAGGTCCGTTTGGGGTCAAGGGGGGATGATGTCTTTGTAACGCATTTCCGTTTGGCAGCGAATGCCTAGCGTCTTCCATGTTGAAACTAGACCCTCGTCTTTCCATTTCGCGAGAACCAATATTTCCTGGAGGTCGATTTGCTTTCGAGCCAGGTCCGTTGACAGCTTCGCCACTCCCGTGCCCATGAGAATTTTCCATGCCTTCCTCGCCATGCCTGGTAGCATTCTGATGTTTCCCAACTCCTTTCCTTTGCTCTGAATACTGCGCCGTATAGTTAGTACCGTTGGCGGGTGGCGGACTCGGAGTGGAAGATATAGATGAACCCGCTGAATTCAAGCGCTCAGTTTTCACTCCCCGATTTCTGTGCGCTAACTCGTTATTTTCCCATGTTCGTCTTAAAATTCTCGAATAATGTATCACATCCTCAATTCGATCTGGCCCCTCGTAATTACAACAACCACGACAAACAGGTTCGCTGAAATCTTGTAGAATTGCCCACGGTGAGTGAGGAAGATCGCATAAGAAACAGTGTTGTCGATGAAAGCGGGGGTTAGTCGTCATTTCGCGCACAACTGTTCACCAGAATCAAAATTTACGGTCGTTTTCCGCGAACACTCTTCAGTAGTAAACGAAACTACAGTCCTCTACCCAACAAACGTGAAATTTCCTGTCAGGTTTATCCAGTTCCTTCTTCCATCACGAGCGCTACCGAGAAATATGAAGATGACAGTCTGCCTTCACGATGTTGCAATTGAAACGTTATCCACGGCACGTGTGTTGGTTAAAAAAAAATCCTCGCCGTAAATCTACTAAATCGAAGAGGATTCCTTCTCGCAAAATTCCCTACAGAATGACCCAGAACTCTTCTAGGCGAAACGAAGAAACGAGTTGAAACAATTGCCATCAAATAAATATGTGACGCGAAATTCGATCACCCCCCGAGCTCTCTAAAGTCTAAATTTAGGTTCGTTGTGAAATTAACATATCAGTGACCGAGCCGCGCACTAAGGTAATACGTCAAAACAATGAGTGAACTCACACACTTCCTGTGACGTCACTGCAGTCATGATGGACTAAATTCACAGGGCGTGTCGTGTCAGAGACGGATAAATTACGAAATACTTCCACACCAGAACTAATCCCGCGGGAGTAAAAAAATCGGAAAAGTTTATTTACTGTATAGACACGATCTCGAAATCGAATTATACACGAATTTTCAGCCCAAACAACTGCTCAATTTAGGTTCTAAAACGCCGACAACAAATTGAATATTCAATTTTTTTTGTCTGCGTAGCATGTGATCACCTGACCTACAGCTCATTTCCGCCGTGACTTGACAACGAATTTGAGAAGAAAAATATCTGTCCTAGCAGAGGAAAGACAATTAGCTCCTGGAAAAGAAAATTTTACGTTACGAAAATAAAATCCAGTGAGAGAGTGTCATGCGAAGTGCTATAAGCAACACAGGAATAAGACAAGGGAAGTGTTATTTCAGCGTGTTCCGCGAAACAAAAAAGCACTTACGCATGTAAATTATGTATAGAATTCAATTGGATGACGTAAGTATTTCCACGGCTACCAACCCCAGGCAAGAGAGAAACGATTACAAAAAAACCACAAACTCTTGGCTTAGTTTACATAAGCATTCTTTCCGGAAAATGAAAGGTCGTTATTATGCGCACCTTTGTATGGTTGAGCGCTTTGACGCCGGATACAATAAATTGCATTTGAAACAAATCCTGTTTAGCAATGAATAATTCTTTTGTCAGTGATGGCGTCACTTGATCTCTTGACAGAGATTGAGCAATATTGACTGTCATAAGGAAAGAATTTGAATCATCTATGGCGTGTTTACACTTTATTCTAGGTAATTTGAACATGCAAATTCAGATCAAATTCCCTTGAGGAAGCGTTTCGGACCAGACGGCATTACACACGAGTTTCGTGTCATAGCGCCGAAGTGGATTTTCGTTACGGTTCTTTTTTCCACCGCATCAAATACGCAATATTTCTCTGTCAGAGTTTATTATAAAAGGCGTCCTAGTCGACAATGTATTACACAACAGGTCATCGGCAATATTTATAGTTCATCTTTGTTTCAACTGAACCCACAAATGAATGAGCAAAGAGCAGAAATGAGCATGCGCAAAGAAAGGAATGTCAAATCGTGCCACGTTACGGTCTTTGTAAAGAAAAAATAATCGTATTCACGAAAAAAAAACCTTCCAAGATTCCGGTTATCGAAAATTAGAGATCTGTAACAACAAGGAAGCAATCAATTTTTCTAATTTACTTTACAGTCAGTATTTAGGAAGACGGAATTTCACAGGAAACAAAAAGAAAATTTCCCTCTAAGGACTGTGAATATGTAAGTCTATACAGAGCTTCTAATGTTACGCTCGACAACGCGCGAACACGATACTATGAAAGATAATATCTGGCTGACAAAACGAAAGATAATTTTTTGCCCGTGTTTCCCACGAGAGCGGACATTGAACTTCCGATTTACCGAGAAGTCGTCACGCAAAACTGGCCCTAAGTGCCGACAGACGAAAGTTGGCAAATAAGCCATTGTTCTGGAAATACAATATGTTGTTCAAGGTAAACCTCATGCAAGTGCAGTAATGACCCTTTCGAGGCAGGCCAATCTTTCGGAAACAAAACAGGAATTCTGCTCTCAAAAATCTATCATGTGGTTTAGATGCAAACCTGAACTTAACTTAAATATGGACACCACATGATGATCAAGGATTTTTGGTAATAATAGTTTTTGTTATAAACATCATGCGATCAGACAAACGCGCGCGCACATGACGGAGTAATTTAATCATTTTGATTCCAACGCAAAGCTTTTACCCTTGACCCAAGGAACACAAGATAAATATTACATTCCGGAATTTTTCGACCAAAAAAATGTCAGGTGTTTTATTATTTTGGATACCGAGTGGACGTGGTTTCATTTTACTCCATAAGTGAGTTGAGCACATAGATATCGTTGAATGTACAAATGTATTGGCCCAAGACTGGAATGTCACATGTCTGTAAGGGTGCAATGTACGATCAACGCATGTGTCTTACAACACATGAGGAACATCTGCAGAAAAAACCTCCTGAGGTTTCTATAGTGTGACCAACACCCTGTTGTGTTGAGTAGCTAATCCGCTGTTCGGGGAAATGAGCCCGCGTGGACCGCACTAAAGAGGGCGGCAGAAGTCAAGCTCAGTAGACCCACAGGAAAAAAAAAAACTAAACCTATAAATTTTTCTGTAGAGTCGTTGGCGACTATCCTCACTCCTCCGCTACTAATTACCTCTTTGAGGCGTCTAAATAACAAAATGTTCAAAATCAATTTTCCGCGTATCGAGGTAACTTTTTCAATAGAGACTAATAACCGTTGCTTTAAGCCGATTTTACACTAAAATTAAAACCTGTTCGTAATCTGTGAGAGCCCGTAGGATAGGTGAGAAAGTAAGTAAAATCAGAGTTATTATTGGCCTATGACGCTCCCCTGACGTCATGATTTAACCCAATCAAGTTGTTTCATTAAAATTCATAAACAAGCGTTACTCGGGGACTTCGAGGTTCGGTTTCTTACCGTACCGGAAATAAAGTGGCTTTGTGAGATTAATTTATTTTTTTTGTCGTCGACCAAACTAAGGCTACTGAATCTACAAACCGCCAACGCAAATAAAAATATGTATTCACAAGGATTTAAGAATTTAAGGATTCAGGAAGTGATAAATTCGACCTGCTAAAACGAACTCTTTTTCCTTCTTCAAAGGAAACTCTGACAGCTTTGCTTCTCTTGACCTTGGATTAAATCTGCATCTTGGCAACGGTTCAGTTCGTTTGACGGTGATTGGCTTGAAATTCAAGGACGCACTTCGAAAACGATGAAAAAAATAACTTAGCGAATTGATTATCTTCCCCAGATAAACCAAAATTAATAGGCACGATTTCAGAAACGAGGAACAAAACTAAACCAATAAAAAAGTCTAACGAATCCTCATTGAAAAACCAAAAAGAACGACCATGTGTTTGGTGGTTGTTTCGAGATGAGATGATACAAAATGATGACTTCACATTTAAGCGTATTTCCTCGAATTAATAGAAATTGATTTCACTTCCATGAAAACAGGAAAATTATGGAAAAAAGTGGAATCATTATTTTGTTTTAAGTTGATGGTTCAGTGACTTTGGAACCGCTAGAGGAATGTTCTAAGCTCTAATTAGTGTAATAATCTCGTCAATCGCATTTCACTAAGATAAAAATTTTACATTATCGTTTCGAACCAGCTTTAACAAAGAACTTCCTTTTGTATAAGCAATGAGAGGCTTAATCCAGGTGCGGTTTTTGAAGGAAAGTCAAGAACATGAGTTCTTTTTTTGGTCTGGGTCGACACATCTAGCGTTATGGAAACATGGCAGTGAGCAAGCGAAAAAATTTGGTCGCTCGTTGGCGACCGGAAGAACAAAACAAACCAGTATACAGCTATACTTTGGATACTGATACGTGGTTGAGCGCACGGCCAACAGAAACACGGAAAAATGCTAAAAGTATTGGCAGGCAATAGCAAGGATGACATAATAAACGCTAAAAACAAAAGCCGTGAACCTGTTTTAGCTATGATGACAAACTTCCGCGAGGCCAAGTGAACACGTTTTTTATGATGAATCAGGAAGCATTCAAACTGAAATGTTTGTGCGTGGTTTAGAGTGAGCACGAACATGAATTTTTTTTTTCCGACGTGATTATTAGCTGGCACTCCTTTCAGCGATAGGGGAAAAGGTTACTTCAAGAAGAAGGCGAAATATAACGGAAGTGAATATGGAAGCCCACTCGAATTAAATGGACGCACTCTCCGTAACCTCCACATAACAATGAAAAAAACATTTATAAGGACGCCCCGACGGCGACGCAAAAGGAAATGTTGTTTAAAAAATGAATTCACATTTGCCCTCAGAGTTAAGCGCATGACTAGACATCTTAACCGACGGCGCCAAACTTCTTCTTTCAGGACAGCGTTCAGTTCGAAATCGAGGCAAAAATAGTCTGCCATCGCGGTTTCCGTTTTCAGACCATTAAAACTTTGGCATTTTCTCGCTGTTTGTTTGCCAAAGGATGGCGAGAAAATGCACAAAGTTTAAAACGCAAATGCAGAGCTGTTTTTCTGCCATTAAAGTCTTTTCGCATTGCTATCGTCTCGTTTTCTATTGTGCTTCTCTACAAGTCGTGGTTGCCACTCGCTTTCGCGAAAATGGGAATTCACTCATCTAGCTACCTTTTTAATTAATTCCGTCAAAAATAAAACCCACGTGCACAGAAAATTTCCTCGTTCCATTATAATACAAAGGAGATACTTAACTGAATCTATTTCATTCTGTAAATTTGCAGACAGAGCCCTAAATCGCACCTTTACATGGATGCATGCGTAAAACTAAAAACATTGTTAAAAGGAAACTTCAAGGAAGGCGCTTTCGGAGACAAACAATCTTAAGTAAGAGACAATCTCCTGATGTACACCTTTCTACATCATTTCTATCAAGTCTAGAAAGACTGAAAGAACAATGCAGTTCCCTTAAAACCGATCCGCATATTTAAGTAAACTCGTCAAAATTCTCAGTTGGGATAGTATCTACCTGGCAGGCAGTGTGCGACTTTCCTTTCCAGGAACCTCAACTTTATACACCCCGTCATGAAAAGCGAGTTCGCTTAAAAGTCCTCTGCCTGGAAATAAAGGAAATAGCCATTAAAATACGGTTAATTTTTAGTAGTCGAGGGAAAAAAATTGGTATTTTAGCTCAAATTTGTTGAGAGTAATTAATTCTCTTGTGACAATCGACTTTTTTTTTATAGCAACGTCCACGCCTAAGCTATTATACCTGTACCAGTCTATGATATAGTAATAGTATTCCAACTCTCCCGATTCGATTTCGCCTAAAACTTTAGAGCTTTGAGCCCTCTTTACACTTCATCGTTGCAAAAAAAGAAAATAGCTAACATGCATACCTTTATGTGTCAAATCTTTTTTATAAGACAGTAAACTAGGAGACACTTCTGGTTCGAAACGGACGCGGGCTTTTTTCTCTGCCTTCGTATTAACATCAGAACGAGGACCTTTAGCGCGGGACCTGGGCAGGTCATAGCGAGAGATAGGAACAGGCGGTCGTTTACGAGGTAGAGGAGTCTGGAGCGGGGAGTCTTCTGAGGTATAAGATTCTTGAGGAGAGGTTTGTGTCTTGGTGTTTTTGACCACTTTATGTTTTTCTGTCAGAATCAATAATTGAAAAAAAAAAATACACAAAAGTTTTCAACTATATGAAATGAAGTTTGTATGTGAAAGGGGCCTCATTGGAGGAGAAGGGGGTATCATCTGAGAGTAGATATTAATCAGTTTTTAGGAAGCAGTACCACCTAAGTCTTACATTCTGCTTGAATTTGAATGACGAGATAATTCCTCTACATGGTGATGGCAAAGGAAATTTTATACCTTACCCCTCCCCCCCCTCTCTGATAAAAACGGGAGATGTTTTTCAGTCTACGACAGCGACATACCAAGAAAAATAAGACGCAATTTTTTTCAGCCAAAGCTTCCTAAACTGGCAACTGCAACACAAAACTAAGTAAACTTACCACTTCTTCTTCTAACTAGGAGAGCAGAAGTAAAGGCGCAGAGACCTCCAGTCAGGGCAAAGAGCTGCTAGAAGGGTTAGTGATTATTCAAGTTCTTTAAGAAAAACCTTTGTCTTTTATTTAACAAAGAAAGTGTCCTGGGTATTCTTGGCCCCTGAAAAGTTTCTACTTTTCTAAAAGCAAACATCATCACACAAAATGAAATCTTACCAAAGGCTGGAGTAGATGAATGACCTCTGGGCTGATATGAAGGTTCAGCGGTAGTTTGAGGGTGATAGTGACCAGCTACAGAGTGTGGTGGTTGGGTAAATTCATCCTGCCTTGCTATCCCAGATACACCGCGGTCAGAAGATGCAACATGAGCTGGATGGTGAGCAGCCACAGTGGCCGTACAGCTCACAGGTAGCATCCCACTGTCCATACTGCTGGATGGTAGCACTGCTGCTGTTGCTTGTTGCATGCCAGTTGGATAGGAGGCTGGTGCTGACTGAATGGATAAAGAATAGATTCATTGGCTTGCAGTTTTCTGGTAATTATCATCACAAGATTTCTCCAGAGAAAGTTCCACCTGGTTGCAATGTTCCACAGAAAGTTCCAAAATTGTATCAAGCAAGTGATTGTGATTGCAAGTCAGCCAAGAAGCTCATCCCATTACTGTAAGATATATCATCTACACTGTATGCTACTACTGGCTCCTTTGCTCTCAAACTTAAGCAGGCATGGAGAAGTGGGAAAAAAAACTGATAGGAGAATAGTGCTTATAGAGGTAGTCCATTTGTCTTCTTTCACCTCCTTTGCACTTTTCACTTACCCTATCCCTTCTTAGTTACACATACTGGGCAAACCTTGCTGAAAGCTCAGAATTATGTCTCTGTTCAAAACCCAACCGTTCTGGAACTCTGTAAACTTACACATCATTGTACACAATAGCAGAAAACCTCAATTCTAAACTTTACATACTTGAGTCTCCAATATCTTGGCTTGCAGATCTTCAAGCCTCTTCAGTCGTTCTTCAAGCTGTTGTTGTAGTTTCTGTTCCTTTTCCTTGTCCTGTAGCTCCTGTTGTCTGTTGTGATTCTGTTGCAGAACTTGTAAGTTGTTTACAAGAGCAGAAATCTGAGCTTCCAAGGTATGCTGCAACTAAGAACATAGAGATAAAATGCTAAATGATACTGCTGTGCCAAAGTAAATCTTCTAATTTAGTTCTACAAATCAATAATGAGACATTTTTGAAATACAAACTGTAACTAATCACCTGTAGGAAAGGTCCAGTTGCTGCAGATGCAGCAGCAGCGGCAATTGCTGCTGCAGTAGCTACAGGATTTTCACTACTCACTGCACCTTGTGGGTTATTTGTCTCTCCAGCCTGGGACACCACAGTAGGTTGAACCAGTTTCTTTACTGGCCTTCTTTGGTCTATTCTATTGAAGTGCAAGTACACACAGGATAAAATAAGAGGTGAATTTAGAAATAAGTTACTGAAATGATCCCTTCCTCCAACTTAAGACAGCAAAAGGCAGCATGTCTATTCCTTACAAATTTGACTTTTCATCAGGGTGATAAATTAGGTGATATGTTTTAACCAGCATCCACTAAATGCAATATTTTAGTCTCATTGTCCAGTTAAGATTGACAGGGTCCAGCATAACAAGCACCATTTTGGGCAGGTACAAGAAAACTTTTGAGATCTGTTGGGTTGTATTCAATGTCCTCCCCAAAGAATAGCTTTCTTTAAAGTATTTTATTCACAAATCAACCACTGTTTAATTTGTTGTGCAGGAAATGACTGTTTAAATTTAAAATAATACAGTACATCCCCATTGCAATCTATACATAAAGTTCACAGACCAGCCATTGCATCAATAAAAAACTCTTCAAAAAAACTTAGGTTGGGAAACATCTGTTCAAACCTCTTCAAGAACTGTTCTTTTAAAGACTTTTCTTTGTCATTCAAAACAAATCGTTTGATCTTGACATCACCTGGAAGGAAAATTCCAAACCAAAATTGTACAAGTAAATATGAATAAATTAAAGGAAGAACAACAACAGTAAAAGTGAATTGTTAAATGGCTCTTGAAAGGAAATATATAATACCTACAATCTTTATATTTCCAAACTCACTTGCATTTTCTTTTGCAGGGTTGAAAATTGGGACTCCACTCTTTGGCTGTCCTTGGTACAAGCCTTTGGTGGGAATGCTCTTCAATTCAAATGAGAAATATCAATAATCAGTGTTCAGGATAAAGTGTTATGAAAGCACAACAAGTAAGCTGTTATGCAGTGTTCTCCTTTTCAGGCAGTAACCGGTAACATTTACCACCTGTAGTACCTCTTATTACCATTTAAAATTGCTTGGAATTCTTGAAAATTCAACAAGTAAAAGGATTGCTTTACCAGTTTGAAAATTTGTGTTACCTGTCATGCATAAAATAAGGGAGAACACTGTTATGAGTACATTAGTTGGTACAATGCCTGCTTTTTAGTATAGCAGCAGGTTATTTTCTTTTTTATTTTATATTTGCAGGCAAAATTGATCTGAAAAGGGTTATTTTGCTTGAACAAACTGTAATGCATCTTGCTTTAAACCAAGGTACCTTTGCATGCAGTCTTGGCAAGTTTTTGTCATGCCAGTATGATGATGTGACCTATGCCATTGTTGTGAGGTCACTTTAAGAAACCAACATGCTGCTATTGTGATTGCCATAACGGCTGGATCATTCTGCTTTATTTCTACGTTTGTTTCTCTGGTGCACTCCTTCCCAAGGCTAATCCTGACCTCGATATATCTGGTGATACTCTTCTCTTCATTTCTCACGGTCTGACGACAGTGAGAATTCAACCTTTAACCATCGGTCACCGAGCTCGCAACATGCAAAGAATCTCCAGTTGCCGAATTCAAGACTTCTACTCCTTGGATGCCGTTTTGCGATTAATTCCTCTCTTTCCTTACTACTCATTCGTCTCGCAAATGATGTTGAACTTCAACCTGGTCCTGTTGGCTCCTCTGGTTCACATGACATCCTGTCTGATCTTCGGGATTTGTCAACGAAAAATGGGCTTACAATTATTCATCAAAATATCAGAGGCCTCGTGGCGAACAGGGATAGTCTATGCCAAATGATCGATGATTCCAAGCATATAGACATCATATCCCTCAGTGAGACTCATCTATCGGACAGTGAAGAGGCTCAAGTTCAACTGGATGGCTATACGTTCATTAATAGACCAAGGAAAACAGGCAAAGGTGGAGGTGTGGGAGTTTATATCTCCTCTTCTGTCCCCTTTCATAGAAGACTAGACCTGGAACGCGATGGGATCGAATGTATCTGGATAGAAATTTTATTTCCAAAATCTAAGGGTATCCTTATTGGTTTTATTTATCGCCCCCGAGTTCTTCAAAGCATCTTTGTGCAGATTTTGAAAATAAACTGGAGTCGATGCTTTCTGCTGTATCATCTGAAAACAAAGAATGCATTTTGACAGGCGATATCAACTGCAACTATTTGGTAAGCTCAGACAACAAAGAACTGAAGGCAATGCTATTGTCTTTTGGCCTTAAACAGCTAATCAAGGATCCCACGAGGGTAACGCAAGATTCAAAAACACTGATAGATGTGATTTACACAAATCGCCCTCAGAATGTTTATAGTGTTAAAGTCATTCCCGCCGGCTTAAGTGACCATGATATGTGACTGTGGGTTCACCTAACAAATTTTGGTCAGCTATTAAAAAACTATACCCTACAAAGTCTACAAAGGAACCAGGAGCAGCTTTTCTCGTTAATGAAGCAGTAGAAACCGACAAAGAGGTTATTGCAAATTTGTTCTGCAAATTCTTCACTGATGTTGCGCGATCTCTAAAAAGAAAGATCTTCCCTCTTTGCAATTTTGTCTGGAAAAGGCCCCTTACAATAGACACCCAGCAGCCGCTAGAGAACTTTGAGTTTAGATCAGTCTCGGAAAAGGTTGTCTTTAATGCATTAAAAGAGCCTTAAGAGAAATAAGTCCTCTGGCCTTGACAACTTTCCTTCTGGAATGTTAAAGGACTCTGCTGATATAATAGCCAAGCCTCTCACGCATATAATTAACCTGTCTCTCGCAACAGGGTCTGTACCTACTGACTGGAAAGCGGCTAAAATTGTACCACTTTTTAAATCTGGTTCAATGGCCGAAATCGACAATTATAGGCCTATTTCAATACTTCCCTCAATGTCAAAGATCCTGGAGAAAGTGGTATTTAAGCAGCTGATGGCTCATTTTGAACAGAATGGTCTACTTTCTCATTTTCAGTACGGCTTCCGTCGCATGCGCTCTACTGAACTGGCCGTTACTCATCTTACCGATGTTATCAGAAGAGAAGGTGAGAATGGTAACCTGACAGGCTGTGTTTTCATCGATCTATCCAAGGCGTTTGACACCATCAGTCACTCTGGCCTCCTGAGCAAGCTTTCAACTTACGGAGTTCGTGGAACAGAACTCGCATGGTTCACTGATTACCTTTTCTGCAGATCACAAGTTGTCCAATATAAAGGCGTGCTATCAGAACCTCAACCCATTCTCACAGGTGTTCCTCAGGGAAGTATCCTGGGTCCTATCTTATTCATTATCTTCTTCAACGATGTACATAAACCGCTTCAACACTCGAAGATTATCACTTATGCCGACGATTCAGTCATCTATACCTCTTCTAAAGATATTGATACTATACAGAGAAGCCTTAGCGAGGATATGAATAACCTGTGCGAGTGGTTTAAAGACAACGAACTGATCATTAACCTAAAAAGGACAAGACGGAGTCTATGTTATTTGGAACAGCTAAAAGAATCAACCTTCAAGACAAGGAACTTAAACTTTCTGCTAATGGGTCACTCATCAATAATACCTCTACCTATAAGTACTTAGGTGTTCACCTTGACTCATCACTAAACCTCGCATCACATTTTGACCGAATCTATAAAAAGCTGCAACCAGAATCAATCTCTTGCGATCAATTCGTCCTTTGATCGACCAAAAGTGTGCAGAATCGATCTATAACACTATGATCGCACCTATCTTTACCTATTGCGGAACACTTGGTCTTAGCTTTCCGGATTACCGAAAGGAAATGATAAAGAACATCGAACGACGAGGCTTTTAAAGTTATCGGCAATAGTTCTTTTAATCCCCATCCGTGAACAATTTGATCAAGCGTAAAAGCTGTCTGTTTGTTTTCGACTGTCTCCTGAATAATGTTTGCACACCCTTTAAGAACTACTTCGAAAGGCTGGTTCATTCTAAGGCCACTAGGAATAACGGTATATCAGTGAAATTACCCAAAGTTCGTTTAGAATTTGGTAAAAGAGCTTCTATTACCAAGGAGCAAAGACTTTCAACAACCTGCCTGCTGAACTAAGGTCGTTAGATTCGAGACTGAAATTTAAGAACAAATTGCGAGATTATTTTAGTTAAATTCTATCTAAACGTGGTTATAGGTATCCTTTTCAGAGTATTTTTATTTAATTTTTAATTTTATTGTATGCTTTTCTAGACCTTAAGATCAATGATTATATCTTGTTAAATTTTATTTTATTTATTTATTTATTATTTTTGACAGGACCCCAAGGACAACAGTGTTACACACTGATGGGTTTCAATCCTGTATAAAAATTCGTTATTATTATTATTATTATTATTATTATTATTATTATTTTAAAAGCAAGCTTCATCAAAATGTACCACTAGCAGACACAGAACTCTGGTCACATAATTTTCAAAGGTAATTTTGATTGTAACTCAGTTATTACCTTTCTTCCTTCATATGCTTTCTCTGCATGAGCTTCATCCTCAAGATGTCGCACTGTGACTTGAGGTGCTTGTTCTGTGATCAGAGTTCCATCTTTAGTTCGACAAGAATCCACTCCATTCACGTTACTATTTACAGAATGTTCTCTAATGACAGGATCTGAAGGAATGTGACTGGAAGGATGATCAGCTGAGTTTAACTCAACCCAGGCTGATGGACCATTTACATGTCTGACAACTTTTACAGGAGATGGTCTTGTAACAACATGCTCATCAACTGAATGTAAATAAGAGAGCACCATATAATTAAGACCTTGGTAACAACTCCACTTTCAAATTGTCTAAGCCAGAAGAAATGAAAAGTATTCATCATATACAAGTTTGACCTGTACCATCTAAAGTAATATATAAAACAGGTGAGGGGGACACTCACTCATAACAAGTGGCCCAAGGGGTGTCAGAGTGTATCCCAGTTTCAACAGCACAAAGCCACTTACAGCATTGCTTTTCCTCTTGGATGGGGTGCCAGTCCATTGTAGGCTACCCCCCTAACAATTCCCTTGTACCCCTTTGCACTCCTCAGTGAAGAGAAGTATTGTGGGAGATATTAGAGTGTCATCCAAGAACACAATACACTGACCTGGTAAGGTCTTGAACTCAGAATTAAAATTGGGGATTCTAGTGCACCTAACGTTAGGTGGATGACAAAACCCTGGAATACCTTCAACAGGATCATATGTTGTGGAATCCACTCGAGCATTAATTTACTGCTAACAATTTGCTATATCATCTGAAATGTTGTTCAGTTCTTAAATCCAAAGTGGCACTACCCACATACTTATGTCCAATACTCAACCTTACCTATGTCCATTTCCTGTAAGGTTTGTCTGGAATTGCCCGACGAAGAACTCCTTTCCATGGGAGACTTAATTTCACGGAGTAATTTTGAAGGCACTCTCACTCTCTGAGTTCCATTGAAAGTCAGATCAAGAAGTGAAGATGAAGACTGGTCTTGTAACTCCCCACTAACAGGGTCAACAGCTCTGTCATTCGTTGCGGAATTAGCCCTAGTAACAGGCGGATTCATGGCTGAAACAGGTTGAGTTGCATCTTGTACATGTCGTTTGCGTGGAGGTGTGTAGGTCCCCTGTGGCAATCCTCCTATTGTTTTAGCTTTTTTGTCCTTGTGGTAGTCTTGAACGCTCGACAACGCATTTACAGCAGCGCCTGTCAGTGAGAGTATCTGTCTCGAATGCTCCATTTTACAGAAAGTCATAAACAAACTCGTCTTTCCGTTGCATACTCCTCAGACTTGTCAATAGTTCAAAGCTAAAGTGAGACATCAATAAAATTTTCCTTCCTCTCTTCCATCCTCCAAATTATAAATTAAATCATTCATGAGAAATAGGTATTTTTCCAAGGTGATCACCTCCCGAAATGTTATAAAATACCTCCTTTCACACCGAATGAGTATACTTCAAATCCCCGCCATTTTTAAATTTGCACAGATCTAGTGCCAGCGCTAAAAAATTCCTAGCACAGCGGTCTAGTAAAAATAAGGAGCGGCTGCTAAGGTTATAGTTGCGTCGTCAGCAATTTGTAAACAATCTTACCTCAATCGAACATGGAGGTCACAGCTGAACTGTCTCTTCTAGAAGAACTGGGCGAAATTATCGGAACTCTTACCACTTCTGGTAGTCCATCGTTGAACAGTGATCTCCTGAAGAAGCTAAAGAACATATGTAAGAAATCTGATGTTTACGTCAAACACGCTTACCACTTGATTCTGACACAGCTGAAGAAGAACCACGCAGAAATACGACTTTCATCATTTCAGATCATCAATGAGCTCTTTTTTCGTTCCCATGCTTTCAGAGAAATGTTGCTGATTGATTTTCAGATCTTCTTGGAACTTACATTAGAAACAGACTACAAGCAACTTTTGCCACCACCTGCATCTGCCGCAAAAATTTTGAAGGAGAAAGCCTTAGAGGCCATAGATAGCTGGCATCGGAAATTTGGATCTCATTACAAGAAACTAGATTTAGGTTACAGCTATTTAAAAAGGGTTAAAAACGTTGAGTTAAGTGATCACTTAGCTCGAAGTCAAGCTGAAAGTCGCCAAGTAGAGGATAGGGAAAGACGGAAAAGGAATATCATTAATGGACAGATTATTCGTGTTGAAAATGAGATGTCGGAGATGATCAGCGAAATGGAATTGTGTGCTACTGAAATAGAGAATTGTTTTAAGCTTTTGTTACCTCACCCAGATGAGTATGAGGTTCACTGCACCAGGGAATCTGCCTTATCTGAGCTAGAACAGATTGCTGATACAGATGTTAACAAAAGTCAGGATGGTGCAGAGGTCACCAAGAATTTAATTGGAAACCAAACACCAGACAGTACGGAAGAAGACAAAATCACTGACAAAAGTCAGGAAAATGATCCTAAAGTGGATACCGATGAGGAGCTGGTGACTGATCATGGACTGGGAACAAGGTCATATCAGCTGACCATCAGATTAGACAAGACTGGACCAGAAATAAGAGAAACATCTGACAACAGCATTGTGTTAAACACAGCTCGGGAGTTTTACAAAGAATTGACTCATAAACACTTACCCATGATCAACAAGTGGATTTCTGTGTTGAACAAAGGTGAAGGAACACAACAGAAAATTCAAGAACTTATTGATCTTAAGGAGACTTTAGATAATGCAAAAACTAAATTCCTTGAGTTGAAAATAACACCTCTTCCTGACACCAAAAATAGTCAAAGTGCTTCAACAGAGAGTAGCAGTGATGAAGAAGATGACATTGAAGATTTTGAAGATGTTCCAGAAAGGGAGGACATTGAATTTCTGGTTTCTCCAGGCCAAACAGCTGGAAAGGGTTCAAAACCACCAACTAGCACTCACAAGACATTCACTGGTAAATAATTGACATTAGATATGTTTTGTAAAGAAACCAAAAAATTTATTGATTGTGATGATGTCTGTTCTTGTGATAACAATGCCCTAGGATAGCTTTTTTTTCAACAGCTCTGTGGAATCAAACCACTGTTCTTTTCTTTAAGGGCTCTACTGGAGGTTTGGCTAAAACACATGGGTTGCTGAGTGTAATTATCTCTTCTTTTTCTACAGAATCAAGTTCCAAAATATCTCAAAAGAATAAAGCTAGCTTACTGAAGAAGTTTGGTGCTAATCTTCGGGAACTGGGTGATCCCACCTCTCGTGCTACTGCTTTGTTTAAAGTGAGGGACAAACTATCAAACACTGATTCTTTGTCAGTTCCTGATAAAGGTTCTAAGGAACCAGTAGATGAAAGGAAACAGAGGTTACTTGAAAAAGCACCATTTGTGCCATTTGACATGGATCTCTATTTCTGGGAAGACCCAACCGCTGAGTCGCACAAGGTTGTCAAAATGTATCTTGATAACAACTGGGCATCTAAGGAGCATGAAGGTGAATATCTTGTTGGTGATGAGAAAGAGGCCAGACCAACACGAATGGTCACATTTGCAGGTAGCTTTGAACCTGTCAAGTGGTCTTGCCGTGCACCTTTACCAAGTGGTAAACTTTGTCCCAGACACGATAGAGTGAAATGTCCACTTCATGGCAAAATTATACCACGGGATGAAACTGGTAGCCCTGTAATTCATGATAACACTGCATCTGATGCCGCCTTTGAAACTTCAGAGAGAAAAAGCACCAGTGTTAATGCTGAAGAAGATAAAGGTTCATCTACAGTGGACTGGAAAGAGATTCAACTCGAGGTTGAAGCAGCCACTGGCTTGGACTTGGGGGGCAAAAAGAAACGAAAACGTAAAAGTCACTCTAAAGCAAGTGGCAAAAAGGAGTCTGGTCTGACTGATATTAAAAAGCAAAAGAATACAGTAAGAAATCGTTTAGGAAAGATTGTTTTGAATAAGAAAGCTATGCGACGTGTGGCAGACCAAATGGATGCTATTGCCACAAAAAGATGCGAGGACAAATTTGCTAATCAATTTAATTATTCCTTGAGAAAGTAGTGTTACTTGTCTTGAAAGAAAAGCCTAAGAAGACCTTAGACATAAATGCCTGATTTTCACAGGTTTCTAAAGCAAAGCAGTACATGAGAGACCTGTCTGTTAGACTCAACTCAAAAATTATTGCAGAATGTTGCAAAAGAGCTTTTCCATTAATGCTGATGATTTTGACACTCAAAGCAATAAATTTCAATTTTTTTTAATTTGTCCTGACTATCAAAGGTTTCAGATAAAGAATAGTTGATGATGCATGAAGGACCTTTTTGTTTCACTCAGCCTAGAGATGACTGAAGAATTGTTTTGTCATCAATCAAAAATTGTGCTCTACAAAAATGATTTTGATCAGTTATATTATGTAATTACATACAATATATAAATATTTACTAACACTGTTGTTAGGGGATGATCAGATAATGTAACAGTGACAGTATGAAAGAAGGAAAAGTAGTTAAGTGTTAACCCTTTAACTCCCATGAGTGACCAAGACAGAATTTCTTCTTACAATATCAATACACTATCAACTAGATTAGAGATGAGAATAAAGAAAAATATCAGTCAAGGGATTATAAGTTGATCCAAAACCAAATTCTGCAAACTAACATCACAAGAACTGTATGGAAGACAGTAAGGAGAATTACTAACGAGATCTTGGGAGTTAAAGGGTTAATCTTGTTCAACAAGTTCACTTAAAATGTGAAGAAAAAATATTTAAAGTTATATGCCTAGGTTAAGTAAATATTTCCTTCACCTTTTATATCAATAGATAATTTATCACAAAGATTGCATTATTAAGTGGAGTAAATACAAATAAAACATAACTTGAAAAGGATTTAATGAACATTGAGTTAATTTTTTTATCAGAGAGTTCTGCTGTGGAATTAGTCTAATTCAAGCACTTGTTTCTGGGGCAATCACCTGGAAGAAATGTCTGTTTCTGTTTCCTCTGTTGCAGTTATGAATGAAAGGGTATTACTTGCAAGAAGTGGGCACGGATGACTTACATCTTAGTGGGGCAGGGTGGAGTTCAATTATTGGGACTGTTTAAACAATGTGACAATGGCTATCACTCTGTCCTCTGGACAAGACAAACAGTGATGTCCGCTTCACAGCAATGATAGCATGTAACCAGTTTGACTCTGTGGTTCTTAGATTCAATATCAAACCAAAACTCTTGAAAACAAGTAAAAATTTATAGGTCATTCAAAGTAGTATCTTACAGCCACGCTCTCCTCCCCCTGAGACCCTTTAACAGACCGGCCACTAACTCAAACATGACCGAAAAATCCTGGGGATGACAGGGAGGAACTGAGTATGACATATCCCATCAACCCTTCAAAGCTTTAATCAATATGGCGGACCTCTATGAGGTAAAGACATACTGAGATTTAGTATTTTCGAGCCTGTTTGCCAGCCGCTGATAAAAATAGTGTGCGAACCAAAGTATTTGGATCTTTTGTGAATACTTAAAAACCAAACTAGCCATATAGATCGAAAGTTGATCACGATGCAGTCCGGCCCAACTCCAGGTCAACAACAGGCAATGGAAGTGAAACAGGTATAAACCAAAATAACTTTTTATTCGACCCGTTGATTTTATGATTCTTCAGAATATGGCTAACTTTGGTTTACTGGTCTTTTGCCCTGAAATTATTTCGATTTTTCTGGGCTTACTGGTAATGATATACTTATTGCTTCAAACTTTTCTTTAGAAATTATTTGCCAAAGTAATCGAAAAAAATCGGATATCTTTTTAACTTTATTTCAATACGAATGTGTCTGAAAGTAATTCTCGTCTTAGTTTAAGGGTAAATTCAAAAATTGTGAACTAAGAAAGGCATATTTATTTAGATGAAGCCATTCCTTCAGATTTGTGAGAATTTTTAACCTCCTATGTAATGTCTGCTAAACGTGATTTGTTGTGTCGTTGTTGTGGTTGTTTGTTAAACTATGTCGTGGTACATTAATGGTGTACATTTTATGATTGCGTCTCTCTGAACGTGATGTCTTTTTTTGCAGTTTCAAAACTTTTTGCAGTACTACAACAAATTGACAGAGTTGTGCTTCACAGATTGCATTCATGACTTCACCAACAGAAAGATTTCAACAAATGAGGTAAAAAAAGATCACCTTCTACCTTTGTGGTAAATTCTTGGACATTTAACAAAAGCTTCTGAAGCTACTCATTGGATGAGCACCTCTACAAGGTAGTGTCTAAGGAAATATATGTCAAGATCTTTCAGCAGCCCCCTTTGTAGGAGAAAGGCTGGCTATAAATACTCAAGTAGGCCAAATTAGGGAGGGCTTCCCATCCATGGGGTGAGAAGGTGCACAAGTGGGCTGAGATATAAGACTGAACAGTCAATCTAAATTTCTTATATCTTTTTTTCTTTTTCATTTTTGTCTCTCAGAATAATTGTGCCATACATTGTAGTGAGAAGTTTTTGAAAGTTATGCAAAGAATCGGAGTCAGAATACAAGAAGTTCAAGTGATGCAAAATGAGGGTATCCTTGGTGCTCCTGACCCTCCTAAATAATACTTGAACATTCAGTGAGCTGGACTCTCAGCTACAGACTTAAGTCTTGATTACTACAGAATAGATATGATATTTTATAATTGAATCAAGAGATTTCACCTGGTTGAATTTGCTTGCGCATGGAAGCTTATGGTGCAATCATGTGCTTAGCCTGTTAAACTGAAGACAGCCTTTCGTTGAAAGTGAAATGAACACTCACTTGAGCCACATTATTGGACAGATAATGAATAAAAGTGACCTTTTACTCTTTGCTTGTCAAAACATTTATTTATTTGTTGAGAAATATTCACTGATCTCGTCACAAATATTTATGTTGCTGACCAAGCCTATAATTTCTATATATTAATATAAATTTTGTGTCTCCAAAATTCAAAAAATTATTTTAAAACAATATTTTTTTTCCACAAATTATTGAAAAAAATGCTTTTCTCTGACTATACATAATAAAAATTTTAAATTCCCTGAGACACACAAAGAGCTATATGAAAACTAAAAAAAAATATTTTACAATCTAATTATTGATAAAATTACAGTGAGCACATACAATATTTCTGAGCATAATATGTATGCAGTCTCCTCAGCAGATGTTGTTTGGACTCCCCATGATGGGACTGGTAATTGCCACAACCTTGACCCAGTAATTCTTGTTACTACTGTCTGCCTTACAATTCTTAAAGGGGGTAAGTTTCTAAAGAAACTGTGGTGCTGCATCAGTGGGAGAGTATAACAGGTAATTTAGTGTTGACAACTGAGTTGAAAACGTAAATTGGCCACTGTAAAGGGTTAAAAAGCTAAATGTTAAAGCTAATGTTAGTTCTGAGAAGTTAATATTGGATAAACTTAAGACTCCTAATTGATATTTTTCTTTATTCTCATCACTTGTCTGCTTGATATTGCATTGATTTGGAAGGAGAAATTCTCTCTTGGTGACTCGTGTTAATCAAAGGATAAATTAGTTCACATTTGCAGCTGTTTTTGGAATGTCACGCAATGTCAAAACATTGCCACAACCTTGACCCAAAAGAATCGCTGCAGGCGAAGGAGGCTACATTAAGCATGGTAATTTTGTGTTATCCTCTGAGTTGATAACATAAATTGGCCACTGCAAAGAGTTGAAAAGCTAACGTTTCATGAGTTAGCCCTTTGTCCATTGCTCTGTCAAAGGGTTAACACTCAAAACATCAGCTTTTTAAACTTTTTAATGTGGCCAATTTATGGTATCAACTCAGTTGATAATACTAAATTACCCTTATATACTCTCCCACAGATGTAGCACCACAGTTTCTTTAGAAACTTACCCCCTTTTCATATCAATCATGTACAGTTACAAGCTAAAGCTATAATTTTAGTAGTCAAGTTGCTAGCCAGGACAACACTTTCTTTCCTTGGAGGGAGGGACAGCTTGACTATAAGATTCATCAGTTTGATATTTTTGTGAAAAGTCCACCATATAACGTGAGTCACAAGACATCAGGTTTGAAGATTGTAACACTGTTCCTCGCAAGGCTATACAATCATTCAAATTAGGTGTTTTGCTTTCACCAGACACACTCAAAATGGCTTGCACCAGTAGCTGCATTGCTTCATCTGAAATGAAATTTCATTAACAACATTTTACATTTTACTTCAACTTTTAAGTCTGGTGCCTGTCGTTAAATGACAGAAGGAAGGAAATGTCAATTACCCTATATTTTTGTGGACCTTTGGCAAAAATAGTGTGGTAGACACTTCCTTGTGCCAATGCAGGCAATTCCTGCCCTTCTAATGCAAAATTATGCTTCTTAATGTCAGAATAAGGGACAATCAAATAGTACTCATTTCTGAAAGGATACTCAACTCAAACAGAATGGGGCAACTTTTGCCCCTTAAAGCACTTAAATGAAAATGCATTCTCCAAATCTCAATTACCCCACTTTGTACAGGAGAGACTATCATCTACTGAAAATTTGGCAAACTTGTTTATTATGTTTTTAAATAATACTTTATAAAATTAGCAATACTAAACTAAAATAAACACTAACCAATATTTTGGTCCTCTTTTGCTGATGTTGGAAACCTTATGGCCAAGATTCAAAGGAAAAATATGTGTAAAGAATTGATGTCACAATAAACTAATTTAAGAATCATTCAAAATTATAAATCCTAAACACTGCTAACTATTTTTAGTGTACTAATTAATACAGTACTGTTATATGTGTCTTTCTTTCTGGGAAATGAAATGTAAAGTTAAACTTACTAGTCAGTTGGATATCAAATAAATTATGCCCCTTTGTTAATCTTTACGAAGACGAACTACGGTGTTTTTGTTTTGAAATTTAGCAACAATAGAATTATGAATCAAAACTGACAAGGAAGTATACCACCTCTGAATAGAAATTATCTCAGACAATCAAAATTAGCTGGTGGCCCAAAATTTATTTGATCTCCAATCTTCCAATTATAAAAATCTACAAGATTTACTACATACAGGATATTTTCAAGTATAACATTTGCTACAATTTATTACATCATGCATATATCTGCTAATTGCAATCCTTACCAGCCAATGAATCCATGTTCTTGACAAAATTGATTCAATCTTTCCTCATCATAAGGATGTTCTTTCAAGTCACACTGCAATAAATTTAAAAGAAAACCATTATTCTTGCTATTCCTCTCCACTTTCAATTGAAGATGTAATCTAAATACTCTCATCTTTGAAACATTTTTCTTTATTCTCATCACATGTCTGCATGATATTGTATAGACAAAGTAAGGAGAAATTCAGTCTTGATCATTCATGGGAGTTAAAGAGTTAAACAAATTAAATCAAATGAATAACAGGGGATCAAAACCAGAACTTTTGACATCATTCTTGGAAAGGTAATTTGAAGTTTACTTCCATCATCAATAACACCTATTGATACTATTCAATATATGATGTTTTTGATAAGATTAAAGAGAAAATTATACTGCCAAAATGAACATACTTCATTGTGCACAGTGAAAAAACTACATGCAGAATTAAATAATATGGCTTAACTTGATCTACTTAAAAGTCATCATCAGCTATAAAATTTAACAATCTGCCTTTGATTTAATACAACAATGTGATTTATACAAAAATTCCTAAATCACCACTATTTAAAGGTGGTTTCTTTATTACTTGCACAGCATGTGCCTTACTTTATTTGCTAGTAAGAGAACTGGAATTGGTTTCTCATTAGTCAGCATAACTTTTTGGTTTACATCCCAGTGCCACTGAAATGAAAGAAAAAAAAGCATACAAAATAGTTAACATTAAAATCTCAAAATAACTGTGATGTTTTAAAATTAATGGTTAAAAGAACAGACATCACTCCAATATTGAATTATAAATAAATTCATAAACTTACTGATATACCCAATGTGATAATTCAAACAAAAACATACATGTACCTTAAGAACTGCATCAAATGTTGGTGGTCTGTTGAAACAAAATGTAAAACTTGGAATTTTTTCAATACTTTACTTTTTAAAAGTGTTTAGAATGAGAATTAATTAAACTATTTCAATGAAACCAGGCTTTGTTTAACATTTCAAAACTGAGATAAATTTATTTGTAGATAAAAGCAACAGTTTACCTTGTCAAGTCAAATACAATTATGGCAGCAATTCTGCAAAGAAAACACTTGGGTTGTAATTGTACATGGCTAATAAATCATATCGAGTATTCCATTAATATTTCTAAATATCTCATATAGTTATTGGAGCAACTACACAATACAGGGCTACTGAGGTCCAACTTGTCAGCATTCTTTGTAGGAAAAAAGGATGTATTGTATAACATAAAAGGATGTATTGTGATCCAATGAGAGGTAAAAAAAAAAATTTGAGGAAAAATTTGAGACAGCATGAAGCCCTGCCATAAACATAAAGTCAACTTAAAATTCAAGATATAGACAATCAAAACAAGTCTTACGCATATTTATAATACACCCTTGTCATGTGACCAAATCTCTCATGGCCAGCAACATCCCTGAAAACATGATAACATAAATAAATTACACTGAAGAATCTGCAAGCAAGTTTACAAAGCTTATTCTTAAAGTTTCTTTATTTTGACCATCAAAAGACCTGTTTGAGACCTTGTCAATGCTAAAACATCCAGAGAACTTAATTTTTCAAGTGATCCTTGGCTAGACAATAGAAAGTATCTAAACTGAAATTACATGATAATTACTTGTTCTAGTCAAAGGGTAGTTAAAAATCTCCTGAAATTTAACTTTATTTCTTTCTGCTGGATATTTCTCTTCTCAGTCAAGGACAACTGTAATTCCAGAAAGCAAAAGTTACTAATAACTAGCTTTCTCCATAAACACCATCTACTTACCAAAGCTGAAGATTAATCTTTGTCATTTCATCCCAGTAGAGAACTTTCAAAGCAAAATCAACTCCGATTGTAAGCTTGTAGTTTGGTGTGAAGGACCCTGGCATAAAAAATCAACAAGAGGTGGGCTCAAATATAAGTAAAACTCATTTGAGCTCACAGATGTCACCAAATTATACAACAGATTTCACAAATAGGTTCATTTTTGCTGTGTCTGTCCAGTAATAGATCACAGGAGACATCAAAATGCAGTAAGAGTAAAAAAGCAAAATGTTGTTAACCCTTTCACTCCCAAGATCTCATTGGTAATTCTCCTTACTGCTATACAGTTCTTGTAATGTTGGTTTGGAGAATTTAGTATTGGATCAACTTATAATCCCCTAATTTAGATTTTTCTTTATTCTCATCACTTGTCTGCTTCATATTGTATTGATATTGTTAGGAGAAATTCAGTCTTGGTCACTCATAGGAGTTAAAGGATTAACAGCAAGTTGTCATCTATATGTCTGTTTTCCAGTATCACATGATAAGCTTAATTATATACTATTATTTCTGATTGGATCTGACTGATGATCTATTGGAGGGCAGATACAAAAATGATGTCATCATTAACAGCTCAGCATTCTGCTTTTTTAGCAGATGAAACAAATGGATTCCATTTGGCACAAGTCTACAGTAGTAGTTCGTGGAAGGTATAAAAATGCAATAAAAATATCAGTGACACACTCAGCTGCACCTTGTGTGCCACTTTTATTGTTTTTATAAATTTTGACGTCATTGGTGGGTGATTTATTACTGAACAGATCTGAATATCTAACAGATATTACTGAACGAGGCAAAATATAACCTATTTGTTTATCCTGTATTGTTGAAATACCTCTTGCCTTAGTTTGTTAATTAGAAAAAACAACTTGAGGTTGATGGGGTTGAAAACCTCGATCTCTCAAGTGTCTTATCCTGATAATTATTAAAATTGAAATAATTATTGAATTAATAATAGTCAATAAATCATGAACCAATTTTTCAAAAATCATGTGATTACCAGTGAAATGTAATATGAAAAGTGACTTTTTTTCAACATTTTATTTTCAAACAAAAGTTAGATCGAATAACCTACAAACACGACATATTTATATGCACCATCGGCTAAACTTCAGAATACCCCGCAACTTTGGTCCGCCTCACTTACATGTGTCGGGAGGCTTTGAAGATCGAGGCATAACACAATAGACGATATTCTTATTCAATGACATGTAAATGAGTTGCGGGGTATTCTGAAGTTGCTCCGCACCATCGATAAAACCGCAATTTTTTTATTTCGAGGGTTGCCGGTTTGTTGGCAGAATTGCAGCTGAAAACACACACACTTGAAAAAGGAACAATCATTAGCAACATTCTAAATCCCTCAATTGATAAATCAACGAAAATTACTGATATCGCATTCAAGTCACTTGATACTGTGTAGCTGGAAATCACGAATTAGGAAACTGACTCCGTGATCAACTGACTCTCGTGACAAACAACCCGGTAAATTACAAATAGCCTCGTTTTCACAAACCTTCAGTGTATCTCCGGATAATGGACGTCTTTGGTGATAAACCATGAGGGAAACAAAGGAATCATGATTAGGCAATCAAAATATAAGCAACAACATCCAAGAACAATACCGAAAGTGGGCAAAAACCACGGCACACGGAAGTCCTCAAGAGCTGAACGACCATCATCCTCGCTTACCTTCCCTGGTGAAAAAAGACAAAGAGAACAACGATCAGCAGGAGATATATTCAAAGTAAAGAGGATCGTTAAAAGACCCACCAACTCCATATTCTCCAATAACAAGTACTTTGTAAAGGTGTTCTTTCGCGTCCATTTTTATTTTAAATTCCGCAGCTGATGCGAGCCGGGACTGGTTCCCAGGTGATGAAGAGTCATTTTCCCCAGTGGTGTCCCCACAGTCAATCTGTTGCCATAAATAGCAGCTTGCGTTGCATACGGCTTCGAAAGTGAATAACTACTTATAGGAAATCATTCTTTTTCGTTTTTGAAAGTTCCTGAACCGGGAAACTTATTCTAAAGTGGACCTGAATTGGAGTAGACATCAAAGTTGACCTGGGCCTGGAACAGAGCGTTTTTTTTTTCCTTTTTCGCGCACAGGTGCGGAAAAGGTTATTTCTAACTAAATTGACACACTGAACTTGGGAAAAAGGACTCCATGTAATCTTTACAATTTAAGCTAAGAGTTTCAGGCAGACGAAGTTGTCCATGCCCTTCACTTAACTACATTTATTTCCGTTCGCAAACGGCAAGAATTATTGAAAGTTTCGGCTTTCTACTTCGAAAGATAGTTGCATTTATAAATACAGCTGTGTACAGTAAAATCCCATACTTACCTGGATACCCCTATTGTCACAATATACATGGTGTTGAAAAAGAAGACGATTTTTCCGATCATCTTGGCTAATTTCTAACTGCAACCTTTATTGACAACCCTGCATTAAACAATTATTCCACAGTTAAGTCTGCCGCAACCCCTCCTGAAATACTCCAGGATACCAAAAAAAAAAACAACAACAAGCAAACAAACATATTAGTGAAGTGAGCAAACAACCACATGCGTGACTTTCACGTAATCTAAAATTCGTGATTGCAGCATTCCCACGTGCGTAAAGTGCTTGTAACTTATGGGAAACACACGCATGTTTACACCAAAAAACCGCGTGTAGTAGAAGAGGCCGATTACTCGCAATTTCTCGTAGTTTTGAATTTCCCTTTTGTTTTTCAGAACACCCATATACCTGTAATTTTTTTTTACACCGATGCGATAGAAATTAATTGGAAAAGCATTCCTTGAAATAGGAAGTCGTCCTGTATTTTCAGCGAAAAAGATCGTCAAGTGATCAGAACAACACCGGCCAGATTATAGTCACGTGCTCGGCAACGACTTCTTGAAAGCGATCATCTTTCATTCTTACCATCAAAACAGTCACGTTTGCATAGAAGAATAACAAAACGAAACGATTACAACGGAAAGACCCAAATTGGCGTAGAAAGAAATAATGCTGCAAATTACCATTTTCTTTAATGTCATGGGTACATGTTTCCGTGGGAATTTCTGTGTCAACAGCTTGCTGTCACTCACAAAGTCTTCGTGATTCTCGCTGGTCCTCGTTATGTTTAGCGCATGGACGATTCGAAGACCCTTCAAATTTGGTTTTTAAGTTGATCATAGCACTAGTCTGAAACATTTGAAGTCCATTTCAATATAGTAAATGTCGAAACAGGCCTGTAAAGACAATAAATATCGCAACGATCAGTGCAATCATAATAGCGCCAGGACTTTGGACTTACTTCTTCGGAAGGATAGATCTCGAGTTCGAAGCCGACTAATTACGAAGAGTCCACGCTAATTTGCATATCGCAGAGCGCCCAAAAGAACTCGTTTCTCCGCTATCGTATATCCACGAGTTAAACAGTAGTAGCAGAAATTTTTTCAATTTTTTTTCAATGACTGTTACGAAAATATTTACTGCTCCAAGTATTTGCAGTATTGCCGTATAAACAAATAAATAGCCTAAGCCACCAAGAGGTAATTTATTTGTTGAAGACGATTACCAAACGTTCAAAAACACGCCAAAAAGCTTCCAGGGAGGGAGGGAAAGGCATATTGCTTGATAAAAGTATAAGTTAATACCCCAGATCTCTCCTGTGAATCTGTATTTGTTCAAATAATTCACGCACAAAGATTACTATTCAGGCTGTTGATTCCAGGCCTAATATCACCCCTGTAGTACAGTTGACTCACGGTGAGCGACAGGTTTGCTTCCGCTCAAAAACCCCTTGCAAACACTTTGTCAATGAAATCCCACACAAGTACGCATTGCGGACCTATTTTTTCTGTTGGAGCTCAGTCAAGGGTTGCAAATATAATTTTATTTCAGGGTATTCGTGTTTACAATGTTGGAAGTAACTGGAGCTACTTTCAAATTGGCTGAAGCTTAAATCCTGTCGGGCCATCCCCGTTCATGGTTAGAGATAAATTTTAATTGCATTACCGCCAATTTACGCGTATTACGAATTACCGTTAAGGGGATTGCACATGACCCAATAAATACCAGGAACATACGTCAGTCTCACAAATTTTGCAGCGTTTTATCAGTGACCTTAAATCTATCCGCCGTTAGCACAAAGGAACATTCAGCTTTTCTAATTTCCGGGGTACGGATCAATCAAGATTGAGAGGTTTTCTAGTCTTACAAAAATAACATTAATATTCATCACATTTTAACTCGCCATATATGCAAATCCAGCTGTTTTAACACTGTGAATAAATAATTTAATGTTACGCTTCCACGAGTAAACTCCAGTAGTTTGTACTCCAGCTTTCAATGACGTTCTTGCGTAAGTAGGTAAGTCTGATTTAAGTGTTTTTCAAACTTTGATAAGCAATACTCCATATCAGGACAAAAATATCATGCGAAGACCAGGTTAATTGCAATGTTACAGATTCGTTGGGCAAGTTTCGACGCCAACTATTTTTCAAAATTTTGCAGACGTTATCTTCTTTATGTAACATTTTGTACACAGTTCGTGTTCTGAGCCAATTTTCTGTTATCAACCTTGTGAAAATATAACGCCTTAATGCGGCGAGCTGTGCATATTCACAGTGAACTTTGCACCCACTTCAGGACTATCATTTTGTCGATGTGGAAGATAATACGATAGATCACAACAATTCAATATTATGTTTTTCGAAAGCCAGTTGACTATGCAACGTTTCTCCTCGTCACTAACAATATTAGGTTTGATTGATTTCGGCTTGATGAACGGAAGTTTAAAATGCATGGGTGAAAAACTCGTTCAAAACAAGCTGATCAGAGGCATGTCCTCAGAGGTTCATAACAATCAACTGTAGTATAGTTTGATTTTCATATCGGCAAGAAGTTGAAGATAAAGAATTGGTTCGCTCACTTCCGCTGACTCATTCCCAAATATAAAATCGAAAAAAAAGGTAAGACTTGGACTGATGAATAATTTGAGTAAAAGTCTTACCATCAGAGACATATCTAGTTAATTTCTATGAAATTTGAGCTCTCGTGAAAACGAAAATACTAAAGTAAATACTGTAGAAATCCAACGCCAATTACGTAATCGCAAAATGATGAGTTCTTTCGCAAATTTCAAAGAGAATTGTTACAAATGTTAATAACAATAATACAAGCTCATAAAAGATGATTATCAACTGAGGGTATATAATTCTCCTTTCTGCAAAACAACTTTAAAAGTTATTGAGAACGCGTTCAGGTGAATGCGTTCTGAATGGTGGGAGAAGAAACTGTTCATTAAGCAGATTAAGTCACGGCAACAGATAACAAGTGGTTGTTAAGGCAGTTGTATCTACAGAATCAGGAAACTAATGATTTCTATTCTTTTAGAACATCATGAAGATACTAACTGGTATTCTCCATGTTAGTCCAGCATACACGAAAGAAAAACGCGAAAAAAAAACACGCGCGTTCGTCTAAAGGGAGCTCAGTAATCAATAGTTGCATTGTTATTAGCTGATAAGAAAAAAAATCCCATGAATAACATCTTTTTGATCTTCCCAAGCCGGATCGCATTATTGAGGAAGGCATTTTTCCACCATTATCTCTTGACAAATCGAAGCTATATTCGTTGAAAGGTTTCTTATCCCTCTGTTTTGTGAGCATGTTGCTGCAGTGCCCAAAAGTAGTACACTTATGACGATAAGTTCCTGGTCTTTTCTTCGCTTTTCTTTTACATTTTATACCTTTTTATGAATTTGTCTGCATTTTTGCTTCATTCGCTCATTTGTCCGTGTATTTATTTGTTTTTTTACTTGTTTGTTTTTTTTTTTGGTCAGTTTGTCATCTTGTTTGCGGTTACATTCACTTGCGCTTTTTTTGTGTGATTGCTAGTCATCTGCTTTAACCCGAAGTTAGTCTGATTGTTTGATTCTTTCGTTGGCATGCGTTAGTTGACTGTCAAATTCTGATTAATTTTTCGTATTAGTATCGTTGCATATGATCTTATATGCGGCATGAGTGATATTGGTGAAACTAAACATATATCTTTCAAGTGCATTTTTAATGATTTCTTTCCAGCTTACAAGATGGAGAAACCAGTGATAATAATTTCTCAAGTTGCGATTATTCTGACAGCCTTAGATTCTTTTATAGCAGGTAAATAACATTGTTATGATTCATTCACAGGTAGCCTATAACTGTGTCTGTTAAAGCAAAGTAATTTTTAAGATAATCACTAGCAACCTATGTTTAGAAAGTTGCATTAATCTAATTTCCCCCCTCTCCGGCTTTGACTGGTCCAAAAAAAACAATCTCGCACAACCCTGGGCAAAACTGAAACCAATTACAACTGCCAGCCGCGTTTTCTCAAACTTCGGGCAGTTGGCTCAATGCTTTTATTCTGACCTGTTTGGGTTGTCCTTGAGATGTTTTCTTCGTTCTGCATGATCAGGCAATCAATCCAAAAAGCGCTGCACACGTCTGACTCAGGCGCAGGGTCTGTAAGACAGCACATGAGAGGCTCCTGCGGGTTTCATCACACGGTAGCGAAATCATAAGAACAAGCGACGTCAAGTTTACGTAAGAGTCATTCGCCAACCTGATTTAAATCTGCTCATCAGGGAGACCAACATGTTCACCTTTTAATCTTTTGTAACTTAAGTGAAAAAGTTTGCATTTAAAGTCAAAGCTGAGATAACTTTCTTTCCTTTACTAGGCTAATTTTGACCACAAATACCCCTCTTTTTTCTTTCTCAATAGCACAGTCCACGTCTTTCAGCCCAACGCCATCCATTCAACAAACATTTGCTGTTTCAAATCAGACTGAGATGCTTAACGCTTCAATGACAACAGTTCAACATCAAATAACATCCGTTCATGTTCAACCTTCATCAACGGAAGTCAGTCGTCCAAACAGCAAAATAATGAGTACTCCTCCCAGCTCTACAGCAAGTAAGTATATAAATTCTAATTCTAACAAAGTAGCACAGGAAACATCACAACCACAAAGCAAGCTTGCAAGGATGAATGTTCAAGTATCTTAAACAACGCAAACATATCAATATATTGATAAACACCAAAAACTAAGGGGGTGGGGATCTGCGTTTTCATGGCTGCCTCAAGTGCGTTGCTAAGGGCTTCTAAGACACGTGACCTCCACCCCAACCTCCCCACCCCGTCCTTTTGAGAATCTTGTAACCGTCTCTTCTTGCCCAAATCCATCCGTTTTAAGAATATTCCAATCTTTCTCATCAACTTTCTTTCATAGCTAGCTCACCTTGTGTTCCATTTCTGAGTTTTCATACAGTTTGAAGAGTTTACCGCTTTGTTCAGCCTCTCTGTCCTTTTCCGATGCCCGATAAATTAACTTTGAGATTCTTTAAACGGTGTTGCAATAATTTTTCCTTAACACACAGTCACATATGCGTCTAGAAATCTCCCCCAACCCAACTAATCAGACGAAACACTTACATTAACCACAATTTAGTCCTGTTTGAGACAAAAACGAACATTTAAAATAAGTTGCCATTGGCTCTCTCTCGGGTATTTACCTTTGTCCTGATTGACCGTCAAAATCCTTTATCAAACTGCCCTTTAACTGCAATTTTTGTATCATTTTAATTAAAACAGAAGTCAACGAAGAAGACAAAATAGAAGAGGATGAGGATAAAAAGAAAGAGACGGCGATTATCGCGGCTAGTTGCGGAGGAGCAGCCGTCGTGTTTATTGGTTTAACGTTAGTAATATGGAATCACAGAAAAGAGGACAACACATAACTAAATGAAGTACGACTGAAACCTGAGATCCTCTGAGTAGCGAGTAGCCAAGCAATATAAACACAAATTATTTTCCTGATCAATAGTTGCACTTAAAGCTTAGCGAAGTAGTTGCCTAAGCCAAGGTAAATCTCGCGTCAAATTGACGCAAATTCGAAACACGAACTGGGTGCTTTCGGGGAAATCTTGATAGTCGTCATTTTATTGCTAGATTGTTTTTGTTTTTGTTGTTGTTGTTTTTGTGAATAGTAGTTTAGGCTAATACCAGTTCCCACGTAAATTGAGAGAAAAATATCATATTTGTAGCACCTAAAAAACTGTGATCATAACTACAGTAGCTACCCCATACATGATCAGTCAGATTGACTGATCTTCTTCGTAGGCTTCTGCTTAGAATTGTCAGGGTTTTTTTTTGTTTGTTTCGCTTTTGTAAAGCTTTATTGTCAACCACTCTCAGTGACTTTTAAAATTTATCAGAAGGATAAAAACTACTTAACTTGTTTCTAAATTCAAAGAATATTTCTAATTTGTTTTCATAATGCATCAATCTGCGATCAGCGTCAAATTTAGTTGACGCACATGTGTAAAGAGTTCTATTTGTATAGCATAACACTCGTGTTTCTACCACTGTCTAAATCAATGACAAAAGGCAAATAAATATTTTAACAAGGAAGGGGGTGAATATGTTGACCTGAGAAGAGCAAAAAAGATAAAATTGAAGAAATAGGGGGTTGAAAAGGTCAATGTGTCAATAATTTTTATGCCAAAAATTTGGCTCAAAACTGTAATAAATAAAATTGATAACTGTTGACACTCAATTAAATATGTACCATCTTACCTGCCTATTGATTAAAAAACTATCATTTGTGTATTTTTTCTTCTTTTTCATAATTCAAGAGTTCTCTGCATTATCCAAAACTAATGCTTAAATCAAAACTTCGCAAGATATCACAATTTGACGGAATCTGGCAGAAAATAAATTACCCCATTTTCTAGCTTAGTTTTGGCTCTCTGTTCACCATAGACAGATCGTGTTATTTTTCTCACACTTGTCCTACAATTGTTACTTGTTTACATTAACATTGCACCACTCATGATCACTCACTGTGTAAATAATCACATTAACATTGCACCACTCATGATCACTCACTGTGTGAGTAGCTAAGGTTCACTTGATTATGGCAGATGAGATACTGGTAATCCACTGAAAATTAAGTAGCAAGGATACTGGTAAATTACATGTACACCTTACTGACACAGTAACCAGTGCTTACATTTCAGTAGCCAGTCTAAGATGGTTCATAACAGTAATTGAACTGAGTGGAATACAATTTGATCAGAAATCATATGCATGATTTGAAATCACAAGTTAGTATGATTTCAGACCAAAATTGCACCACACAAAGTTCAGTTACCACTTTATTACCAGTACATCCTATGTATTAAATACAATTGCTCCATTCAAGTTTTTTTTACTCTGAACAAATATTTTATTGATTCAGTATAGTGAGGTGGTTTATAAAAACTGCGAAAGTCGTCTCTCATTCTCCTGCAATTTGATTGATATCTATTAACAAGCATTGAAATTTGATTGGTTGTTGTGTTTTAGTAAAGCTGTCTCATTAGCTTGCAAGGTAACATTATAAAGGTGTGTCTAAACAGAGCAGGAAGATTTCATCCCTTTTCCCTCCTGGCTTCCTTTCACTTATGGTTTTGTTGAGAAAGAAGACAAAATGCATTCTACTAAGCCTACAATTCAAATTCAAACAGTTCCTTTGTTCCCTTTCCAACTTTCTGAAAGCTCCTCTTTATAGAAATCAGCTGCTTCTCGTTAAACTTATATTTCTCATTATTGAAGATTTCTTTTTCCAGAGTGTCAAAGATTGCCGTTGTTTCAACATCCACATGAGAGAGACACCAAGCAAATTGCTGTATATCTCTTTCATAAAAATCAGACAATTCATTGGATAAAAGGGAAGAACATAAAAGCTGGTAAAACTTTTTGCTTCCTTTGTTTGCCTCAACAAATCCTTGAAAGAGCAAAAGTTTTTCCTCCTTAGAAAACACACTTAAGCCACGTCGAGATACTTCAGCTTCTATTGAGTCAAACAGCTCACTATCTGACTTCTCTGTTCTTGTCAGACACCATGCAACCTGACATAAATGAGTACTGGCAATTTGTTTTACACTCCTGACACACAACTCGCCTTCAATTTCACTGATTAATTTGTCATCATATCTCTGAGCTAAAAAGAATGAAAGCAAGATCAATACAAGTTCATGTGTGTGGAGTGTTTGAACACCTCGGTCAAACAACTCTTCCTTCACAACATCAAATATGGCTCCTTCCGAAAAATGTCTCATACTGAAAGTCCACACAATATCCAAGAGTTCAGCATTGCGTAAACATCCTGCACCTTGGGAGACAAGTTTACCATCCAACGATTGGAAAAATTTCTTGCTTCCTTTCTCAGCTTTCCCAAATGCCCATAGAATTTTAAAAAATCATTTTTGTTTAATTCAGTCATGTCTCGGCTTATTATTTCTGCCTCAACTTTGTCAAACAGTTTATCAGCATCCTGTTCCTTCCTTGCAAATGACCAGACAAACTCTGCTATAGGTTGACTGTTCATTGAATTTATATCTCTTGACAGAAATTCTTCCAAAAAAGCCTCAAATAACTGTACAGAACCATTACTGGTTTCAGCAAATGAATATAATATCCCAGATAAATGAGGATTCTCAAGATCACAAATTTTAACATCACCATTTAAAATGGCTTGTTCAAACTTTGGAAATATTGGACTTTTTGTCATTTTGAGGTTTGCACATCCATTTAAAATCTGAAAGATGTTTTCATGGGTAAAAACTGACATGCCACAAGCCAGAATCTTTTTCTCACAGAGTTGGAGCAGCTTTTTATGCTTTTCTCCATTAATTCCCAGACTCCACATCAAAATGGCAAGATTCTGAGGAAGGCATCTGTATAGTTTCTCCAAGATGCTATCCAGTAATTCAGTGTATGCATTACTTTTTTCTTGTTTCAGAACTTTCTTCTGTTCTTCATCTTTTTCTGTGATCGTGGCAATGTTGTAGAGTACAGCAATGCGATTCACAATATCAGTCATATATTTAACCTCTATGAAAAAATCAAGTTGCTTGTCAACTGTTTCCAGTGTGTCAATTTTTCTCTCAATGATCATTTTCACTTTGGTTGGACGGAGGGATTTTAAATCTGTTGAATATTCCATGGATGGACGGAAGACTAAAACACGTTTTGTGTTCCCTGTCACTTTCCCAACTCCTTTTGATCCACATGAAGCACTGAACATGATAGTGGAATCTTGGAATGAATTTGTGGAAAACTTGCGTGTCAGAAGTGAAAACACATACATGGGTCGAAAAATTGAGGTGAAAGTTCTCATTCTATAGAAACCCAACATCCTCATTTTTCTTGCCTCCTAAAATCGTCAGCCTCTCTCAATACAATTACTCTGAAAAAAAGAGATCACAAATTATTAAACAAATGACTTAATAATAACGAAGTAATTAATTATAATAAGAAATACACAGCCAGCTTTTCTGAGCCCTGTAAATTAAACATAGTCAATTGGAGACCATATCAACATGGCTCGCTCTTGAAGGTTTCGAGATACCTTCCAAGAAGTTTGTTTGTTAATTTTCCATAAATGTTTACCTCAAGATGAGTCTGATATAATTCCATTCCTTTTATGGCGAAAGCTGGAATGGTTGAGTGAAGGCCTCAAATCTATGGCTTATCAGCTACATCTACCCTGTTTGATAAAAGTAGATTACAACCGCCATCTTGAATATATGCTTAGTGACCGCTCGCTCTGGAATCTCCCACCCAGTTCCCTTGGTTTTTTCGTTTTCTAACTTACTTGTCATCGTGTGCTTTTTTTTTCTTCTTTTCGCTATCCGGTATTTTGTTAATTACGCTCTTTTGTTACGTGCTGTATGTAAATTTAGTTCTAGAGTTTGTTGCCTCCAACCACCAACGGCAGTTATCCTCAGCATTTGGTAAGCGGCTTCATTTTCATCGTTTTCTTTAATTTCGTTTTGCAGTGGCCTCAAGGTAGTTTGTCTGTGTTGTAATTATTATTTTTACGCTCTTGTTTAGGAATTTCATTTTTTTCTAACGTTATAGGAAAAACATTTGCCTAGACATCGTGTGGTATTTTCTTCGAATTGGCCCTTGCCTGTTCAAGTCGCACTGTTTTGCTTGATAAGTTCAAATCAGGGGAAAAAACCGCGAGGGGGGGGGGCGGTTGCCCTCTTGCTTCCCTATCCACCCCTCCTCCCGCCCATTAGTAACTTTATGAGACGGGTCGCAGGAACAAAATTTCGGCTTATCAACTAGAATTTAAAACAAAAATCAAAATTTGCCCCTAGCCTTTCTTCAATTACCGATGTCACTCGGGAGTACAAGTGTAAATATTTTTTCCAGTAATAATTTTTTGAGATGAGCTCGAACAGACTACTGCAGAAGGCACTAAATTGGACATCGAAGGTAAGCGAAATTGGTCATTCATAAACACGTTTTATAATCGTTTTACTGGAAATGTTGCCATATCGAAGATAATTCTATCATGATTTCCCCTCTAATCAAAACCGTAAAAACCTCTCTCCCTCCCCCCCCCTCCTCCTCCGAAGCAAGTAATCCTCTGTGCAAAAATGCGAGTCATTTCCTGCTCATGTACGAAATCTTTGACATGATGACTCGTATCCTCAGAGGTTAATCAAACAGAAATAAAATGTAAATTTAGGAACATAATTTGCCCCACAAGTTTCGGAATTGCTAAGACTGAAAACTTGGTCCGCAAAATAAACCAAATTTATTCATCCGTATTAATTTTGATAATCGTAACGTGACATTAAATCTCCGTGCGACACGACGAAATCGACGCATTTCAACACCACCTTAACAGACAAAACACTGACATACAGTTTACCAAAGAGGTCAAAGAAAATGGCAAACTACCTTTCCCAGACTGCCTGGTAAGCCGTGACGACAATTCTTTACGGACAACAGTTTACAGGAAACTGACGCATATAGACAGATTACTGGACGAGTCATCCTACAACCCGACATTACACAAAGTCACAACTATCAGGACTCTTGCACGACAAGCGCAACTAGTATGCAACGCGACAGACAGCTTATCCGACGAGAACAAGTACCTTGACCGTGTTTTTTCAAAGAACAACTACAACGAAGACTTCATCCGACGAAACACTCGCCGACTTACCACTACTACCGAAGCTAACGACAACGCAACTCCTACAACTATAGCTACTATACTGTACTTAAAGGGCATATCTGAGAACATCTCGCTCATCTTACAACCCTTCAATATCCACCGCGTCGCTCACAAACCCACTACCACACTACGTCAGTTACTGACTAACGTCAAAGACAAAGACGAACCGAAGAACAGACAGGGAGCAGTTCATAAGATCAGTTGCTACGACTGCCACGCCTCCTACATCGGTAAGACTGGCAGAAACCTCAGCACTAGACTGACTGAACACAAGCGAGCGACAAGGAAAGGCGATGTCAACAATCACATTGCCGAACATCACCGACTTACGAACCACACTATTGACTGAGACTCTGTGCAATGCCTAATCTGCAGCACCAATTACTTTCAACGACTGACTCTGGAAAGCTGGTTGACTAACTTAGAACAGACTCCCCTCAACAGGTGTCAACCACTAACGGCACCATACAAACGACTCATTCACGATGTGAACATAAAAACAAACAGAACGACCTAGCTTCACTAACGGATCGAGACAGACCAATCACGACCGACCTTCAAGTCTTACAGCCAATAACATCACGGCAAAACTGACCAATCAGTTTATGCAAACTAGACTTAGAGCATTCGACTGACAACAATCAATCACTTGACTCTTATGATGACTTCCGCTCAGGTTGTCGAAATGTCATTCACCACTACTGACAACAGTCCTTCTCAGGACTATACTCATCCGGACGATCAAACTACACCAATGTGTAAGTTATGAGACTTACAAATGATCGGTTCGTAGCTTTTTCTGATGTGTATTCCAAGTATAAACTGCACTCTAAGTATAATATGCAAACCACCTACTGGGTATGAATTGCAGCTTGGTGATAAATAAGGTCAAACAATTAAGTACTACGATAGCTAACAGTATGATGATTAACCCCTTGTCAATCATCCATCAACTGGTCAGAAGTGATTATTTAACAGACGCGTTTATGTTTTGACTGAGAAGTTAAAATGACAAGTCTGTCTATCCACGTAGCTACACTGGCATGCCCTCGCGGTACACGATGCACAAAATTTACCTCAAGTCCAGAGTTCCGTTCATTCATACCATCAAAAGATGATTTTGTAGGTTGTAATCAGTTTATTACATGTGTTGTAAGGTGTACAGTCTCAGTGGTTGCTAGGATGATAAATAAATCATAATCTATAGACTGGAAAGAGCTGTTTCCAAGTCTTCAGGAAAAAAACCAAAGCCATATCGTGGATTTATAACCCTCGGCCGTATACGAGCGAAATTATATCTTATTACCCTCCCCCTCCTGACTGAAGAAATACGTGTGACACACACGCTTTCTCAGAAAGGAAGAGTGTTTGGGTTATGATCACGAGAATGTGGAATGCTTGCACATCACGAATGACAATGTAACACAACTGAGTGTTTCTTCATACAGAAAATGAGAAGGTTTACAAACAAAATTTGTATCAGGAAAGCTCTTCTTTGAGATAAAGCAACTCGTACTTCTTTTCTACAGCTTATGAACTGAACCAAACATCGGTAAAATGAACTGTTTCTCCATCGTGACAGCTTAATTCAATGAGCCTGCTTTTGCAAAGTTCTGACCTTTGAATTATGTGTTTGCTGTTTTGCTCACACAGTTCAAGTCGAGCGTAGTGGAATTTAGAGGTTTAGTGTTTGTGTTATTTGAAATGGGCAACAAAGCGTCCGTAAGTGATGTGGTAACTACAGCTTATCAAGCTGATCGCGACGAAGTTTCTGATCTACCACCGCTTGATTTGCTAAAGGATATGAACGCCGAATCAAGAAAAGCCACTCTGCAAACAAAAATTAAAGATGGCGATGACCTTGCCACTCCTCTCATTATCGCTGCTCGTGATGGAAAACTGGATTTTGTGAAGGTTCTTTTACGTTATGAAGCAAACATCGAGGCCCGTGGAACGATTAAGATTGACGGAGAAGTTATAGAAGATTGTACAGCTTTGTGGATTGCTGCTGCCAAAGGTCATTTTGATGTTGTGAGACTATTGATCGAACAAAATGCCGAAGTCGACGGCAGAACATTGACTAATTCGACTCCGTTGAGAGCTGCTGCCTTCGATGGACACCTTGATATTGTGCGCTGTTTGGTTGAGAACGGAGCTGATGTAAATGCACGCACTAATTTCAATAGTACTCCTCTGATGCTAACCTGTCACAACGGCCACCTGGATGTTGCTTCCTATCTTGTCAAACACGGCGCAAACATAAATCTACAAGACAACCATGGACGCTCGTGTCTTCATGATGCTTCGAAACGGGGTCACGTTCAGCTAGTTTGTAAGTTGCTTGCTTTAGGAGCGAAACAAACACAAACACTGGATCGTTTAACACCACTTCTTGAAGCCAGTAATGATTGTAAAATTGAAATTGTGGAGTGGTTCATCAACCGACCAGAATATTCAAAGGAACAGAGAATTGATGCTCTTGAGCTTCTTGGAGCCACCATTGCTAATGATGCTGATGCTTATGACATTGAAAAAGCGTTTAGTTTCATGAAGCGAGGAATGGAGGAGAGGTATGAGGATCCGTCATGTCCTTTGCTTAAAAAGAAAATGGAACCAGTGGAGGCTTATCAAAATAGAACAGAGAGTCAAACTCTTGAGGAACTTTCTCTCTTAGAAGGTGATGATCATGCTATCCAGATGGAAGGACTTATGATTAGAGAGAGAATCCTGGGAACCGACAATACAATACTACGGTTTCCGATACGTTACCGAGGAGCTGTCCTAGCTGATTTTAAGAAGTACCAACTCTGTGTTGGTTTGTGGACACGAGCGATGGAGATAGCTATGTATCACAATGTTCCAAAAACAGAGGAGCTTGAAAACCTCACAGATCTAATTGCAGAAATGGTGCAGAATGGTTACAGTTTGAGTCCACAAAATATCGTGAACATTTTTGAAAAACTTATTGATGGAAAAGCGAAACTTTCCGAAAAGTTAAAGCCTGTTGAATTAGAAGAAGAACACAAAAATGAGGCGCAAGAGACATTGCTTTTTAATGCTCTTTATCTCTTGGTGATGTACACCAAAATTCAAGTTTCCTTGGAAACGATAAAGGGCAACATGATTGATCTTCTTCGAAGATTTCTGTGTTTAGAGCCTCGCACCCGTGATGGAAATACACTTTTGCACTTGGCTGTATGGCATAAGACTCCTGTTCTTAAAAGCGCTAATTTGCGAGGTGTGTGTAAGCTTCCCTGTGTTGACACCATGAAGCTAATTTTACGCGCAGGGTGTGATGTGAATTCTGTTAACACCCAAGGAAACACTCCTCTTCATTTAGCCGTCACTTTTGTACCAGGACCTGAACAAGTAGAAATTTTGAAAGAAATGCTGGAGTTGTTGTTAGATTTCGGCGCAGATACAAAGCTTGTTGACAAGAATGGTCGAACAGTAATGGACTGCTGCGAGACTGACGAAGCCCGAGGCATCCTGTTTGCGAAAGGAGGACTGGGTACCATGAACATCGAGGCCGGAAAGGTAAGAAAGATTTGATTCTTAACGCTTTATATATTTTCCTTATATTATCACAATAAGCATCCTGATAAAATGGGAGAACTCTTAGTTCACTTCTCCATGGGATCTTTGTTGATTATGTTTCATAACGCCTGGTTGCCTTTCTTTTATTTTAATGGTTTCCAAACTCATCTTTTTACGAATTAAACAATTCATTATGATGCTGTGATGGTCAAAGGAAGCTTTAGTTTGGTGCATTGAAAATTAAGTGTCACAACCGGAAATAGATGAACCATCAGAGAGTTAAAATGTTTATATATTAATATGCCCCCCCCCCCCAAAAAAAAAGGAAAGAAAAAACAGAACCTGCCTCTCTTGAAGTGTCCCATATTCAAGACTAGTGTGTAAAAAAAAGCAAATGAATAAAAAATAAATGCGCAAGATAGATACAACGCAATCTGATGGTGACTTTCAAGGCATAGCAAGCCGTTAAATAAAGCTAGCAGGCGGGCATTACCGCAGTGGACTTGTTGATCAAAATTAATAGACTTATGATCACCCGTCTGATTAATGTTTGTGCAACAATACAAAGCAATTTTTAAAAATGAAAGTTCAAATAGCAAACCGAGAAGAGTTGAAGTAATTACTAACTGTCGATGAATAGGAAGGAATTGAAGCTTGAATTTCCAGGGCAATTTGCCACTATGAAATCATTACATGGAGAGCTCGTTTAAAATAAATCATAACAATTCGTGTGCAGGCTAAACTTATGATGTCCAGATATCAGTGACAGCAATGGCTTGAACTCGCACGTAGCATGTTTTGTAAAGGGTCAACGAGCTAAATACTCCTTATATAAAAATAGTTTAAATAGTACGAGTAGAGTCCGTTAGCTAGTATATAAAAATATCAATAAGAATTCATATATACATAATGACATTACTTAGCTGAAGAAGAGGCCTTAGTGGTTTTCAGGGGGTCCACTAGGGAATAAGCAAACCAAAAATCTAAAAAAAAATTAATCATGAAACTGGCCTCAGATAAATTAATAAACGGTTATTTTAAAAGCGCCCATTAAAAGCTTATTTAAGTTCTAATTTCAACTTGAGCATGGCATAGGTCTTTTATTTCTGTTAAACTTAACTAAGGTAAATCGTGTAAAAAAGGAAATATTGAAGTCCCTGATAAAAATACAGGTTCTTTTAATTTCGTTTGACAAGGAAACCCAATGTACATGCACCAAAATGTTTTTATCCCCTAAGTTACTGTGTGTTTTCAATTTTTTTTCTAAGGGTAAAGTAACCGGAAGTGGAGTCGGTGAAGGAAGAGGGGAAAGATTTGTTCCTGGAACCGAAGAAGACCTGAATGAGAATGTTAAAAGGGAAACTACAGAGATATCAGGTAAGACGATCTTGTGGAGGAACAAATTTGTAAAGAAAAATAATTGTAGGAAAGACTGGCGAGTTCCGTTAAGAGCTTTTAAGTGACAATATTGGGTAACGGAGGAGAACTGAATATATTACATATATATTTTACAAGGATAGCAGGCTGGGTGCCAAGTAATCTAAAATATAGTGTCTAAAATGATTCATTTCCTAAATTTGAACGTCTTTTGATATAATACTTACCCTAAGAGAGAAGAATATATTTTGTTTTGCGTTTCACGCTCTGTGAGAAAAGCTGAAAAATGTCTTGTTCCATTTTCATCACATAAGTACATTGGAGGGAGTTGAAACAGCAGCTGGAAAACTTTCAAGAGCAACTAAGAGAGGGTGATAGACAACTTAGGCAGATAACACAACAGTTGACAAACGTCCGGAGGCAGCTTCAAGAAAAACATGGACAACTAAGAGAAAAAGATCGCCAGCTGAGAGAGAGTGATAGACAACTAAGAGAGATGGGAAATCAGTTGACAGATGTCCGGAGGCAACTACAAGAGAGGGATGGAGAACTATCAGAAAAAGATCGCCAACTAAGAGAGAGAGATAGACATCTACAAGACAGAGATGAACAACTAAGAGAGAGAGATGGACAAGTTAGCGAGATAACAAAGCAGTTGACAAGTGTCCAAGGGCAGCTACAAGAAAAAAACCAAGAATTTACTTCTTTAGAAAGACAGCTGAGGGCCAAACAGCACGAAATAGACGATCTGGAGACGTTTCTTTCAGCAGCTCAAAGGGCGCTAAATGAACGTTCACACCATCAGACTCCTGATTGGCTCATTCCACGAGATCAGATTCGGCTGACGGACAAATGCCTTGGAAAGGGAGGATGGGGAAGTGTTACCGAAGGCAAATACTGTGGCTGCGCTGTGGCCGTCAAGCAGATATACGAGGTGATACTTTCTGATCACAACCGCCGATTGTTTGAGCGAGAGATGAGCATTGCCGCCAGATGCCGCCATCCTTGTATGCTGCAGTTCATTGGGGCAACAAACGATGAAGGAAGTCCTTTGTTTGTAACAGAGCTCATGGAATCTAGTTTACGAGCACTGTTAAAACAGCGGCCTCTTTCTTCACCTGAAGTGTCTGTCATTTCTCTAGATGTGGCTCGAGCATTAAACTACCTTCACCTAAAGAAACCATCTCCTATTATTCACCGCGACATCAGCAGTGCCAATGTGTTGCTGTGGCGGCAAGCTGACCAATGGCGAGGCAAAGTGTCAGATTATGGCACGGCTAATGTTTTGCAGCATACCATGTCAGTTGGTCCTGGTGCTATGATATACAGTGCACCTGAAGCGCACAATAAACATCTAACCGTCAAGGTATGTCTGAAATTTTAATATTGGAGTTATATTTCTCAATTGTTTGATTGTGATTGCTATGGAGTACAATGCTTGCATAGCAATGAGACAACATTCCTCTGATGTCAGCAGACTGCTAAAACACAACAAAAGAAAAGAAAGAGGAAGGAAAAGATAAATGAAAATATAGCAATTTAAACTAGCAGGCAAGCTCCTTCATTTTTAACTTTTCATTGTTATTGTCTTTTCGAGTTTAGGTTGATGTGTACAGTTTTGGAGTTCTCGTCTGTGAGATTTGCACCCGGGAACTGCCGGATCCTGACAGGCGCGACGAGCAAGTTGCCATGGTGACAAACCGAGCACTGCGAACTCTCATCTGGAGATGTCTGAAACGAGCTCCTGAAGCGAGACCCAGCATGGAAGACATCATTGGTGAACTGGAACAACCAATGTTAGATTAGTTTTGACAAGATCTGCTCTTTTATTCACACTTGCAATCAAGTAGCACGCAAACCTCAGATCTATGATAGCCTGTTTAAAAGACTTTTTCATGGCACAAGTGCTAAAATAATACCTAATCTCATTTTTCAGTAGTTTCAGTTTTTAGTTTGTCGGAAGTGCACGCGCTTTGGAGCATGCATGTGTGTCTGATCGCCACGACCATCTTCCGTCAGTTTTTTTAGGTTGAGTCACCGTTAGTTCTTTCCCGAAGGTGATTAAGGTATAAATAAGGAAGAGGTATTTTATAACTAGAATATTTGTTCGAGTATTCAGCGGCCCCCAATGGTGAAATTTAGTCATAGTCTTCATACGGTTTTCGCATTTTATTCTGTGAAATGTCAAATGCAAGTAAAATTTGACAAGTGAAAGACATTTAAAAAGCATTTGAAGTGCAAGTAAAAAATAGCCTTTAATCAACTTTTAAATTAAATAGTTATTGAAGCCTACATTAAATCTCACGCATGTGCTTTATGCCTGAACCGTAATTTGTGACTGAACTCGATCGATTCGGATTTTTTAATTCTGGTCTGCAACAAAGTCCCATAGCAATGAGACTTTGATATAATCCATTAGCACAGTTTTTTTTTGCAAAGTGCATTCTATGATAAACTCTAGACTAGGCAGAAAATGTAGTTTGTAGATCACACACTGGGTATGAATTGTAGCCTAGCGTAGAAAAATGTCTAATCGCACAATAAAATGATAGATGAGGGAATGATGATTAACATCCTGCTGCTGATTAGCCACTAGACTTATTGAGATTATATAGCTGATGTTTCTATTTTGACTGGGATTGATTCTTTCCTTTTCGAACGTCGATAGAAGTTATAAGAGACCTGAGACTATTGTGTGATTTACAGGTGACTTCAGTGTTAATATCATATGTTACGCTATTATGTACATTTAAATCCGGCATAGATAAATTGTCTATAAATAGCAAAGACAGCGATAGCTTGATAATACAGTTATATTCCACAATCGAAAGTGATACATTTATAAGCAGAAACTGCAAAGACTGTTCGCAGTGCGATCAAGATAGAAATCAAACGTAGTAGGATGCCTTTCAATTTATCTTTAAATTTCTCTTCCTCCCCTCCTCGAAACAGAAGATACGCTTCAGACTTCCTGTTTTCCCAGAGAGGATGAATGATTGACAATCTGAGGAAATTTCGCATGATACGGTTACAAAATTCATTATATACATTTCCTAAGGTGCTGACAAGGAGAATTTGTTTAACAATCGAGAGTTTCTTTACTTGGTGATCATTTCCTTTATTCTCGTCACCTTAATGTGTAATTCAAGTGCGACATTACAAGGAGAAATTAGATGTTAGTCCCTCTTAGAGATTGAAGGGTTAATCCAATGTTTCTAATCTCATCTGATGCTTTCATGATGTTATCAGCAACATTTGCATCCAAACCAAACTCCTTATTGACCTCTGCAGCTGCCTTCTTCAGAAACCAAAGAGAAAATAACCAGAGATAATCAATATCTTACTAACCTCGTTTCCTGGTCCGTACTGTAAGTTACAGAACCTTGAGTTTTTTCGCTTAATTTATGACCTGATTTGAGCTTGAGCCTTAAACATAAGAAGAATAAAATTTGGACGGTAACTTACAATGCAGACCCCGAACTAAGTTAGTAAAAGGTATCCACTAAGAAAGTTCATTGTATAAAGTAAGAACTACAATGTAATCTGGAACGAGATGTCATTTATAGGAGAGGTACTATCAGATCAACATACCGGCGTATATTCAGTTTCATCACCAATAGAAAAATCCAGCTTTGATCAGTATTTATCAGCTGGAATTTCTATTTTTCCAAAAACTGTCAGTCTCATTTCTTGAAGTCTGTTGGCCAAGTATTTTCATTAAATATATTTAAATCTATCACTCCCAGGAGTGACCAAGAGGAAACTTCTCATTTCGATAACAACATATTTTTAACTAAACAGGAGACACTCTGCTTGTTTGTTTGCAACACAGAACAAAAGCTGTGAGTCATGCTCTGTGAGTAAAATTTGATGAGCAATTGATTGAATCTAAATTGCTACTGGTGGTCAGCGTCTGATCAATCAGGCTTTCAAGGGACCTGGGACAGTTCAATAACCGTCCCGAGGACTCCTACACCGAGGTCCATATCCCAGAGACCGTATCCTAGATTTTGGATTTCATCATGACTTCGAAAAAACTTTACGTCATTGCAGTTCCTTTTACAACAGTAATTATGAATCCGTTTTCAAGGAATTTTGTCCTTCTTTTCTCCTCATGTTTGGTTTAATTTGCTCTCTGTTTCCTCTACAATCGGAGATGTATTATTTCAGTTTATTTTTAAGGTATTTTCATCAAATCAGCTGTAATTGTCGAAAATTTGCAGTGACAAATTTATATAAGTCTACTTAACCTTACAACATGAACATATTAAATCGCTAAATTGCTGGAAAGTTGGGAAAAATTTAGCTGGCTGCACAGGAAGGTGAAAAATGACGAATTTTATCATTAAGTCCTTTAAACATTTTCAACATAGTCGATAAGAAAGCGAATTCAAATTTAAAACAACTCCATTCTCCTCATTTTCCTTCTCTTCTTAACCTCCCTTGCGAGTCGCCTCTTCTCCACTTCCCCGTGACAAAAACTACGTGTCGTGATTCCAGATTTCTCCGAGAGGACCGTGGAATGATTCATGCGTATTAGGAAATGTAGCGTGATGCCAGAATGTTCACTGAATCAGAGATTTCGCGTTTGTTCTGTAAAATGGCCGATAAGCTTTTGAATAATTATGCCACATGCATAATTTCCTTTGTCACCACGTACTCCATAAGAAGAAGTCGATCTTGAAATGAAATTTGGCTCTTAAATACGCGACCATGACAACAACTCGTTCAAACAAGGAATTTCTCTGTTTTTATTTGGAGACGTCTCCGTCATGGACCATGTCCCAGCGATTTCCTTCCCCCCGTCCTCCCCTACCTCCGAGATAAAATAAAAAAAAAAAACTACATCGATCCGGTTTATAGAAAGAATATGACGTAGGAAGAAAATTTATTGAATTTGAAATTTTGAAGTTGAATTTAGCTTTATCACCTTGCAATTGCGCATAAGACTTGATTCAATCGTAAATTCTCTCCACTGACCCTTAGTGATGTACCAAGTTAAATAATTAGTTTCGATGAACAGTAATTAGCAAGGTTATGAAAATAAACGCACTGGGAGATTTGTGTTCGTTGGTTATTGGTGCTAACATGTTCACCAGGTAACATTAGAATGTATTTTGTAATTGAACTCTTTCTTCCGAGCAATTTATTGCCGTATTACGGAATCAAAGTTGAAACCAAAGGTACGTTTACAAGGTATTCTTAAAAGTTCATCGTCAATCATATTGAACAGGATTTTGCTTTCGTAACTTCTAGAATTTGAGCTGGTTAATTCAATATTTAACACCATCGAATCATCTTCAAAATTGGTGATGATTGTCTTGCTGTGTATGAGAGGAAATTCGTGATACGAACCCGCTAGCTTATTCTTCCGGTGTCAGGTCCGTTGCAATACTTAACTTTAGTTTACATTCATCCTTATAAAAGACCAGGGGATGCGCTTTTCGAAAAAAAATGGTTTAAGGCGTTTCATTCGAAGTACAATCTTTTGAAAATCGGGATCCGGAGGGGCGAGGAATGTTGACTTGAATGGGGCGCAGAGAACTTACCCCCCCCCCCCTCTCTTCTCTAGTCCGCCTGCTTCTCTGGGCTTGCAATTCGAGCATCTTCCTTGCATTCTTTCTACTTTTCCTCTCTCAACTCAATATAAAGCGAACGAACAAATCAACGGGTTTTTTGTAAGAGAACAATTTCAACTTTTTGGCGTTACGCAGTCAGAGAAAAAAATGATCGTGATTGTTAGAGCACGAGCAGGGATAAAGGTTAATATCATTGAAAGATCATCTCTGCAAAATTATTCGAGGGCTTGAAGTCCCTGAAATTAAGGCACGACTCTTTGGTAGCTGTCGGTCAAACATTTTCCCAGACTTAACATGCTCATGATGCTACTCGTTCTAAACCTCTGACTATAATCTTGACAAAATGCTTTTAGGAAGGAGATGCCTTATTTCAAGGTGTAACCCATGAGTTGATGAGTCCTTGTCAGTATCCAAGATTATTTTGGAGGCCGCTGTATTTGGGAGAATCAGCGGGCAAAAGTTGTCTTTCATTTTTAGGGAATAATCGGTTCTACCAGAAGAGTTTCCCTTATAACAGGAACGGCGCACGATTTTCAGAAATTATTAAGAAACTAGAATAAATATATATTTGTAATTATTTTCTTATTGCTTCCAGTCCATGGTAGGAAAAGGGTTATTTTGTTTAAATAAAATTTTGCCGCCTGTGATTATTTAATTTCATGCAATACACTTCGTTGCTTTTCCGAGAAGGTGTCTTTATTACATACATTTAAAGGTCCATTTTTACTATTCCTCCCCTAAACAAGCAAAAAGAAACACGAACAGGTGGCCACTTGTTAAATATTCATAGTTGCCCTCAAAGAAACAAGTAGCGATCAGTCTGTTGTGAAAACATTGATCTTTCTCTTGTCTCAGTGAGACAACAATCATCAATTAAAAAGAGCGAGCCAGGAAAGGAATAAGAATCTCCACCTTAAAAGTGGTAAACACCTGTGAATTGTTACACCTCGACACTTACACCCGCGTCACTAACTTTCATGTATGTGTTGTAACGCAAAAGCAAAGCTAAGAATTTCACAAATTGTAACCAAATTTTGAATATCAACGTAACGATTTGATTGTATTTCTAAATTTATTTTCTAATTACTCTTCATTCCACAGAATAAGGATGTTGTCAGCTGCTGTACTGTTGACACTGGTAACCGTATCTGTGGCTTCTGAAGGTAAAGTGACTTGTTTTCTAAAGAAACGTGTTATCTCTTGCTAAAGTTTAAGAGTCTACTTGAGGGGACCATTTTTGAAAGACTTAAAAATTTATTTCTTGTTTATTTTAATGTAATTGATCATTGAAAGTCGCCACCCTTTAAAAACACTCTTGGAAACAATAGGGGAAAAATACCCCTCGAAGAAACAAGATGAGAAAAGGCACGAATAGGTCACTGATTGATCCCTTTAGCTGTCTTTGAAACTAGAAAAGACTTGTTCTCGTTTTTTTTCAATTTTCATTTCATCAAATGAGATGTGTTCATCCAGTTGTATGACTTTGGTGTGAGTGAAAGTGCATCCTGACAATGACTGCTGTGAACAGCAACACCGTTGCCTGGAGACATTTCAACGATACTTGCAATGTTTGATGCTCACTTGAAGTGTCATCTCTTTTTTCTAATTTATCTCGCGATACTCGTAAAATTTAAAGCCTTTTTTTCATCCAGACGTCGAACAAAAAACTGGTACCAGCAATTTTGAAAGGCAACCCCATCAAAACGATCAAGGTAACCTGTAATGGCATGGCACTCTGTTCAAGGGGGGTCAAAACTTTTCACCCTGAGGAAAGCCACAATCAAGAAACCCACAAACTTGTTCCTCGAATGAATGTTGAGAAGAGGGTAAAGCTGAAGTTTCTGATCTAAAAGTCTCCAATCATCATAAGACCTTCTCTAGCTGGGGAAAACTTAAGAAATTCTCGTTTTAAACCCTTTGAATCCAGCTTGATCTTAATTAGCTTAAAAGAAGTGACCTTCTGCGGCGTGATTGTATCTGATGACATATGTTTCATTCATTCTTCATCTCAACAGGAGCAAAGTGGAAGTACGGAGAAACAGACAGTCACGGTACAGACAACAGAGTCTTGAAGTATAGATTAACAATTCAATTGCTGTATGCTGGTTTATTCCAGATATTCAAGATTTTTCGCATGCTTCAAAACTATTGTAAATAAGTCTCGTACCCAGATTCTACCGTGTAACCAACTGAAATGTATCTGCTCGGCCGTGGAATGTCTGGGTACGAGACTATAATACTGCTCATACAAACAAATGAAAACATAGTCTTTACTTTTTGCTCAAAAATCTATTTGATATAATCCCTTATTTTCCTATTAACGCTGATATTCCTAACAGGTTATGGTCCACCTGACTGGGGTAAAGTTTCAAAATTCTGCGATTACACCGCCCAGTCCCCCATAAATATCGAGACTCCGGTTAAGAAAGATGCAAGTCTCAAGGGACTCAGATTTACAACCAAGAATAGAAATGGAAGGGTCAGCGGAGACATAAAAAACAATGGTCATGCGCCTACCCTAACTATTGACAAACGCAAAGGCAAGGCTAGACTCACCGGGGGTCCCCTTGGAGATAGCGTGTATATGCTCCAGCAGTTCCACTTTCATTTCGGTTGTGATTACGACGAAGGATCAGAACACCTCGTGAACGGAAAGGCATATCCTGGAGAGGTACGCAATAGTAGCTCTCGAAACTTTTTGTTTTCCATACGTAATCATGGCGGGAGGCGTTAGCACTACGACCACTAACTGAAAGCACCCGTGACAAATTGTTCTTCTGCCACAGGTACTTAGGGACTAGTCATCATTGATCACCTCACCTGGAGAGGGAGTGACGGTTTTTATTGTTGGAAGATGGATTACATGGTTTTCAGGGGAATAGGAGGGGGAATTAGTTTTGGTTAAAAAAATCGACTGCCATTAACTGCCAATGAGGGGGAAATATAGACATATTTAAAGAGCCTTCGGAGGGATCGGAAAATTTAATTATGACCCAATCAAAATCCTCCAGCTCCCATCCCTCCTCAATCCCCTACCATCCCCCTTCGCCCCCTCCCATCCCCCCTCAAGTGATAACGACCGGTCTCTTAAGTCGTTCCGTCAAAGTCTCAAAATTTTCACATTGGATTTCTTACTGCAATTTGATTAAGTCAAGTCAGTCAAAGCAAGATGACATTTACTAATCACAATCGAGGAAAAGATCTAATCTCGTGTCCAGGTCCTACCGTTTAGTGCTTGTCCGTGGAAGGTCTGGGTACAAGACCTGAAAATATGACTGGCTATAAAGCAAACTGTGTGAATCGTGGAAAACGCGAGTGGCTATTTATCGTGTATGGCTCTATTTTGGCATCTGCTTGGCAGATCAGAGAGGAACTATTTACAGTATTGTACTACATGTATAATTTCAATTTATCGTCTTGTAGCTCCATTTGGTGACTTATAACACAAAGTACGCTGATTTTGATACCGCTGCGTCCCAATCCGATGGACTGACTGTTATTGGCGTTTTCTTTGAGGTATGTCTGGAAATATCATATATGTTGCTATATTAACTTTACCAGGTATTTTGTTAGTGATGAATTTGGAAAAATAAAAAATTTTCCTGGAATAGCAACCGTTCCTAAAATGAAAGGAATTAGCCGCACGGTGGAATCGGTAAGGGTTGGGAAAGACTGGGGTAGAGTGGTAAAGTTGAAGTTGAAGTCATCGCAATTGAGGAAATTGAAAATTGGATTGATTGAAGAAAAATGTACATCAACAGCTTTTCTTTGGTGAGATCATTTGCATACCTGTAAAAAATACCCCGTACAGTTGCAAGGGATTTATTCCTGCTCCACGACAAACATTAGAGTTGGCAACGCTCGACATTAGTACACTGGTATACTTCATACTGCACATTGTACAAAAGGCAGCAACAAAGGTCAGATTTCAATGGTTAGGGAACTAACGTTAAATATTGGCTTGGGAGATGGAGTGCATCACTCTAAGAGGAACATCTTTCAGTTAAAAACTTCTAAGACGATGATATCTTTAATGTGAAAACATACTTCCTGTTTCAGGAAAAGAAGAAAAGAGAAAAAGGAAAGGAAAAAAGCACTATGATGCCATCCGCAAACTTTACTCAGCTCTGAAAAAAATAAAGGACGTTGGTGAGGCTTTAGCAACTTACATCATCTTAAATATCCACTTATAAATCCGTTTGTCTCACGCCATAGAGTCTGTAAATTCAAGAGTAAAGCTATCAATCAGAGATAAAGACGTTTCCACTGCTCTACTTTCTTTTCTCCCAAGACCATCCATAGATTTTCAAGCAGAAGTTTCATGAAGTAACACAACATCAACGGAAGGGTATTTTTTTATTTGAAACTAGATTTTCAGAACCAAAATTAAACGAAATGTATGGCAGACAGTGTCGAGAATTTATACCTAGATATTGGAAGCGAAAATGTTCAACATTTATAACATCAGGGCAGCTAATACAATCACTTTCTCTCCCAGGTGCCGAAGCTTCAGTCAAAAACATAGCGCTGTTCGACTTGGTTCCTGAACTGAAAGATCTCTCATCGTTCTACTCCTACAAGGGTTCCCTTACCACCCCTCCCTGTTATCAATCAGTTAACTGGATTGTACTGAAAGAACCCATTAAACTCCGTAGTTTTGTGGTAAGAACATTTTTATGCTATTTTTCTGCTTTTTAACATTTAAACACTATTTAAGTGCCTGAAAAATTAGCACTTACGCGTTTCACATATCGCCTACTAAAGCATTCAAACGCACTAGAGTCCAATTTTAGACACTAGTGTCTGAATTAAGAAACTTGTGTCCGATTTTAGATTTTAGACACAAGTGTCCGTTATTAGATTCTAGTGTCCCATTTTAGATACTAGTGTCTGGTTTTTCAGATTTTAGACACTTATGTCCGATTTTAGGACGATAAGCAGCACCTGACGTGTCTAAATTGGACCCTTTTTCCTTTGTGATGCTACTGACACTTCACAGCGCACAAACGTCTGTGTTTAAAGTTATCTATACCCAAAAAGTCCCCAGCCTTCTATAACTTTTGTTTTTTCCGATCTTCTATCCACAGTTAATGTGATTTTTTTTTCAGTTCGGCGCCATGAGGAGACTGAAAAACGGAGAGGGAGGCCTTATGTGTGGAAACTTCAGACCACCTCAGAAACTCAACGGACGTGTTGTTTCTGAACTCGACGGATGAGCCCAAGAATCAACTCGCAACTACTTAACACTATAGTAGCTAATTTACATCCTCCAAGAGAATTAAACTCTTTATTAGCTAGATTGAGTGACGTATTCTGGGGGTTTCTTTCTTAAGCAAGGATTGTTAGCGACATCCAAATAAACTGCATTTATCGGATTTGTTTGACTATTACTGTTTATTCAAAAGAAATTATTTAAATCGCCAAGAAAATTATGATGGTAGACTTAATTACTCTTTAAAAGAAAGGAACATTTATCACAAATCTCTACCGAATGGGGATCAGTTCCTTAAAGCAAGATACCGTATCCCAAAGACATCTCAGTCATAATGATAATAAATGCTCTGAATAATTTATTATTATTATTATTCATATGGTTCCATTTATAAAAAAACAAAACAAAACAAGATATTCTTATTCCAGGAAGAAATTATTATGACACCCGATGAAATGGCAAAGAGATATTTCGCGTTTATCGTGATTTGGAAGTAAAAACCTTCTTGCCACATATTCGCTGGCACGAATTGGACGTAGATGAACAAATGATGCAAAAGACTTAGCAGTTGACTAATGTCTAAGGGCAACTACGCGAGAAAAATGGACAACTGAGGGAGAAGACACAGCAGTTGACAAATACTCGAGGGCAACTACAAGAGAAAGATGAAAAACTGAGGGAGAAGACACAGCAGTTGACAAATGTTGAAGGGTAGTTAGGAGAGAGAGATAGAAAACTGCTTGAGAGAAAACAGAAAGTGAAAAATAGTTTGACTTTTCAATCTACGAGAGAATGAATCCTGAGGGAGAAAAACGCTGTTGAGTTTTGGCAGCTACGAGAGAGGGATTTTCTGAGGGAGAAGGTAACAAAGCATCAATTTACAAAACAGCTGTTGAGTTATGAGGAAGAAGAAAAGTTGACAATTTTCAAAGCTTGAGAGAAAACAGAAACTGAAAAATATTTTTAGCATTGAATACCGGAAGTTCTTCAACCTTATCGGCATTTCCCGTGAAAATAACTTGAAAATACAACAAAATGCACTTTGAAGAAAGAATGGAATGCTTGCCTTTTAAAATACAACAAAATGCACTTTGAAGAAAGAATGGAATGCTTGCCTTTCTACACGAGATTCAAAACAGTTAAGGTTTTAAGGATCTGGATCTGGAAAAGTTCATCCTTAAAATCATAACTCTTTAGTGTCACCTCTTTCGTTTACACTTATATGCTAACTTACTTTAGAGAAAAAAATTACTTTGACACAAGAGAGTGAACTTTGACAAGATACCTTCGTGAAACGGTTTTAGACTTGCTTCGTTTGGTTCAGTTTCATCGGTCTAAAAATTGTTTTGTGTGACCATAATTTTATCTTGAGTGAGTGTTTAAAAATTAAAGAAAATACCATTAGACAAATCTTAGATTTCTTTGTTTGGAGAAGAACTCTGTCTTTTAGTCAATCGAAAACAGCTGATGCAAAAAGCAAAGTGATCTATGTCATTCTGAGATTCTGAAAAAAAAAACAAGCAGCAAATTGATAGTTACTTTGTAAAAATTAGATTATTATTCTTTGATTAATTCACAATTCGTTTCGGCAATTTTGTAGTTTACTTACTTGATAATGTTTCTTATCAGCCTTGATTAAGCGGTTGTTCAGTCGTTTCAGATTGATTTAAGACTATAGCTGTAATTTAACCAATATATCGAAAAAATCATGCCTCAATGTAAAAACACAAAACCTCTGATTTGACAATTTTCACCATCCTGGCTCTCATCCCATTTATTTCTTCTCCAAGTTGAAAGCTGGCGCTCGATTTTAGAGTTTAGATTTAAAACTCTTAAAGCTCTAGTCCCTTTAATTATTCCTTTGTCACCACCAACTCCGTAAGAAGAAAAATTTGATCTTGAAATGAAATTTGGCTCTAAAATACGCGACTATGACAACAACTCGTTCAAACAAGAAATTTATTTGATCGTGATTGTTATCTGTGAAGCACAAGTAGGGATAAAGTTTGATATCATTAAAAGATCCTCTCTGCAAAATTATTCGACGGCTTAAAGTCCCTGAAATTAACGCACGACTCCTTAGTAGCTGTCGGTCAAATATTTTCCCAGGCTGAACATGCTCATGATGCTACTTGTTCCAAACCTCTGACTATAATCTTGACAAAATGCTTTCAGGAAGCAAATGCCTTATTTCAAGCTGTAACCCACATTGATGAGTCTTTGTCATCATCCAAAATTATTTTGGAGGCCGCTCTATTTGGGAGAATCAGCGGGCAAAAGTTGCCTTTCATTATTGAGAAATAATCGGTTCTACCAGAAGAGTTTACTTATAACAGAAACGGTGCACAATTTTAAGGAATTATTGAGAAACGAGAATAAAAATATATTTTTAATAATTTTCTCATTGTTTCCAGTCCATGGTAGGAAAAAGGTTATTTTGTTTAATTAAAATTTTGCCGCCTCTGATAATTACACTTCATACAATACATTTCGTTGCTTTTCTGAGAAGGTGTCTTTGAGAGGAGGATGAGATGCATTTAAAAATCCATTTTTACTCAGGCTTCCGTAGGAAAGCCCGAGTCTTAAAATGCAAGCCGTTCTTGGTCGCCAAAAGGGGGTTCATGGTCCCAGGCGTTCCTTGCGTAAACCGCGGAAACTGGGGATGAGAATGCGACAAATGGGAAATCTGTACAGTCAAGCATCAACTTCAATTTGAACGCGTGAGAAGGCTTTATAAACGACATTAAACAGGATTTGGCGGAAAATGAATCTTGATTAAAGGTAGTATGTACGTGCGTAAACATAAACACGGTAATGTGACGGTATGTACACAATCTTGCATGTTTCACGCTTGAACAAATACGTAAAAAGCTGAATACTGTAATCAAAAATACTCCCTATGGCACGCTTCAAATTTCGAAACTTTATACTCTTTTAGATCTCCAAAAAGCTTTTAAAACATTTCTTGGTTGCTTTATTGCCTGATATGAGATGTTCACCATAACATGACAGCGACTTTTACTTCAGTTGGAAGATCAATTAGTATCTCTCAGGGTCTTCATATTAGGTTTGTGGTTGTACTTAGTTTGGTGTGTTCGGTTCAAGACCAGAATTCAGCTTTGTAATAACACAACACATGAGCTCGTCTATTTATATTTTTTTTTACTCCCCTCTCAAACACGAGGTTTCTCTGTGATTGCATCCCATAATATCAAACTCCTTATTAGGATAACAGTATACCCTATTTTCGCTTCCGGTATACCACATTCTCCTCCTACTTATTGAGAAACTTACGATACTGACAGTCATTCGTTCTACCTTTTTTTTTAACAGCTAGAACTAGAACTAACAACTTTTAGCTAAAAACATAATCTTTCATCCATGCAGGCGCCTGCCTAGCGCGCATGGGCCGAGACCGATTTAAATTGTCTAGGGGGGTCTCAGGTCTGTGTCTGTGCTGACGGCTGGATGGCTGTAGATGCTGGCTGGCTGCACTGTTCTGGCTTTGCTGTCTGCACAGGGTGTTCTTGCTTGTCCGATTCCTCCATTTCAATGGTTACGAGCTCAACAAATTTCTTCATGTGAGCTACATTGCGCATTTTGTTGTTGTCATTGGCGTCTCGTACGACAACAGCATTTCCATCTTTGTGAGTGACAACATACGGATCTAGCTCGTAATTAGGCGGGAGCTTGTCGTCTAGCGTCTGCTTCAATAACACTTTGTCTTCTGCTTTAATGTCACTGTATTTAGCTGCTCGTGTCTTTTCCGCATATTCTTTTTGTCGAAGTTTCGCACGTGCATCTCTTTCTCTTAACTGCTGCTGCTAATATGGCTCTGTTGCTCGCTCTTTGCAGAATTCAACTTGAGGAAGTCTGTCTCGCAGTTTCCTCCCCATAAGCAGTTCTGCAGGGGACATTCCGGTAACAGTATGTGGAGTAACTCTGTACTGAAACAGAAAGTCCTGAAGGGCCTTCCGCCAGTCTCTCGCTTCAAGTCGGGAAATCCGCACAATTTTCAAAAGGGGCTCATTGCAACGTTCCACTTCTCCATTGCTTTGCGGCCAGTACGGTACACACTTCTTGTGCTCAATCCCCAGATATTCCAAGAAGGCTTCAAACTCTTTCAATTCGAATGGGGGTCCATCATCGCTACGGACGGTTCCTGGTAATCCATGTGTTCTGAAGATAGCTTCCATAGACTTAATCACGTGTTGAGCATCTGTTTTCTTCAGAAGGATAGCTTCCATCCAACGGGAACGGTAATCCACCACTACCAGGAGGTGCTCGCCGTCTGATATGTCAAGGAGATCGATTGAAATATCTTGCCACGGTCCCTCAGGCAGTCTTATCGATCTCACAGGTTCTGGTTTGGCTCTAGGTCCTACAAGCTGGCTGGGATAACAAGCTAGTATCAACTCTTCCACCTGCTTATCCATTTGAGGCCATCACACTTTCTCTCGCAATCTGGCCTTGGTTCTGACCATTCCCTGGTGACCTTCATGAGCCAGCACAATGATTTGCTTCCAAAGGTTCTCAGGCATCTTAATACGATTTCTCCTCATCACAGTTTGTCCTATCAGCCACAGCTCATCTTGTACTGCTTTGTTATCTTTTCCCCTAATGTGAGTCAACTCGGACTGGTACTGCTGCAAATAAAGGAGCCACCTCTGTGTTCGGGCTAATGGAGGTTTGGACTTTGGGCTGAGGACTATCACTAAGGGTTTGTGATCTGTACAGATCTCGAACTTAATCCCATATGGGTACAGGTGGAACTTCTGGCAAGCCCAACTGACGGCTAAGGCTTCTCTTTCAAACTGTGAGTATCGTTGTTCAACCTTACTGAGTTTGCGACTGGCGTAATAGATAGGCCTGTAACTCCCATCCTCTTGCTCTTGTTCAAGTATGACACCAATTCCGACGGGTTAAAGCGTCAGTTGTAAGACGGATTGAGACACCTTGTCTGTGGTAGGCCATCACTGATGCTTGAGTTAACCGGACTTTGATGTCTTGAAATGCCGTATCTTCTCGCGGACCCCACTTCCACTTTGCATCTCTCCAGGTTAAGTCCCACAGTGGACTTGAGACTGTAAGAAAAGTTTGCGATGAACTTCGCACAGAACTGGACGAATCCAAGGAAACTTTTGAGCCTTTACCCGTTCATC